TGTTCGCGCCTCCATTTGGAGGACAATCGTTCTTGTTCTACAATCACATTTAACGAGGCTGCGTATGCCGCAGCGGAAGAAAAACCGCGATGGACAAAATGATTAACTGCCCTTGCACGCCGTAAAGGTGTAACGAGATACCTTTAAACGAGTATAATTAATGAAACAAGCAAATTGTATGAACACTACCGACAAGGTTCGCATCCAGAGAGGATTTTTAATCGTTACTATCCAGCCTTGAATTAGGTAATTCGATTTCATTTAACCTGCCTCGATCCCAATTAAACTAATTAATGGAGATTCTACTGTGATTGGAATTCATGGTATTCTCTACGAGATGGCTATACAGGAAATGCAAAATATTCAAAATTTAAATAAACGAAACGATACGCGTTTTCTTACGTATAAATTATTGTACGGAACACGCGATAGTTGTTGTTCGTTTCTTTTTCGTTGAACCGTGACTGGTGACATTAAAACCGTTAGCTTTGGCTTAAACAAATCGTGCTCCCTTATTCTCGATGGCACGTCAAAGTCGCGTCAAGTGGAACCCACTTTAGTCCCGGGTTATACGCTGTTACTGCTGGGTTTTCGTAAATAAAATTTACGGTCGTTGAACTTAATCGGGTCCGAGCGTAGAACCGAGCGACGACGGTGAACTGACGCGAGCGGATCGCTCGAGCCGTTGGGCCGTTTATTCTCGCTTGAAACACGATTAAAGCCCGTGTCCCGGGCGAATTGCTTTCATTCGAGTTACCGGACACACTGGCCGGACACTGTTTTTCCTACCTTGCAAAGCTGATTCTCAACCGTGAAAATTTCCTTTCTTTCATTAATTATTTCATTAATTATTAGCAACGCTATTCAAAGCCTTATCCTCTCATTTCTTCCACTTCAATTATTTAATTATAGAAAACCGGTGCGGATAAACTTCCAAAACTATCGTAAGTAGTTGATAATTTGTAAAATATTATCTTGGATGAAAATTTGTTCAAATATAATTTGTCGATAAATCAGTTGAAAGGCTGTTCGATAATAGTTGATGGAAAATAAAAGGAGTACCTCAGCGGTGTAATTTTCTAACTCGAACGAGGATTATCGATTAATTTCTTCTTCGATTCGAGCGATATGGGTATGGTTTAGAAGTTTCCCCGTTTCCCCGGCGACCACTATCGCGCTCGTTATCGGTTATCAAACCCGCGGACACACGATGCGTTATCGATTGCGCTTTTCGAATCGTGAAACGCGATTATTCAATCTCGAATGACACACTAGCTGCGCGAACGCCTCTTGTGCGCCTCGCTGTCTGCGAGCGCTTGTAGTAACCTCAGTGTCTCTCAATCCGAGGCGACTCTTAATCTTTTATCGATGCATTAGTCGATACAAAATTAATTTGCATTCAAACTCGAGCCAACTCGTACTCGTGATATCAGAAACACAAATGGAGATTGTCTTACGCCTTTACGAATTTATTTCTATTCTATTTTTTTTCCTTATGATTTTATGTAATTTCATGGAAAAAGAAGCTTCTTTAGTATACGTAGAAAATTAGAGGGGAGAATATTCCTGGAACCCGCCGAACCCACCCTTTTCGAAATAAAAATAAAGATAAAAGCAACGGTGGATAAAGAATTTTCTCGCAAATAGATCCCCCGCCAGTAAAACAGAATCGGACGAACGTATTGTCCTGTATCAACGTTCAACCCCAGAAAAACAATTCGATACCGTCCCTCTGGCCATTTATTTTTTCCACGATTTCCTGCGTAACTAGACACCGATTACGCGACCGGCTGTGTCGAATCGATGGATCCGACTGATTTAATTTGGACAAATGTCCATTGCGGCCGAGCGAGGGTACATTTCCACGGGAATGATGCGCGAGTCGAGCGACGATGCAACGTCGAATCGCGTGTTTCTGACGGCAAACTTGCAATTTCGTATCATTAGACTCGCAGGGAACCGCAATTCCATCGGTCATGCGGATGTTGCTTCTTTTTTTTTCTTCTTCTTCTTTTATTCCGACTTTCGCGTACGGACTACTCTCGCGAGCATGATCGACCATATTTTCTGCAGATGATACTTTTATGGAGAACAGAAAGTATCGAACGATGCAAAAACCAAGTAAATTGACTCTTTACGATGTTAACACGTTTGAAAGCTGCGACGCACCTTATGCGTCATACGCTAGGCAACTGTTACAAGTCATAGCTCTTTTTTTTTTTTTTTAAGGCCAATTAGGAGAAAATTGTCGAGGAAAAAGGCGAATGGTTATCTTCTAATTGCGCTATGAAAAGATTAATATAATCAATTTGACAGATTAGAGAAATAGCGAAACGGTGCAGAAAATTTACATAACGCTTAAAATTACTGTTGATTTAAAATCGAACGAGTAATCTACTTATTGCAGTAATTAGTATCACCGATAGGAAACATTGTCAAGTATAATGAAAGCACCGTGTTTTCTGAATAATTCAAACGAATAAATAAAACAACTGCAAATAGAATGAATACCCGGTGTTATTTATTATCGAAGAGCGTTTGAGAGCGCACGATCCTCTAATTATTTTCAACGGCGTACCGGGCCCGCGTAATTACGTTAACAGTTTACCACCAATTATCGTCGCATTGTTCCGCGGGCCGCGTTTTATCGCACAATTACAACGTTTGCAATTAAACCGGCTAGTCATCGAATCGCTTTTAAACGGGCTATCCTTCGCGCGACTTGATTTCGCTCGCGATCACCGCGTAAACTCTCTCGCAACGTTCGAAACACCTTCCCCGTTCACCCGTCGCGCCGCTAAATAAACGAGAATTTTATTACGACCAGGCAAGGATTCAACGATAAAAACAGTAGCTAAGCGACCGTCTGCCTGGTTGGCTGACTCTCTTTACTTTATTAGCCAATCGAGTACAATAAGAAGTAGCTAAGCCAGGTGACTCACGCTGCGTTACGAACACGCGAGACCCGATTGCTTTTAAATAGCGATGCACATTACGTGCAACCGCGAGAGGGTCTATAGTCGGAGCGGCAAACTATAGCGTCAGCGTATTCTATATGAATAAAAATAAGTAAATGCTGTGTAACCCTTTCGCTAGTATAAGGGCGATTATAGATATCCGAGCCGAAGCGTTTAGATTTCGAAATAGAAGATACAGGACGAAATTCAATCCTATACGAAAAACAACTCTACCAGCACGTCGGTCACCGTTTCTCAAATGATTGACGTCGCTGAGGTCGTCGACAACGTTAACGCGTTAAATGCCCGGTGAAAACGACCGTGTGTGTAGTACGCGATAGGCCGTAATTGTAATTATTCGGAGTACGATCATTTTCTAATTTAGATCGTGCTAAAGTAATGTAATATTGATACCGCTTAGAATTTTTAATTATATTTAATTCGCAGTGACCGTTACCGATGGACCCTCGCGCCATTCCATCGCGGATACCACGGATCCGTGTCGCTCTATATAAATATTATTATTGTTTATATTTTTATTACTTAATTTCATTCAGCCGGCGAATGTCCACGGCCCCTGAATCCGCGGCGACGATGTCAAAGACATTGGCACCGGCTTGGAAACGGAATCGGCAATGTTTTCAAGAACGAGCCTCGACCCGTTGCGTTACACCCTCGAAAATCCCGCGCGACTCGGTTCTGAGTTACACTGTCGTGTCACCTTGAAGAACAGCACCGTCTCGCAGAGAGCGCCGGTTGAACGTGCCGAAGAGACGCACAAAAGAAACGTTTCGGAACTGGTTCGACGAAGTCGAGCGTTCTCTTGGCCGCGCAAGACGTGCACCACGAACAATACGATTTTCTAGGAGGAAACGGTGCAGAAGAACGAGAGGAGGAAGGTGGAGGAGGCCGAGGAGGGGAAGATGAAGAAGGAGTAGGAGGGGAAGAGGACAGCAGGAGGGTCGCAGAGCACGTGAAAGGCGATTTAAAGGGAAAAAGAAGGAGGTGGTCTTTAAAAAAAGGAAAGAACATGGCGAACCGGTCGCAGCCTCCGTTCGTCAGCTGGGAGCTCAGCTGCAGCCGGGCGCGGTGACCTCGACGGAGCTTCACGGAAAACTGTGTAAATTTGCAAACGATAACGACGTCATGCCACGAATTCGTTTTCATCCGTGATTTCGTACGCGAACGTACGCTATACACGCACCGTTTCCTCCCTTCTTTCCGATGTATCATCAAACAGACGAGATACTTCGAATAGGACCCGGCGACACTTCGTTGAAACGCGGTCATTGGTCATCGGTCGCTTTTCATGTGATCGAAAGTACCCCCGGACGATTGACAGTTCAACGACATTTGTCTTCATCATTGCACGAGAAACACCGAGTTTCCTTTTATATTATACCTACACGATTCTATTGGTATCGATCCTGCTTCGATCCGATGAATTTTGAATTGAAAGGAATCAAAGGTTAGGATTCGTTTGAACGCTTCGCGTCACCGAGTTGATCAGATCACCTATTTCAGTATGTTTACCGGATGTTTCCGGTGTAACGTACAAAATATGGGCTTTTCTGCTTAACAAGCAAACGACAAAATGTCCATCGATACGGAAAGGGAATGATCATTCGTTATGCACGTCCGATTCACTGACAATCGATATATCACATAGTAAATCGATTTTAAGATTAAGATAAATAAAAGACGCTCGAAAAATGTGACAATTAAGACATAAAAGGTTATTGGAATTAATCGGGGCACCGTTCGGTATCGTAAGAAAAGTAGATGGATTTGCTGGAAGCGAAGCTCGTTAGATGGTAAGATGCCGGTAAAAGGCAATTTAAACAACGAACGAAAGCGAAGGAAAGGGATGACAGTTTTTAAAATAAGCACGGTAAACCGGTCGGTGCGTCCGTTCATCAGCTGAGAGCTCAGCTGAACCGAGCGGCCGCTGTAACCTCAACCTTTCTAATATGCCGTATTTTGCGAAGAATTATTAATTCACAGTGTTTACTGCTCTTGTAGATAGATATGACGTTAACGTACCTTAGTATTCAGCTTTTATCCATAGGCGAACGATGGAACTCACGAAAACACTGACTTTTTGGGGATAAAACTTTTTGAAAGCCCATTCACAATGGAATCTTCCAGTAGACTGGCCGAGCCGGCAAGCCGTTCTCTTTTACGTGCACACCCACCGTTTCTCGCACTGTCTCACGTTTTTCACCGTTAATCCTTCTTTCTCAAACCGTTTTCAATTTTCAAACAACAGATAGCTCCTTGGCGAGGTTCAACCGTATTTTCGATTCGTTATGAAACACTTATTTGCAGTAGAAACGCGACGGTTTGCATACCGCTGACAGTTCGAGCTGTCACTTTCTGACGACCGCTTACCGTAACGCCATCTGTACCAGTTTCCATGAAACATCGCTTGATTTAAAAGACCCGCACTTGGACCACCTAGCAACAAGATCAATAGACTAACTTACAGGAACTTGAGTAGTAACCGATATATCTATATAGCGTCTCTATTAATTATTTAACAAGAGATAAATCTACCTATAGGAAACTTTCTGTTTTTTTTTTTAATGGGTCTAGAGCACTCGCTCAGACCGTACAGTTCATCCGTATTCTATGAATTGAATCTTTTAAAGAATCTTTTAAAGAATGATTGAAAATGGTTTCAAAGTCATTGATTTTCACTTCGATTTTTATTATAACAACCTCGTTCCTCTAGTACAAAAAATCGAACGTCCTCGCGATCATTTACAAGATATAACAATAACGTATTTTACAAATATTTGTGTTCTTGGATACTGACGCGTTTTTTTCTGCTTACTTTGTACCTACTCTCTTATTTCACTTTGTCCCTAATGTCTTTGTTTAGTGGTCCGTGTCACAATTCCGTCTCGCTCTTAATGTGGGAATATTAACAGACTGCTTACAATACTCGAGATAATATGCTCGCTCTCACAAAACGATCATGATTGTACCCTTCTTTTTATCTTCGTTGAAATGGCACACGGTTATACCTATACCCACTATGCTTTATCGTCGTATCCTAAATGTATCATTTTCGATGTTTCATATACAATACTAGCTTCACCATATTTTACCATCATACGTGGTAACATTCTCTACAAAGGGTTCTTCACCTCTTTGTGATTTTACAAAAGATTAAACGTCGATGATGGACAATATCTCTGTCTGCAACATTACGAGAAAAAAATCTCTAACGAATGTAAGATCAGAACAGATCTTACGTAACGATAATGAAAGACGAGACGTCTAATTACAAAGAACAACGCGAGTATTTCAAACAACGTAAGAAAAATAAATTCTAATATCCAAACGTAAGCATTCGGTAGGAGATATGAACTCTTGAGATGCTGTATAAATCAGCGCACTAAGAAAAGTACACGAATGTTCGAAGACGCTTAATAAAATCGACGTTGCTTCCGTTTGGAATTATATTTTCCTGAAGATTTTCTTTCTCGTTAAGACTAAGTAGTATATTTATCTTATTCTTTCTCTCCCTCCCTTTCTCTCTTTCTCTCATCCTCTCTCTCTTCCTCTCAAATATCACTTTGTGACGTGAAACTAATAACAATAAAATGCTTTTAATTACAACAACACTTGTAGTGTAACAATTTTTTACGCAACAACTTTAAAAATATAAACAAAAAAAAAAGGTAGAAAAAAATTATATATCTGCAAGAACTCCGAATGCGTAAGATCAACAACATGACTGATTATATCATTAACATAAGGAATGTGACTGTACATGGCCGTTAAAATTATACTATACTTTGAACAAGGTCTGAACTAGAGATCTGATGCGAATTCTTTACGCCAGTAACGAAAAACTGAATATACGCCAGAGTATTTCAAACTTTCAACTGGTACTAGTCTATTCTATTGTGAAGTCTTTGTGCGATTGCAGCAACGAGTGCAGCTCCTTTTCCGCTTCCATCCTCGGCATGAATCATTTTAAACTATAGATCAATGATAAATTCATTAATTTTGTTAAAACAAGACACGATTAAAAGCATTGTTTTTTTAATATATGTATACCTTATGATCAGGTGCTAGCAATGGAATGTACTGTTTGATCCAACTCTCTAATCGGGGATGATGCTTGTAAAGAGATCCATCCACCGCAATCGTTACGTGTTCCCTGTCGATTCGCTTTAATAAAACCCCAAGACCTAAAACGCAGTCCAATCATGTTTAGACAGAAATTATATAAAGCGTTTAAATACTTATATGCCTAGTAGTGTATTTATATTTTTTAACTTACATATTGCAACTAGAAGAGCTGCCCGATTAGACACTACTTCGCAAACGTATTGAACGGTTTTCACGTCATCTTCATCTGGCACAATACCAAACTTCTTCAGAATTTCTTTCGTATTGTAGCTACCACCGTCCACAGAATCTCTATATATCAATGTTAATAATAAATTAGAAGTTTATATATTAAAGGATCATTAGAAAAGTATTTTTAATACCATGTTACTAACTGTTCAATATCTGATACCAAATCACTGGTGAGATTGCCAGGAATTAAAAGACATCCAGGCGTGTGATCACCTACGAATAAAAGTCCGTCTCTGTTTAACCTTGCGAGCACAACTCGCACAAGTTCACCCATGTACTTTCCACTAATATACTTTTCGAACCTGGTAATTTAAAGAGAACGGTATAATAAGTTGTCTGCGAAGTAATTTATGTTTTATACAATCTTGTTACTCACGTAAATGAATTTACAATAAGAGAATTCGCGTCGTTCTCGCGATCGTAATCTGTCTTGATGAAGTCTAAAACACCGTTGTCTCCAAATGCACCCCATTCAATATCGATAATAACCTTTAATAACGACGATCAATTCGTATCTCAAGTTAAGAAGAGTAACATTAAGAATCAGAAGAAAAGAATATAAAAGAGATATTAATTACTTGACGTTCCCCGTGTCTTTCGGTCTCCCAATGTTCTACTCTATCGGCTCGTTCCAGGTAACAAGCATTGCTACCGGTGCCTAATATAAGTCCAATAGCTGTGTCAGGATCTAACGTTGATCCTTGGACTAACGTTCCCGTGGTGTCGTTCAAAATAGCCACAACCTTCACTTTGGTATCACCACGACGATCCAGAGACTCGCGGAGCAATCTCACGGCATCCTTGTTCACCACATCAGGACAATTGAAGGTTTTAGTCCAAGTAACCAATACTCCAATGTCCAAGGAGTGTTGAATCATTGGGAACGAGAAGGTGAATCCTGAAAATGAATTGTAAACATCAACGGATCTCAAAGCTGTTACGATCAAAGGAAACATACTCTTGGCATACTTTTAGCATTGTTCACGATGATTAAAAAATTATCGATTGCACGCGAGATCGTTGCAATCAATGTTTGATCAACAACGAGTGTCGGCCACTAGAATTTGTAAAATCAATGCGAAACACGATACTTGAGAGCTGATAGCAGCAAGTGCTTGAAGGCTTAACGATCGTTGGCATGCTGCAAACGAAGCTTGCCAATAATGTTCTTTGAAAAAGAAAAAAAAAAGCAATTATTTTGAAATTACTAGAAGTTGTTCACGGTGAACCACGGTATAGAACAGTGGCAATTAACAGAGGCTCACACGTGATTCCCCCAAGCTCAAGCCTTAAAGTTATATGTACAGTGATTCCAATTTACCAAGGGGAAGCTCTACATCCTGAAGACCCTGAGCGATGACGAAATCGCTAACACATTCTGCCAGATAATCAAACAAACGAATCCCCGAACCGACTCTCAAATCGGAGCTAATGTGATATTTCTTCACTTCTTCCCTTATAGGTGTACCATGTGCCAGCTCCAGAAGGAGCACTCGGAAATTTGTGCCCCCAAGATCCAACGCTAAATACAGGCCCTCCTCTGAAAATATATTTCATCGTTATATTACACGTATACTTAATACGTTTAATCATTTCTAATTAAAATATTCATTGACGTAGCGTTACATGAAAAGTCAAACGATCGGATTCGGAATAATTACACCGTGTCGTAAGCATCGAACGTGTAAATTATTTTCAATATTTAATTTCTTTTTAATTGCAAATACTTAACAATCTTTATAGTCACAGGAAATTGATTACATATCTGTAGTAGTTTGAAGAACTGTACGTAAGAACCTAATAAAAAGACTCGAAGAGACAATTGAACTTGATCTCTTAATAGCCGTTAACGCGTACATGCGATCATAAAAATTTATATTGATTTATAAATTTATCTAACATTTATCTTTATTGGTGAAAAGTTTAATAGATCCATAAAGCGTAACTATAGGTGCAATTGAAAATAGATCAAGATTAACGACCTGTCCCATCGAGAAGTTCCGGGACGTATGTGTTTTCCATTTGCAGCGACGATGGTTGCAGATGGATTCCTTTGTTCATTTCCGATAGGAAAACTTCTTGGATCTTCCTCACGGTCGCAGCTGAAAATTTCATCTGCGCCAGTTTTTGCTCGATCTGCAAATCAAATATTTGGTATCACTTCTACGCGATAAGATTAAGAAATTTTCATCTATAAATCATATGTTAATGTTTCGACAAATACCATCGAATTAGATCATAAGCCATTTCAGTTGGATCCAAGACATCGTTTATGCCTCTGTTACGCGATGTCTGATAAAATTTCAGATAAACAAATTAACGACAGAGAATGTGTTTCCAGCTGATTAGTCCACGAATTCATAACAACGGAGTCTTTGCGGTTGAAAGGAAGTTTTAATCGAAAAACAACATCTTTCGCGTGCACATGGTTAAATACACTTTACGTTAGCGGTTTATGTAATAGCTACGATTGACGTTATCGCGACTGACGAACGTTGTTAGCTACTTCCATTGCACTGTAGCACTGTGCAATTTTTTTTCTCATTTTTTCAATGCTTATCGCGATAGTTTTTCCGGCCATACAGAATTCGTGGTAACGCGTGTACAAATGAAAAATCGAAAACCGAGCTTCGTTACGATCGGCTCGATACCAATGTTTCACATCCGTCGAAGGTAAACCAGTTGCATTCACGCAAATGTATTAAAGGGTTACGCTTAGTTGGGATCGGGTAATTTTCAAGATTTTTCTTTGCCGTCCTAATAAATATTTACTATGAAGTGAAATATACCATCGAAATATACATGTTTTAAAGTAGTTTTAAGATTTTTTTAAAAGTAAAGTGTTGAATAATGAGGGAACGCTCGTAGAACACCCTTTTCTCGAGATCACTTGCGGTGGCCACGATATCATCCAAACCGCTTATTTGAAATCAAAACCAAAGAAGATTGAGTTGGTATATTGTATCGTTAAGTGGCTGAACGAAGGATTTTTAATTCCATTGAAAAATTTTTTTTTATCGCAAAGAAAACAAAATTTGACCACTTCAAAAACCGGATTTTTCAGTAAAATTCTTGTCATTTTAGTGAAAATCATAATTTCGCAGAACCCTTCGTTCAGGCCCTCAACAATACAATATATTAACTCAATCTTCTTTGATTTTGATTTCAAATAAGCGGTTTGGAAGATATCGTGGCCACTGCAAGAAAAGTCTTAAAACCATAAAACTACTTTAAAACATGTATTTTTCGATGGTATATTTCACTTGATAGTAAATATTTATTGGGACGGCAAAAAAAATTGTTTTCCCGACCCCAACTATGCGTAACCCCTTGAACCGACCGGAGAAAAACAAGAAAATACGCGGTTCAGACAAGTGCAATCCCGTGGTATCGCATTAAAATTATGATTTATCAAATATAAACTGAAAACATTCGTATAAGCTTCTGTTATACAGTCTCTTACAATAAGTTGATAAACAAATAGAGTTGAACTAGAGTTGCCGGAACTGTAAAGATATCTACGGAAATCAGCTTTTCTCGGCTCGTAAACAATAGCTCGTAATCATCACGACAGAAGGTATTAATGGTCGCATGACAGTTTAAATGAAAAGAAATTTATGACCGCTCATAGTTTGAATCGTTAACGATTGCGATCGCGAATGATAGCATAGATGAAATGATCTATTTCGCGTGGATCCGAGACGGAAACGTGACCTGCAACGCGACGAAAAAGAAGCAAGAGCCGAGATCGACCGTGACATTGCTCGGTTAATCGAATGCAAAAAGAAGTGGGTAAAGAACACGGTTGGCTCGTTACACAGACTCCGAGTTGATGTAACACTAGCCTTGTGCAAAACATTTTATTCGTCCGTGTTACGAAATAAGTAAAAAGAAACGGCTAATACGAAAAAAAGAAGACGAAACATTCCAGACGAATATCGGCCGCGTTAAAATCGTCGAAGTTGCTAAATGGTAGCTGCAACAGTAAATAAATAAAAGCAGACGATCGATCGTTTCCGATGATTCTCACTGCCACGCGAAACATATCATCGATGATAACTCGGCCAAATGTCGTGAACTCTTCATAGGGGAAATTACCTTACGATAACCCTGCCACCGAGGGCAAGAGATAAGCAAACGATTTACTAACAGTTTACCACTAAAACAACGATAAATCCATAGAATCTAACATTTAGTCCCCTCCTCTTGTTTGGTAGGAAAAGTACAATTTGCGTCGTCTTCATTATTTCCTGTTTCGCTTTTCACATTTTCTCTGTTTAATTATGCGATAGTGAGGGATTTAAGCACTGATTAGATCAGAATGTAAGACAATTATTTGGATTCCAAGTCAAGCTCTCCTTAGCAAATAAATGCGTTTCTTTTTCCATCTTTCTCCCTAATCAAGAGAAGCCTACCTAGCACCGATATTGAACTTGATCCTATTCCTAATTTTATCAGAAATATTCCAACCCAACGGTATTAAATTTGGGTATTGGAACTTAATCCCGATGCCAGTTCTGTCAGAGGGAGAATCATCAAATGAATCAAAAACTTTCTATAAGGAACGACGACGGGGTGTTACGTAAGTAATTGTACCAATTTGATAAAGGTATAATCGCAGATTGAATAAATGGTCGTCGTATAGAGATTGACAGCAGCAAAAGTGAAAGCACGGGAGTACTGATCGATCGGTGTCGGTAAACTCTTAACAAGACTGTCGCAAGGTTAAGGACTCGACATGTCCGCCATTTCTTGCATCGGGAATGATTCAACGCGGTCATCGTCGATCGAGCAAAGATTAGATCAATCGTGCGAGGAGCGCGTTAACTTGTCAATGACAAAAAGTTATTGAGAAGCAATGATATTTCGTCGGACGATGTCTGAAAATAACGCGCTAAATCAAATCACATTGGCAAATATCGAAACGTTATTTGGGCAAGTGTTTCAGTCAATTTTCATAATTTCCAGTTGTTATTCGAATGAATGCCGCTCTTATCGAGCGCACAATTACAATGGAACTTCCTCGTCGTTTCCTCTGTTTCGCGTGTACACAAGAACTGCAAATTCACGGTCGATGGAGTTGAAATCGTTTAGATAACTTGTAGAGATGTGCGAGTACTCGAATTTCGAGTCAAACAGTGATCGGACGGTCGAGCCAAGTCGAGCGCTTAAATTTGCCGAATTACTCGAAATCAACGAACTGTTCGAAACAAAAGCAAGCTACTCGAAAAAATTCAAGTAAATCGAAGTTTTACGACCGCTCGAATATTCGAGTAGCTCGCTTTTATTTCAAACAGTTCGTCGATTTCGAGTAATTCGGCAAATTCAACCGCTCGACTCGGCTCGAACAATTCAGATCGGCTTGTAAATTACGGGTACTCGCACACCTCTAATGACTTGGTGAAACACAGTGAAAAACATTTGAATTAAGATATCTCCCTTACCTTTTGCTGCTTCACATCGTCCGAAAGTACCAAAGGCGCAACTTGTATCGCCTCGTGGAGTGCGTGCTCTGTAGGGACGACCATTTCTATGGGATCTTGAATATCTGGAAAATAAAGAAAGAAATAATTAGATTTGATAGAAAAAGTAGAAAAATTTCCATAAACTAGTACTGAACGCTCGAAATGTTAAATGAAGACAGAAAAATCAGTATTTACCGAGAATTTAATCGGTACACGTGCGACGCGTGCTCACCTGATTGACGCGAATGTTATCTTCCGATAGAAATGTTTTCTTTTTCTTTTCTTTCCTTTTCTTTTTTTGAATGAATGAATAAATCAAGTCACACTACAATGCAAACGTGAATGAGTCTGCCGCGGCAGATGATAAGGTGCGCCTGGCAGTTTTCGAGTCGCGTGTTTCTCCGCGAACGCGAGCAATCGTTCTGAGAGAATATTAAAGAGATCAACCCGTTTACTATTTCTCGCATATTTATTTTCTCTCCTTCCCTCGTCGTTCGGTGAGACGATAACACCGCTTGACTGCTGCCAACCGAAAAGTTGAAAGTCCACGGATATTTTATAACATTTGATAACGCTAATATTGATAACATTAATAACGATAAATTCAGTTTGTTACATCGCGTTGTCTTGGAGTAACATTAATCAAGTATATATATACAGTCCTCGGATCGGCGTATCGCATAATTACTTCGTGAGTAATGGATCAACGTTGCTGCATCGATCATTGTAACACTCGAGTGGACTTGAAGTCAAGACGTTGATACGGTACGATTCAAGTACGAAAAAATATAAATCAATGATCAACTTCCTTTCAGAATAATCGACATTGTATTATAATTCGAGCGATTTGAAGGAAATTAAGCAATTGTGTATCGCGACGACCTCGGTATAAAGAAAACTCCCTCTCCAGATTTCTGATTGATCAAAAAACGTGCACGTTTAACCGACATAATTACGAGACAGACGTACGATGATCTATAGGTCATCAACAATCGTAACTTTATCTCGTGACTGATTGATAATTTTGAAATATACTTGTGACTCGTGTGTACATTATTCCCGACAATTTCGTTATACATCTTTGGCCAAAACATCTTGTCTGTGTCAACACTTCCCGATATTGTATGCGAACCAAGTGAAAAAAAGGAAACGAGAGCAGAGGAGATCGAAGATAGAGAAATGGATCGAGTACGAGTCATTGAACTATACTGCTGTGATGACGGATTTGATGAAAATCCATAAATTAGGAACCTCTTGTGGTCACCGTTCACTAAAATCACTCCTTCGAGTCAGATGTACTTCCGGATGTCTTTGATCCAGCGAATGAAAGCACGATTGTAAAGTACAGATCCCTCGACCCAGTTCCCTTCGTCAACTTCTTTAACAGTGGGTTTTTGGAGTAGCGTGTTCGTCAGTACGCAGTGAATACGCGCATATACACAGGGTGTATCAAATTTAAACCTTGTCAATTTTTTTCTACGAACAAATCTCCAGGTTTCACGCTGAACGGGTTAATTCGTATAAAAAATGAATAAAATATGCACCGAATTGAAGCAAGATATACAGGAAATTTGTAGAATCTTAAATACAATCTTCCTATTGATCGTTTGATTTATGGACACACTGTATACAGAACTGGAGTGCACTAACTACGCAAGCGCATTCGTATTGCAAGTGCAATTTTGTGCATAAAATGTCCGCCAAACGAGCAAGGTAAGCGACCTTTTCTCTACCAGAAGGAATCGATTTGATTCGAAGATACATCGTCGACGAGGGATGAAAGAATGCGCAGAGAAAGTGTATTTCATAAGGAATAACATATTCGTGGATTAAAAATAAAAGAAAAATGAATTCCAACTTTAGTATCGATATTAAAGACATAAAAGTTGAAGAACCCGTTCGACAAGCTACCTGGCGCACCCGTTCTCACATACCTTTCGGATGTAGCATTTTTATTATCTTTCTACTTGTCTTCAGACCGATACTACTACTTCTACGCTTTTAATACGACAATTGCACTTTTGTTAAAAAAGAAGAAGCGCATCTTATAAATCCCACAAATCATTTTCAATAGCGAACAAACGCACTTATAATTAGGAAACAGCCTTGAATAATTATGAAATATGTGATTCCATTAAAAGGTACAAAGGTCACCGTGAAATCTCTGAAGCACCACCACCTAAACAAGACTCGTATTTCCCTCAAAACAGAGTCAGTTCTGTTTGAAATATTTAATTAAAGGCAAATGGTTCAGAAGATAATCGCAAGGAAAAATTAAAATGGAATACAGGATATATACAAATTTTCTAATAAAAATTATCAAAAATATACTCATTAAACGTTCCCTCGAAATGGATATCTACGAAAAATACGTGCAACGGAGGACGTCCTATCGTTCCAATAAATTACAATGCGCTCTTTGTAAATTGCGCACACGCATTCAGATTCTACACGGTAACCGCGTGAACGTACCGTACAGTTATTTACAAATCAACGAATCGTATCGATGATCGTTCAAATCTTCTCGAATTAATGGTACTCTAATTTTTGTCACGGTCAATTATGCGAGAAGGCACCGCGAAACACCACTAGAACATTCTTCCGAGCCATCAAAGTCGCTCCGAACGAAGCTCTATTAAAATCAATTGGAAGGTGCAAAACGTCAACCGAGATAATTCCAGCCAGTTGACCTAACGTGATGATTCTAATCCATAGTGCAATACGCATACTTGTCACACGGGCCACTTTGAAAGCGACGATTCAAAAGACGCCATATGGTTCGAACAACGGTCCCATGGCCAGACGACGCACCTAACGATAATCATCGCTTTTGACTACTGCCATCAATGAATCCATCATCGTTTATCGTCCGTCCGGCGAACGAACCGTGGATACGTAATTCTCTTTCAAATTTTATGGAAAAACTGGAAGCACGCAAAAGTATACTCTCTGTACGCGAGAACAGACTACCCTTTCGGTTCACAGCGTGCACGCTTATGTATGATCTTTACCGGTTGAATTATGGAGCTTCCGTGAATTACCGGCCCATTATCACCAAGGTCTCGAATAAGGCTTAATCGAATAGAATTCCCTCGAGTACGGTGGCTCGATTATACGTTTCGAGACGCTGAGTTTTATCGTTAGCATCCTTTATAAAAGTCGAATTTCGAATTTCGAATTTCGAATTACGAGAACGGTTACGTCTATCTCCACGATATTTCGCGTATCGTTTGGAAAGAATTTCGTTATCGCTGCGACACTATAGTGTCGTAATTGAACGCAACAGCGAAAGCGATATCATAATTGGCTTATTAAAATTTGTAAATCCTCTCCGATTGATTATCGAGATTCGCGACGCCGACGCGTTATTTTTGGAAGTGTTCTACGGATTAGGCCACTAAATCCAAGCACGTTCGGGGACACGTGTTCGCGATAGCTGTCAAGCCTTCTACGCCGATTCCTCGAGTTTGATATTACGCCTCGTGAAATGAGACGGTACGATGTTTCAGATAGTATTACGACGGACAGATAAAATGTGTGTGATTTTAATACCATAAAAGTTTAAGAGATGTGATGTAACCGTGACGTGATAAGACTACGTAAGTATCTTTCTCGCAATGATAAAGTTTAGGAAATTAATTTGCACGATAACAATCTGGCGGAACGATAAACTTCTTATCGACAACGTTAGTGATGTTTGACAATAGTGTGACGGTAGAATAGTATTCGTTGGAAAGTTATTGTGTAACTCGACCTATTTATAAAAAAAAAAAAAAAACAATAGTAAAAAAAATGCAACAAAATCGTCTCGCTGATAACAAAGTCTAAAATCCTAATCGAACAAAACGCAACCGTGCATATTGAATATGCATGAAGCATCGATAATGATAATTTCAGAATTTCGCAAAGCGACGTTAAGGCACATTATGCCCGTGAGAAACATAGGAATACGTTAAGGAACGCGATGACAACACAATGCAGCGTGTCAACGTTTCAAGGACCCCACATGGGTTCGTCGACGCGGTAAACATTAGACTACGCGTGGTTTTATATCGTTCCTAGCGAACCGATAGTGACAACACGAACGTTTGGAAAACCGGTTCGATAAATAAGTACGTTATTTAATTATGCATATGCGTGTTGCGTAGTTTTGAACGCTTGTAGAATGATTTTCGTTGAGAAAATTCGATGGAAGCAAAGGACGTTTTCTCGCACGTGCGCTTCGTGCTCCGTCTAGGTAAATGAGAAACTGCAAGCTCACCCTAACGATTTCTACGTACGACTGTTGACTCCGCGATCGCTCCAGCTTCTTGATCCTCTTCTATCCTTTGCCGGGTCTAGTTACCGGTCAATGACTGTGAAGTTTCTCGAGACGTGACAGAGCACGCACACGTACAAGCACGTGGGTGGGATACCGTGAAATGTACTCCGGCTCTGAGGAGCAACTGGTCGAGCCTCCAGATCGCCGGTTTCCCCACTGCTCGAACTTCATATCGGCGCGTATTACGTGCGCGCGCCTTTGCACGCGTACACGTGTCCCGTTGCTGCACACAAACGCACTACTACACGCGAATACGTGTACGCATTCGCACACGTCGACAGATTCTGATTTATTGTCGCGTGAATACACGCGCGCGCGCCTATGCCACGCACACACGCAGGGGCACATAAGTATATGTCCTGGAATATCGCGTGCAACGATGCCACGTGATTGTAGTAGCAATCCAAAACCAGAAAAGACGCTCATTAATGCAAGGATTTCTCAGCAATATGATCTTGATACCAGATAATCCAAACAAGCTTGTCTTCTCGGATCACTTCACTACCCATCTCTATCTCCAATCCAGTCGACTGATATTATACGTACAGGGGAGTTTGAAAGAAACTGATTTGAATATTGTACAGTCGAAGGATCGAAGGCACTTTCTGGCTTGATTAACTATATGTAGATAAGCAGCGTATGAATTTATTCAGCGTAAATTTAGTAAATATAGAAAAAGCAGAAAAAGCACTGTTCCTATGGTTAAATGGTGTTTGAATATAGCTGCAATAAAATAACATCCATCTCCTAAACTACATAGGCTGAATGGAGTTTGATTAAATTGGTCAGCGTGTTTAAATTTAGATCGTTACAATTGCCCGACCCTTGTAGTTTCATAATGTATGGCACCATCCTATAGACAACCATCTTGCACTTCGAAATGATAACACAGGTCTGCGATGAAAAAAATACAAGGGAATTAATAGCTGAACTTTATGTATTTTTTGGTGCTGATTTCAAAAAAATTAAGAAAAATTTCTATCACGTCACGTTTTCTCGAAAAATTCAATTTTACTTGGATTTTTATGAACATTTACTACCATAAAAACTTTTATTCAGCGTTGAATTTCTTCCCTCCCTAACGTGGTAAAACCTACAGAATACCCCACTGTGACATCTCCCTGTCGCAATCTCTCTCTACTAATAGCGTCGCGCGAATCCTTATCTCATCACTATCTTGGTTCGATTGTTGAAAAATCAATTTGCCTCACCAAGAATCGATTTATTTATTTTACATAGATTTAAATGGATAAAACCCACTGTTGCCAGGTAGTACATGCAAAATTGTTCGCGAGAATTTCTTTTCAAATAGGATTGAGCAAAAGTATCGATATCGATTTTACAAAAAATCCTGACGTGATAGAAAAAAATGGAAGTCATTTTCAAAATCAGCACACCAAATAACATAAAAATCAGCAAAAACTTCTCTTGTATTTTTCAAAAACTTCAATTTCACAGACCTGTGTAAGTAACCAAAGTATAATTCATGTCGAGACTTCAGAAACATGTTGAAAGTCGGCTGTGAAACTGTGATAAGAATTGTAACGTAACTGCCCCAGACAATATTGTCCCTGAAAATTTTGATTTATTTAATGTTAATGTATATAAAGTGTATATATATATATATATATATATGATTTAAAATATCAACATACCTATGGTCAATTCAGATATACTGTATTTGTTTATTTATTTATGAAATCATAAAATCGTGCGATATTCAATTCTGTGTTTACTTAATTGCTAGCAAACTTCAGTTGCAAATTCGGATACTATTGTTATTGCATTTGTAAAGTCAGTAAAGTGAGATGTAAAAGCGATGAATATAACAACCACATTACTCCGGTAACATATCATCGCCTAGTTCTTCATCGCCGAAATCGTCGTCCCTCTTTCCCGCGGACGTCATGGGGCGAGTAGGTAGAGGACCAATTGGATCAACATAAGCCGTGTCTACACAAAATATTTCATATTTATTTTTGTTCTTGACGTATTAACAACTGTCTGATGTAATGTTTTATTCATAATTATTTGAGAGCTTCATAATAACTTATAGACTGATAGTTATAGTTTCAAAGTTACTACTTCGCAAAGGGAGCAAGAATAGACTGTTCAAAATAGCTAGACTCATCTATCATCTGTTCAATCCATTAGGGCAGTTCAACCATTGTCTGTAGATCATTCTTATTAATACCCATTTCGAATAAAGCTACGCATTTCCAAACCTCTGATAACTCTAATAAATGTTCGACTTTCATATAAACAATGACTAAAGATAATTAAATATAAAATACTTTACATAACAATAATTACACTGAGAATGAATATGATAGTAAGATTTATTTATATAACAATTTTGGTTTTGAATAATACATACTTGATTGTTCGTTCACATCGGTTACTGTTTCTGCAAAATTTTCATTGGTAGAAATTCGGTTGGTTCGGCCAACACCAGCGCTATTCAAACTTTGATTATCTTTTCTACCATGGGTGGGACTTGATCTATGATCTGATAATACACTCATCCCGGAACCAGTTCGTGACGATGTGCCACTATTACTCCTTCTTGAGCCTACAAATATTACTGTAATAATTTCATATCTGATAAAATTTACAATATATGTACCTGGTCTTGCTGAACCTTGTCTGTCTTTTAGTTCCCTTGCTTTTTCGACACGCTTTAATTCTGTCGCATACAATTGAGCCTCTTTTAAGCCAAGATCGCTACATAAGCGAACCAAGAATTTAAGGCACTCAATGTTCTCAGGGAATTTATTATGAATGTCTTGATATTCCAGGAGAGCTTTGTGAAATTGACCTGTTCGTCTTAAGCAAGCGGCAACAAGTAATCTCCACCTTGGTTCATTAGGAGCAAGTTCCACTGCTTTCTTGAAATAAACTAATGCTTTCTCAGCTAGCTTGAATACATCACAATATAAATTTATATTATATATATATTCAATTTGTAAAAAACAATAGTACAATTATTACCTGCATTGTTACAAAATATGATCCAAGCCAATCGATTACTTCGAAATTTGCAGGAAAGAACCTATACGACTGTATGAATATTTAGTTGAAATATAATTGTTAAAAGCAACAATACCATATGTTTATGCAGTAAAACTACTTACATCGCTGTAAAATTGGTATGCTTGTTGTTTATCTCCAACACTATCATACATTTCTCCCATTTTTTGCAAAACCCCAGGATCACAAGGTATTATACCAAGCAACTGATTATACCTAAGATAATTGAAAACAATTTTATTATATTCCTAGTAAAATCAAACGAATTTAAATATGATATATTAGAAATAACGACAATACCACTCTGCTGCTTGATCTGTCTCATTCATAAGTTGATACAAATGACCAATTTGATATAAAGTCTGTGGATCGTGTCTAACGATATTACGAACTTTCCAAAAACATTCCAATGCTTCTTCGTACATATTTTGTTTCTTGTACACTAATCCTGTTAAAGAACTTTTATAAATTCTCAATTTGTACTACTTAGCACACATGTATTGTAGCTTAGACATACAAATGTTCATAAGAATTACCTAGATTATAAAGAGCCTGTACATGACTAGCATCTGTATCTAATGCACAAAGAAGAAACTCTTTGGCAATATTTAATTCGTTCTTTCTGAACGCGCACGCTGATAAATTGACATAAGCTGCCGCATTATAACTGTCCGCATTTCGAGCGATTTCTCCGCATTTCTCTGCTTGATCGTAATCTCCTTGCTTGCAGTTAAGTAGAAATTTGTGTATTACGTTGTTATTTATTTACAGCCAATGAAATAAATATAATCACTTACAAGAAAATAAATAAATGAAAGCATAGTGGCAGCAGAACTATTAGCTTTACTTTCCCGATTTTCGAACATTTTCAAGGTATCGATAGCTAATTGAGTCTCTCGATTGTATAAAAACACCATAGCTTTACTTATTTCCAGATCAGCAGCTAATAATCCATAAGCCGAAGACTTTATTGCATCGACACACCTTAAGAAACAGAATGATAATTAAAAATACAAAAATTTCGATCTTAAATGAAATGTTTGATAATTTTCTAAATCTTACCAAGCAAAACCAGCTGTAAGTGTATCTTCAATAACAGGTGCTATAAGTTTTGCAGCACAAAGAATAGTTTTTTCAGCTTCGGATTTCACTTCTTTCTCTAGCTTAGATAAATCATCGTTTCTTAAAATTTCATTCAATATATTAGATGCAACATCATCCTACGGAATAAATACTGTTGTGAAAGAAACCAAACGAATATTTCATTGAAAATTAGTGATGAACATTTGCAATGTGCTTAGTACATGTAATTATTTCTAGTTGCTACAGTAAAGTGTTAGTGCATGAAATTATAATTTAATTAAAAATATGGTGCCTGAACTTATTTCAAGCACACCAAACACAAGCAATAAATAGTCATATATCTTTTGAATGGGCAATGCTCAACATTCTAGGTAGTGACCATTATTAGTATGCCCAACTCACAGTATTTATATTATATCTGTCCTCCTGATCTAAGTTAAGTTGAACTTCTAACAATTCTAAAAATGCTCTTTTCATTTTATCCCTATGAGACAATGCAAAATGGCATAACACAGCATGCAAGCCTGCTTTAAATTCAGCTCTTTCTTTCATGACCCATTCAAAACTATTAGCTGCTTCTTCCAAACGACCCATTTGAACAAATAGCATTCCAATGTTATGCATTATTTTTATTCTGTGAATTATTTAGCAAATTAATATAAACAATAAATACGATTTAATGCTAGAAGCTCAACAATGAATATCATTAATGTGCTATCGTTTCACTACCTTAAATCTTTATGAGCTGTTGGTGCTTGATCAAATGCCATTCTATACATTTTAATTGCTTGAGATAACTGTCCCATTTTAACATAAATATTTCCCATATTTACTTTAAGTCTAGCACTATTACTAAACACTCTGTTCTTTGTTATAGCTTGATAAGTGGCTATAGCTTCAGTAAACATATTATTGTTGGCATATTGAATTGCTAAATTAAAAATTACCTACAAAATTATATAATCTTTAGTATTAATTTTAGCTTAGATTACAATAAAAAGCCAAATTGCAATTCTTACAGCAAATGTTAAATCAACATTATGACTATCACTAAGTCCAGCTTGTTCTTGTAGTCTAATCAAAGCCCTTTCTCTTGAAGAAGCTTCTCGTGCTCTCTCTAAGGCAACCCTCATATTATTTTCATAAGCTGCTTCTACTGAACTTTCAATCAATTCCATTATTTTTTTCTCTGCTATTTTTATTTTCTCTTCAGGTCTGTATAAACAAATATCAAGTTATTTGAAATCTTCTTACAGATTAAATATTATTAGTTGATAATATAGTCTCACGTGTCTTCTTTTCCAGTTTCTAGAGGTGGTGCAGGTCCTTTGGTAGTGCTACTCATATTTAATGGATCAAAAGTTTGCCGACTACTACTAGTGTAACCAGCACCTCTAACAGCAGTCATTGGCCTTAGCCCACTAGTAGTAGGCCTCATCGATATACCAGTACCAGTCCTATGAAACTGAAAAAATGAATTAATTGAAAGTAACTGGAAAATATATATTTTTTTTAACTGTATGCATCTGTACTTTATATTGTTATATACACAGATTCTTTTTCACTTAATTCTAACATTTACTTACTCCACTTGAAGTACCCAAACGCATAGCAGTTCCAGGTACTTTTGGTGTAAACTATTACACAATTAAAAATTAAATATATCTTATTATTAAGTTCAGTACTTATTTTTTATAAATCATAATTTTACTTATCAGTACTTACAACTGGTCTCTTTCCATAACTTGTACTGAGAATTTCTTGAAACATTGCATCTTGTTCAAGATCTTTAATACTGTATACTGATGGATAATCATTATATCCATCATAAATATCATCAATTTGTGTTTTAGCCATTGTAAACATTTCTAAAATGAAATAGTTTTTTATTTATTTATGTCATAAACGAACATGCGGGCACCCAATCTACGGTCACACTCAAAAATCCCTAAAATCCACGCAACAGTATGCAATTTTTCGTTGGTTGGTAATCGTTTATGCACTTTTTCGTCGACAGATCTATAAAACCATAAACGTAATAAAGTTTCGTAGAAGTTTTACGTAAAAGGAAGCATTTCAACGACGTATCTCTTTTTTACAAGGCTTCTATCATTATAGAATTAATTATTAAACATCAGTTCTAACAGTTTGACGTTAATAATTTGACAGTAGATTCCAATTTCAGTGTTTTTAGAAAGGCGGAGTTGCTTTATGCGGTAGTGTCAAGCAACCTGCCTGATTCATTTAATAATGTTTATAAATATTCGAATTTGACATATAATACATGATACGTAACAGATAAGTTTAAGTCCTCGGAATCATGTGGAAATATTTTAATCGTTGACTGCTGCAGCACAATGCAGTACAAGACTGTATCTGTGATTTGATTTTGAAAAGTAATTTAAAGCAATTTTAAGAAAATGACAACTGAGCAAAGTGGGCAAGATCATTCTCTTGCAATCAGACAAGAAATACAACGTTTCGAAAGTGTCCATCCATCAATTTATGCTATTTATGATCTAATAGATCTTATATCTGATACACACATTGCAAAACAAATTCGTGAACATGTTGTTGCAATTGAAGGTATAACATTTAATAGTACCATTGAAGTTGCTAAACATATTATAGTAACTGATTTTATTTATATCATCTTCCATTACTTGAACAAGTATTGAAAATATTGATTTTGTATATAAAGGATAACATTTTGTATTATAGATTCTTTTGTTAATAGCCATGAATGGACATTGGCTAGAAATGTTCCAGAGTTACATTTAGGAATCATTGGTTCATCTGATTCAGGAAAATCTGCTTTAGTACATAGATATTTAACTGGTTCATTCATGCATGAAGAATCTCCAGAAGGTGGCCGCTTTAAAAAGGAAGTTTTTATCAATGATCAAAGTTATCTCTTGTTAATTAGAGATGAGGGTGGAGTACCAGAATTACAAGTATATAGAAATCAATATTATAAATTATTGTATACATATGTATGAATTTATATGATATATATGTTTAATAAGCATATAGTATTATTTATATGTATTTAGATTACAACAAGTAACATAAGTATTATTTATTTTAGTTTACTGCTTGGATAGATGCTTTATTACTTGTGTTTAGTTTAGAAAGTGAGGAAAGTTTCTCAGTAGTTTGCAGTTTCTACAACAGAATGTGTTCATTTCGAAATATGTCAGAAGTACCAAAAATACTTGTAGGAGTTCAAGGTAAGACATGCACATTTCTCTTAAATCTATGAATTTTAATATTAATTTATATTTATTTTATTTCATTTAGATTCAATTAATGATTCTAATCCCCGTGTTATAAAAGATGTTAGACCAAGGAAATTGGCATGTGATCTGAGGTGTCCTTATTATGAAACATGTGCTATTTATGGTTTAAATGTTGAAAGAGTATTCCAAGATGGTAAATGTTATAAAAATTTCTAGCATTATATATGTTTTTATTTTCATTTTGTAATAAAGTAGAGTTTGTAATGCAATAAATTCAGCTTCGTAATAGATAAACTTATAATAGTTTTTTCCTTACATCATTACTATTATGCTTCAGTGACTTTGATGATTATTCTGAGAGTATTCTGAATATTACAGTGTGTCAAAAAATTATACAGCATATATCTGCAAAACATTATCGATGCAATGGACAACAAGCAATAGATAATGAAACAAAGTATCCTGTTTCAATGGTTGCCAAAAATGTACAGCTTCTGACCAAAGAAATGGAAGCAACAAATTCATCAAAACTAAATGTGGGTATTGATTCCTACTAATACATTCGGCTAGAATGTTTACGTAACCAACTGTTTTTTCTACAGATCCCTGATAAGGATGAAGATTCTCGATCTCTTCATAATAGTTCTACTCAAAATGATTCTGGGACAATAAGTGATAATTTTCATAATGTACAAAATCAACATGGTGATTTTAGATCTTCAATTTTAACTCCAACTACTATCAGGTGCAACTTCTGTAAAACATATAATTTTTTCGCTAAAAAATAAAATTGTATTTATTATATTTTCGTATTACAGAAAATTTAGGAGAAAATCTAATATATTTACTCCATCAAAGAAAGAAAAATACAATATGGGTGAAATGGGCGTCGGTAGAGAAATACCCGTAAAACAGGGATATTTATTTAAACGTAGTAGTAAATCTCTAAAAGAATGGAAAAAAAAATATGTTACTCTACTGGAAGATGGTCGTTTAACTTATCATTCCAGCTTACATGTAATTGTCGCGTAATTAAGTAATTTTATAATATAGTAAACTAAATATGTTAATTATATATAAAGTGAATTTTGTTATTTATTATTCAGGATTATATGAATGACGCTAATGGTAAAGAAATATTATTACAATACGTAACTGTAAAAGTGCCTGGAAAAACGCCGAAAGGTTCCAAATCATCTAATGCTCAAGGTACATAATAAATATTTAACTCTATTAAACTATATTCGATTAACTTCATTTTAACTGCTCTTCATTTTGCAGAGGATAGTTTCGAATTTTCTATCATTTCGTTAGAAAATAAAACATGGCATTTTGAAGCGAATAATGCCGAAGATAGAGATAGTTGGATTTCTGCCATAGAACAACAAATATTGTCAAGTTTACAAAATAGCGATGGTGATAAAAAAAATGAAACTGATGCTTTCAAAATGCATTGTATAAAGAATAAAGTGTCAGGAAATGATGCATGCGTAGATTGTGGAGCACCTAGTAAATAATCTATACATTTACTGAAACTGTTTTTTAATTTAATTTCTAATAATTATTTATATTTTAGATCCAGATTGGGCTAGTTTAAATTTGGGTGTATTAATGTGTATCGAATGCTCAGGAATACACAGAAACTTGGGTTCACACATATCAAAAGTTAGATCATTAGACTTGGATGATTGGTCGTAAGTGCGATAACTGTTCTTCGTAATATTTTCTATTTTCTAGTAATAAACATTTAAAATAACCGTAACATTAATTTTAGCGCAGGTCAATTAAGTGTAATGTTAGCCCTTGGTAATGATATAGCAAATAGTGTTTGGGAATATTGTTTAAACGGCAAACAAAAGCCAAATTCAGATTCTCCTAGAGAAGAAAAAGAACAGTGGATCAGATGGAAATACGAAGACAAAGTCTTTTTACCACCAATTAATCCAAATATTTCTTTAGGAAAATTGCTTATCGATTCAGTTTGCCGGTAAATATCTTCAAAATAAAAAAACTATAACCGATCATGATAGTTGGATAACTTTTATACGAAATATAATATAGGGGCGATATGAGAGCGTTTACGCTATGCTTAGCCAGATGCAGTTACGAAGATATTAATATGCCTGTCAGTATGGAAGATTTAAGGACACCTTTGCATTTGGCTTGTGCCACAGGAAACTTAGCTATGGCTCAACTTCTGATATGGGTGTGTATCAACATTTATACAATTATAGTATTGCAGAATAATATACCGGTATCTTAATGTGATATTGCAGCATAAAGCAAATCCACAAAATTTAGATCACGAAGGACGTACATGTATGTCATATGTTCGAGCACTTGAAAGAACACTCGATAGTTCATCGGATTCTATGGAAATGCAGAAACTTCTCGAAGTACTTGAGCAAGCTAGTGTTTCTGGAGTAGATGATGTAGAAACATCTCAGTATTAATATTGTTTATATTATGTACTTATTGCATGCAATGCCATAATTTAATTGATGGCTTAGAGTTGATGTAACTTTTATCATTAACTGTGTTGATACTCAGAAAAACAACCAAAGTATGTTAAATGGGTTTTTAAAAAAAACGGTCTATTTCTATAAAATAGCATTGTGTACCGTGTTCAAGATTTTCTTTGTATTTAACAGTATATATCTTTCTAATCCTGGCTATAATGTTCATAAAATGTTTGACCATATATTTTAACAAGTATAACATACTCTGCATATATATTTGTACATTGAGACGTAGTTTGAATTGAAAATATAATTCATATTATTATATATATTGAACAAGGTTTAGGTCCGCGAAAGTAATGTTTAATAGCGAATTGGAGTGTACATTATCAATGACTGAGAGTACAAACACTCGTAAATCTAGTTATATTTATATACTGAATACATTTAATGTATTTGACAAATGCTTTTATAATTCTTATTTTATTAATTATGAATTAAACGTGTAATTACCTCGCAACGTGTGTAACTTATTTTTAGTACCCAAATAAATAAACTTAATGGCAGTTCTGAATTTCTCCAATATTTTTTATTTAAACTTATTGGATAAGCACATAGCTGTGGTGACATAGTATGCTCCATCCATTACATTTGAATCATCTATAAAATTTTCATGTTATGTATCCATAAATTCTACATTAAAATTAATTGTTAAAGGTTTTAAAGATTAAAGATTTTTACCTGCAGGATTCCATACATTCGTTGGAAATATAGGTAACTGACTGTAATATGTAGTAGTTTTTAATTTAGATAATTGCGATTCAGATGATAGTGAAACTCTTCGTACGGTAGGTATTCTAAACGTAATGTAAAATGGTAATTACATGAAGTTTACTTTCAACAATATTATACTTACTCGTTATTCAAATTATTAAGTACTGAAACAGGTAATGGAGCAGTTAAAGTATAAATTACATTTTTATATAATTCATGACAGCTCTGTACAGGTGATTTTTCACAAACATATTGTTTAAAAGCATAAGAAAATAAAGTTTGAATATCATCATTTGGACATTCTAAATTATTCTGTAAAAGTAACATAAACTCCAAACATACATGGACTTGTGCCAATATTATTAATTTTTCTCTGAAAATATTAAATGAAAAAAGTATACATATAAATAAACACTGAAAAAAAATAAAAAATATACTTCGTTACACGTATTTACTTATAAGTATCAACTGTAAACTCATCGCATGCTAGAGTTTTAAATTTTTGTTGAATATCATATAGTTCTTCAAATCTTGAATGTATCAAAATGTGTGTATAGTCTTTATACAATTTTTCAAAACCCATATCTATGATATATTCTAATGGTAAACTGCCTGATAATAAGTGTGAAATTGTTTTTTGTTGAGGATGATTAGCAATAATTTTGGCAATTCTTGTTGAATTTGAAGAATTTACCTAAAATCCATTAAAACCATCTTTTCCAATACTTCATATAAAATTATAAAAATTTTTTCTTGAACTATTGTATACCTGCACTAAAGTGCCATTTACTATAATTTCCTTAAATATTGAATGAATACATTTTGTCATTTCAATATAATTTGAATTCACTGAAAGTATAAATTATTTTACAAATGTACTTACATTTTGACTATAAACTGTACTTACATTTTGACTGTAAATTGTACTTACTTATGACCAATTCCCATAAAAAATCAGTAAAATCTAAATTATATCTGTAGGGAAGGTTCTGTATGTACTGTTGAATTTTTATATTATTTTCAAAATTATCTTCATTTGCAAAGTTCATTTTATGCAAATCAATGGTATCAGTATTTCGAAAACTGTAATCTTTATTCAATAAAAGACTTAAATTTTTCATTATTATGTCATGTTCCTGTTTTAAGTAATTGTTCAAATGTTATTACAAATAGTTTAATATTTATATAAATACAAAAAAATATAATTTTATACAACTTTTGTACATGGACTTGTAAAATTTTCTGGGAATTTTAAAGGAACTCCATTATTATAATCACTTGTGTTCTTTTTATATTGTTCTATTATATTCAAATATTCATTTAACAACAATAATTGTTGCCATAATTCTTTCAAAAGGCTATTAAGTGAACCAGTAACAACTTGAGCAACCTAAACAAAGTACAAGACATACATAGAAGAGAAAATTATAAGTAGCCTCATAGTTGTAAAGAAATATTCTTACCAAGTTATTCTTTGTTTCCTTTGAAGGTATATATAAAGACAAACTACAAGCATTTACTTCGATGCTTAAACTCCCTTCAAAGTTGCTTTTTACATTTTCATCCCAATTAATCATTTCTTCTTTTATCCCAAACAAGTCAAAAATGCTAAATACAGATATAGTTACCTACGTATTGAAATAATATTGATAAGATACATACATAACATATCTATCATTACCAAAAAAAGTAAGATACTTACATCACGTTCACATGCGTGTGAAAGTTCTAAATGTTGTTGAAAAATTTTAGAAGAAGAATCCTTAATAACATTAAGACTTTCAATACCAGTTGAACAAATTTCAATTCTAATAAACCAGTTCCTTTCAATCATTGTACCTATTACTCTGCTGTTTTTATTGTCTGTACCATTGCAAAGTGCAAATATTGGAGATGAAGTACCTTTTATAAATTCAATACATTCATTTAATGCATTACTAAAACAAAATCGCATAATTATTAATGGTATTTATTATACTAAATAGTGTAACTGATATAGCTTTACCATGCTTCTGTTCTACTCAATGGTAAATAATGTTCTTCCTTTTTAGACCAATTTTGTTTTATTAAAATAATACTGTCTTCAACATCGTGTTCGTCGTTAAAAGAATATTTGAGAGGTGATCCAGTAACTTCAAAAACTGAAATATTTATTACAATAATTTGTGTAATGTAAACAAATAGTTTTATTTGTTTTTTTATAAAAAAACTTACCACTTGTTTGATCATGCTCCGTAAATGATAAATAATTACTTTGAGATTCAAGAGGACGCTAAAACAATGAATAAACATTTGATAGAACAAATAATTCTTAAATAATATTGTTGCTTACCTCTTTATATAAAATAATAGATGGGTTTCCGAATTCTGGTAAAATTCGAAATATGTATGATAAATTGATTTCGCCTATTTTTATAGACGGATCTAATTTTACTTTTTCTAATACTTTTAGATCAAACATTATTTTCAATAGCTTTTCAATAGGTATGTATACCGCAGTTCACCAGAGTCCATAACTGTGAAAAGACCAGTTTTCGTTCTTCACGCATCTCCAGTACGCATCTTCGCCCTGATTGGTGATACTCCCAAACGAAGTGGAAAGCGATTAGCAGAGAGCTCGGTGAGTTCCCCCACCATCTTCCAACCTGCGCGTCGCAGTTATGGACTCTGGTGAACTGCGGTATATGTATGTACAAATATCACACTTGCATTCATTACTTTCCATTTGAATTGGAATTTTGAAATTGAGTGTTCGGAATTACATCATAATCTATTTAACGCAGTTTTATATTGGTCAACATCTGTAGCAAAAAATGTTAAACGCTTTTTATTTTCCATCATTATTGTTCAATTAAATATTCCTTGTTTATTATATTTAGATATAATAAACATGCATTTCACAATAAAATCCTAAATTACATAACATACAAATATCAGAAGGTAATATTTAGTTGATTTTTGGAACAGTACTGAACATTCGTGTTCATTCAGTCGTCCCTCTGTCAGCCGTTTCGCGTTTGCGCTACTTACAGCGGATGACATCGATATGTCAATACGTATAAAGTATAAGATCTTGTACAGTGTATAATGTTGTAGAAATACAAGAAGATACACAGAAAATAATCATAATTACGATAGTGGTTAGGTTATGAAAAAGTCGAACAAATACTGGACAGGTGTGGGTAACATTTCAACAGTGTGTTTGTCTGAGGTAAAGAGGGACCGTGAGGACCTCGAAGACAATCTTCCGACTTTTTACATGAAGGAACAAGATATTCCTGAGTATCTGGAAGGCTGTGGTTTAACCACCTGTACAGCCGGTGACATGCCTGAAGACGTGGACGTCCTACGGGACAATAAAGAGCATACAAAGGAAAAAAAATTATCCTCTGCGTCCATAGCTGGTCCCGATACGAAAAAAACAGTAACTGTCAAACATCCCGAATCAAATAAACCGAAACCAACCACGAAAAAAGGCAAACCGATACAAGCTGATCTAGATGTGTCCAAAGAATTTACAAGATGTAGAGAAGAATGTGTAAAACGGCTGGATTTAAGTAAATCCAGTATCACTAATTTACCTAGTACCGTGCGAGACTTGACGCACTTGGTTGAGTTTTATCTTTACGGTAACAAACTCGTAACATTACCGCCAGAAATTGGTTGCCTCGCAAATTTAGAAACATTGGCATTGAGTGAAAATTCTCTGACAAGTTTGCCAAATACATTAGAAAATCTAAAGTCTTTAAGGGTTCTTGACCTAAGGCATAATAAGCTGAGTGAAATACCTGATGTTGTTTATAAATTAACAAGTCTTACTACATTATTTTTACGCTTCAATCGAGTAAGATACGTAAGTGACAACATACGAAATTTGACAAATTTAACAATGTTGAGTTTGAGAGAAAATAAAATCAAGGAACTTCCTGCTGGTATTGGCAAGTTAGTTAACTTAATAACATTTGATGTATCCCATAATCATTTAGAGCATTTACCTGAAGAAATTGGAAACTGTATCCAATTGTCTACACTTGACTTGCAACACAACGAGCTTCTGGATATTCCAGATACAATTGGAAATCTAGTTTCATTAACAAGATTAGGACTTAGATATAATAGATTAACTAATATTCCAAAATCACTAGCAAACTGTAAACTGATGGATGAGTTTAGTGTTGAAGGAAATCAAGTGTCTCAATTACCGGATGGACTGCTTGCAAGCCTCTCTGACTTAACAACAATTACATTATCCAGAAATGCTTTCACTTCATATCCATCAGGGGGACCAGCCCAGTTTACAAATGTTTATTCTATTAATCTTGAACATAACAAAATAGATAAAATACCATATGGTATTTTCTCTAGAGCAAAGAACCTGACAAAATTAAACATGAAAGAGAATCAGTTAACTGCTTTACCTTTAGATATTGGTACATGGGTCAATATGGTTGAGTTAAATTTGGGTACAAATCAACTTACAAAAATTCCAGATGATATTCAATGCCTTCAAAGTCTAGAAATTTTAATACTTTCAAATAACTTATTAAAACGTATTCCTGCCAGTATAGCAAATTTACGTAAACTTAGAGTTTTGGATCTTGAAGAGAATAAAATTGAGTCTTTACCTAATGAAATTGGTTTCCTAAGAGATTTGCAAAAATTAATTTTGCAATCAAATCAGGTAACTTCTTTACCTAGAGCAATTGGTCATTTAACAAATTTAACTTATTTGAGTGTAGGGGAAAATAACCTGAACTACTTACCCGAGGAAATTGGTACATTAGAAAATTTAGATTCACTTTATGTAAATGATAATGCAAACTTACACAATTTACCATTTGAATTAGCTCTATGCACAAATCTCAGTATTATGTCAATTGAAAATTGTCCACTTTCTCAAATACCACCAGAAATAGTTGCGGGTGGTCCTTCTTTAGTAATTCAGTTTTTAAAAATGCAAGGACCTTATCGATCCATGTAACAAAATTAGGAAGTTATCTCTTGTATTGACTTAGATGTCGATTCTTAATGAGAGTGATACAGAAATAAATAATATTTGATACAAATATTTATTAACTTAAATTCTCACTGTAATGATCTCACATCAATATAAAATATATGAATATTATCAATATAATGTATGAAAATGTGCATATATTTATATTCTCATAAATTGAATGATGAATAATCATATATCTGCGATACATTTTCAACATGAGGAAAGAAACATATGTATAGATATATTATGAAATTGGTGCTGAGTTGAAAATATGCACAGCAAATAGTAGAACTACAAGAGAGTGGAATTATAATAAGATATTTTAGATACAGTAAAGACATAAATTATACTGAAATTTTATTAATATGGTATACATACATACATATACATACACATAGTTTATAATACTTTACCCATCAACATTTTTTTATGTATATTTTTTAGTAATATATAATGTAATGTAATATATTTTAATTTGCATGTAATGTGCTTTGTTACTATTTTACATTATGATATGTATTCTAATTATAATTTCAAAAATTAATATCTAGCATTTAGATATGCCATAACAAACTTATTAAGTTTACAGGTTTAATACACACAGTTACCTGAAAATACTATTCTTAGGTACATAATTATTATTTTAACAATTGTCTTAGTTACAAAAGAGTGAGATAACATTATCAATTAGAGAAAGTATAAAATTAAGAATCGGCATCCATGCCTTTATATTTTAGTTATTACTGTTTGTTGCTATATAAAGAAAATCTTTTGGTGACAAAATTACAATAATAATAAGCTATATTATAGTATAAAGCTTGTGTATAATTAGTTACTTTATGTTATATCAGGTTATCAGTTGTAGAAAGAGCTTCAGTTATAAGTAATTAAAAAAAAAAATTGCTCTTCCAAAATACAAAATCTAGTTATGTATATAATTTAACAAACTATAATGAATGGTGTATTATTTTTTTATTTCTAAGACTAAATATAAACAAATTTAATTATAAAATCATGTATCATGAGGAAATCATATATGATAATAGTCCTATTTTTTAATCTTAATTTCTACTTTTGCATCTGTTAAATTAGTTGCAATATTCTGTAACGGTTATAAGATATATTTAATTGTGTACTTTTACAAAACAGTTAAACATTTAATAGTACTTGGTTTTAATGATTTAATAAATTATAATTGTAACAAGTAGAGCAATTAAAATCTTTAATTGAATCACTAGTGTGCTCTCATCAGATAAAGAGCTGCCAAACATAAATATAATATTATCTAGTTTTAGTATTGTATAAGATTAATTTTTGTTAAGTTCCATGAATGGTAGCTTCTAGTGTAACAAAAAGGATATATTTTATGGACAGTAAAGTTTTTATATTAATTGTGCACATATAAAAAGTATTAGTATCAGTAATAATATAATAGCTTTGAATGTCTCTATGTTAATCATTATTTTTAATCATGTACATATTTATAAATATGTATCTGTATACACGTTTTATAAGGAATTCATGATTGTATTAGTTGATTAGATTTTATTTATAGCCAAGGACATATTGATTTTTTAAACATATTATACATTCTTGCACGTGGACACCCTAATGAAATATTGATATCCCATCCTTTCTATTTAGAACATAACATAATACTAAAGATTTCTTTTATAAATTTTTTATTATGCAATGGCTGTGCAATATATATACATATATATAATATTTAGCACAACTTTACTTACAGTAATTACTTCAAAACATTATATTGATACATTATAAATTATAAAACATATTAATCATTTAATTAATGTTATTTGCATACACTAGAAGCACTATTCCTTGTATCTGTTACAGATTAAAAAACAATGATAAGCATTAACAAATATATGCATGAATAGACAAATTACACTGATGTTCAGGAATTATGAAATGATTATTTTTACAATATTGACAACAAAACGTGGAACTTAGCAAATTTTCAATTACAATTAAGAAAAAGTATATTTTATAATTATTCACCAATATATGTAAATGTATAATTTATCATGTGTCTACAATTTTTCTATACTAGTTATGTTCCAGGTATAAGAATATTGTGTAATTATATTAAACTTGTCTTTCAAACATTTACAAATTGTCTATTAAATAATAAAGACCGATAATAACGTTACACAAGTAAGATTTCTCTTGAATTCATGCTACATGTTTTTCTTCATTGTATAATAAATTTTGTACATGAAATTGATAATGAAAATTTTATGCAGTTAAATGCTCTCAGGTCGTTTCAAATCGAAATAATCAGTGTCAATTTATAAAAATCATGCCAAGATTGTGCTTGTATTTTCTATTTTCTTATTTGAAGTAATATAATGATAGCCATGTGTATAATTTATTAACCATACAACATTTATTCTTTCTACTAAAAATATGTACAAAATGTTATAATTGAGATATCATTTTGTTTCACTAATGTACGTATATTTCATACATTTCGAAGTATTACATTTGAGAATATATACAAAGTTGCCAAAAGGGAATGCTACAATTACAATTGTTGTGATAAACTGTTCAACAGTTTTAAAATACATAAGTGACATATTATGATATGATTGAAAGATGATTAAATTTATAGGAAAATTAAAAATTGATTGCTGTTCTCAAATTATAATCTTGTTCAACAGTCTATCAAGCGATATTACGTACATATATAATTTCGAAATTATAATATTAATGTAATTCAGTGTATATGATTATATGGGATGCTGTATATTTCTAAATACATATATGAATATACTACAAATATTTTTGGAATTTCTTATTTCATTTTTAATTATATTCAATGTTAAAATGAATTTACGAAACATAAAAAAATGAATTACCTTTATAAATACATATATGCAGTATGATTGTATTTTTCATTATCCTAGGATTTTTGATGTTTTAAAGAAATAACACTTTGTTTTTTCATAATGAACTTGCCAAATCTTACAATACCATTATCTTTGGAACCCTGCAATTTGAAATACAATAGAGAATACAATCTTTATACTAGTTAATAATTTTAAGAACAAAACATACATTGTTATTACTGTTATTATTATTACTATTATTATTATTATTATTATTATTATTATTATTATTATTATTATTGTATACTACTTTAGACCTTTCAATTACTGTATTTGAAATAGTTGTCATTTTTTTTCCAACAAATATACCAGTATGAAAAATAGACTTTTTGAACAATTTTTTTGCACTTATAAATTCTTTATTCATACATTTATTTGGCACTTTGTGTGCAGATATGTTGGATATATTCAGTAAATTTTCTGAAGTGTTTATTAATCTAAAACAAATATACATGAAGAATGATTATCTTAATAAAAGATAATATAAATAATAACATTTATATAATACCTTAGAACTTCTAATATTTCTTCTGTAAATAATTTAAAATTATTCAAAGTAAATTTACATTTCTCTATATCCTGCTCAGTATTTTTATTGCAAATAAATGTTATTTCATTATTTATAACATCAATTTCATATTTTAGCTTTGCAAGTATGGTTTCCTTTTGTATATCAGTTTCTTTTACATCTTTATTAAGTATACTGCTATATTTACATTTATGATTTTTATCATTTTCCATAATATCAGGATATTGATTAAAAAATGCAAAATTATGTTCTAAAGAAAAATTCCACATTTCATTACAAAACTTATCTTCTGTATCCCAAACATCATAATTTACATTATCCTAAAGAACAGAGAACATATTCATAAATGTAATAAAGTAAAATATATCTTTTAAACATCAAAGGATATACACTCTATAGCTCTTATCTGTTAAAATTTTACCAATTCCTCATATTTTTCCTTTAGCATTCGTTTTTTGTGTTGAAGTATGCTATCTTTTGTATTTAAAATATTTTTCATAACTTTCAGTTTTACATTCTTATTTTTATATTCGCTTAAACGTAAATAATATTTCTTACAATCCGAAGAAGTCATGATTTTTTAACAATTATTAAATTATTACAATTATAAATAACGATTTATTTAATGTACTTTGAAGAGATTCGTATTTTCTTTTTTTTGCTTTGTAGTGACATATATACTTGATGTCACGAGAGTCCATAACTGCGAAAATACCAGTTTTTGTTCTTTTCTGCGCATTGTCGCTCTGATTGGCGATACTTCCAGCGGAAGTGGAAAGCGATTGGCGGGTCGCTTTCCCCCACCATCGCTACGTTCCCCCACCATCTTCCAACCTGCGCGCTTAGTTATGGACTCTCGTGACATCAAGTATATATGACACTTCATTGGTGGTTTCCGTTGAAACATATTTTGAATAACCTACCGTATATCTTCAAATGTAATTGCGTTTTGTGTTATGGCGTGTTGAAAGCTTACCCAGTAAAATAACCTTCTTATTCCATGTAAATAAACTTAATCTAAAATTTGTTTATTTTCAAATATAAGTCATTTATTGAAGATAAATTTTAAAGTATGAATATAAGTATAACATGAGTTCAAACGGTTTGAAAGTGTTAAAGAAAAAGTGAGTATAAAATTTGAGTGTTTTATACAAGCTTTTTACATTAAGCATTTTAATAGTTTATAATGTATTCTTCACAAAACATAACAATTACATTATAACATGTATCTATAACTGATTTTCGATTTTTGATCATACATATTCTTTTTAGTAATCCATATCCACAGGGTATGCGATGTCAGAAATGTCTAGAAATGGGTCATTGGAGTTATGAATGTAAGGGCAAAAGAAAATATTTACACAGATCTTCACGCACTTCTCAGTTGAAAAAGGCTTTAAAAAAGCAGGAAGAATCTAATGGGTAAATTCATAACGAATGATCAATAATATTTTGAAAATCTTAATGTGTATAATTACAAATTTTTACAGTGAAGAGCAAAAGAAAGAAGTAAAGAAGAGCCGCTTACAGAAAAAAATGAAAAAAGAATCTAGCAGTTCTAGTGATACAAATTCTAGTGCTGACAGTAGTAGTTCTAGTAGCAGTAATGATAGTAGCAGTAATAGTTCATCATCAGATAGTGAATCAGACTCTAGTGATAGTGTCTCCAGCAGTAGCACTGGTAGTAGTAGTAGTAGTAACAGCAGCAGTAGTAGTAGTAATCATTCTAAAAAGAAATAATATTTATGCTACATATATAAGTAATACAATGTTCTAACTATACAAATATATTTTTTGTTTATTCTGTAAAATAACAGTTTTATATTTTCACAAACATATTCTCTTTGAACAATTTTAGATAAGATACAAAAACCTTATAATATAGTACACATCAATTTTTTAAATATTTATGAACTAATTTACTGATATACTATAAATATATGTACGATATTTTTTGTATAAAATTGAAGTAACTGAAGTACTTAAATATAAAATACATTTTAAATAATAATTTATATGACGCGCGTTGTAATACAATTTTGTTACTTATAATACCAATAACCTGTTAGTATATTTAGGCACAACTGAAGAAATAAGAATTTTTTAAGAATTTTTTTTATAACGCAAGTATTTATTACAAAATTGAAAATATTAAATATAGATATTAAAAATAATAAAATATTAATTTTTATTACTTTATTACGTCAATGTATAATTTACTGTAAAAATTATGTGTGTATATCATGATGTAAATAAAATTGTAACTTAATTCATTTTATCTTTGATATAATGTGTTATTTCATTAGTCATCAATACTTTCAGGAAGTGTTTGTATTATTACTTTCCTCTTTGAATCATAAACAAAGTTATTTGTTCTGAAAATATCACTTTCATAAAATGGGTGGAGATTGTATATATCGATTTGTTTAGCCTAAAAAGAAAAGATGATTATAGTAAAATTGAATTCGTACATTTATAATGGATTAAAGTGTATTATACATACTCGATCCAATAGATCTTTTTCTGAGATTTCTACACTTGTAATACGACCTCCATGTAAAGCTTTTTGAAATGCTAAAGTGTCTAATGTAATCTGTCTGAGTATGTAATATAAAAGTTCACTGTGATCTTTTTGATATGATAAATATTTCTGGAATGTCTAAAAAAGAAAAAGATTTATAACTATAGTTTCAATCATCATGTATGTAATTATTCTAATTAAAATACTTACCTGGCGCATACTTTTCATTACTGAATATTTTTGAGTCTCAACAAAGCTATCAAGCATCATTCTAATAGCAAGATTAACATCACTTTCTTGAACATGGTCACGTAGATGCATTTTAGCACTTGCTTCGGCCATACGTATAATACATTCTATGTGTCGCACAGTAATTGGTAAACTTCCAGTGGCCTACAAATTAATTAAATCAAATAACTCTGCAATTAAAAATATTTATAATCTGTATATTTCGAACTCACCAAACTTTCTTGCCTTAACTGGCTGTACAATTTTGCTACTTTATCCTGATCCATATTTGTTAATTTGGGATGAACATTTTGTCTTGCGTAAACTATATATTTTTTTAAAAGGTCTTGTGGAATAGATACATCATTCGTATTCTCTTCTGTAGATATTACTTTTCCTGCATTTGTTGGATGATGTCTAATGTGAGAGTTTACAACAAACTTAGCTAAATGCCTATCTTGCATAGGATCTATTTCGTCTTTTACAACACACAAGATATCAAAACGAGACAAAATAGGTTCTGATAAATCTACCTAAATAAGGAAATAAATGAATGTTGTTTATTGTAATCTCTATTTATTATGTCAATATCTAAGTTTTCACTTGGAAAAATTTTCTTACGTTTTCTGAAAATGTCATACTCGCATCGTATCTCCCTCCAATAGGATTAGATGCAGCTATTATCGAGCACCTAGCATGAAGTGATGTAACAATTCCTGCTTTTGAAATGGATATACTTTGTTGTTCCATAGCTTCGTGGATAGATGTTCTATCTTGATCATTCATCTGAAAGTACAGTAATGTTTGTATTTCGTTTTAAACGTTTAATAAAAAGATATTTTTACCTTATCGAATTCATCAATCAGACAAACTCCATGATCTGCGAGTACTAACGCACCAGCTTCTAAAGTCCATTCTCGAGTTGCTGGTGACTTTCTCACAAAAGCAGTCAACCCAACAGCTGAGGCTCCTTGGCCAGTAGTAAATACTGCTCTCGGTGCAATTTTTTCTACATATTTCAAAAATTGTGATTTAGCAGTTCCTGGATCCCCACAAAGTAACACATTGATATCGCCTCTTACTTTATGTTTCTCTCCTATATATTTAATTATAATATTTTTGTTGAATTATATTTATAAACAAAATATGTAATAAAAACAATATTAAACAAAGAAAATACCGGGATTCTTTGATTCTCCGCCAAATATTGATAATGCCAAAGCTCTTTTCGTATATTCATGTCCATAAATTGAAGGCGCAATACTTGCAACAATACGATCGGCAATTCGATGATCTCTACTTAAACCAATAATGCTAGCAATGTCCTCCTCAGTCAAAGATTCTACAATTTCTTTTGAGTCTTTCACTTGTAGATGATTAGCTAGAAGAACTGTTGCAAATACTGGGAATCCCTAATATATAAAAACAATATGATTAATTGGTATAAAGTTTGTTAATAAATCGTATTAATATGATTTTTACTTGTTCCGTATTTAAAGAACCATCATAACTATTTGTATAAATAGCTGTAACGTCTACTTCATCTCCAGGCTTACAGCGATCACACAGATCTGACAAAAGAATACATTCTTTACTTCTAGGTATTCTTCCTGCAGGAATTTTACCCGGCGATTCCTGGATGGTAACTTTTTGATAATTTCTATATATCGTTTGTTCCATATTAATCTGTAATTAATATTAACGTATTTGTAAGATGCACATCTTATTCATAAATAAAACGATTTCAATATTTAAGCTTACCATAAAAGGCCCAATACTTTGACATTGAGGACAGGATCCTGGCTTAACTTCGGTATTTTGATTTTGTACAAAAGGGCCAAGTACATATTCACACTTTGTACAATCGTATTTTACAACAGATAATTGTGGCAATACTCCTGTAGTTGCAGTTACAACTCCTAAAGTACGTACTAACTGATTTAAGTGAAGTTTCCTACAGATATAGTAAATTATATCATTATCGTTTTTAATACACTTTTAATAATATACTTTTGTCTTTTACCTAAATGTTCGAATTTCTTCTATTAAAGGCAATTCAGATATCCTAACATGAATTTCGCTTGTAACTCTTTCATAACTAGGAAAAATAGTTAGTACTAGTTCCTTTGCTACTTCGTCAAATATTTCCAACATTTGAAATGGGGCTTCTGGTAAAAAATAAGCTAACACGTGTTCTTTACTGGCAAGAATAGGAAACTCCACAACAAAACTAGACTATTAATAAAAAATAGAATATATGTTTTAAATCTAAATATTATTATTACTAATTGATAGCAAAAAGGCAGTACCTGATTACTCTCACACATATGACGAATTCGTTCTTTATACATATATTGTCCCTTAGAATTGGTATGTGTACGTAAAAAACTTTTAAAACGATTCGAAATTTCCGTTCGCGGTCCTAACATGGATACCCACTCTTTAACTGAATGACCTTTAGTATCTTCTAAGTTCTCAATAGACTCAATCATCTAAAACAAAGTAGTAAGCACTAATATATAATATAACAAGAGAGGATATAGTACAAAATAAAAAGCTAAAAGAGATACTTGCTTCTACATCATCAATTTCACCTGTTGCTGCTTTTTCAGCCATACGTCGTTTACGTGCATGTACATCTTCATCATCACTTTCATCTTAAATATATAAACATTTATATTATATTACATCTATATTATATTACATTTTTTTGAAATATATTAAACATGTTCTTAAAATAATATGTACCATAAAGTAAATATCTGTCATCTCTGATAATGCCAGCTGCTCTATCTCTTTTACGCATAGCAGCTTCAGCAGCTACACGTTCTCCTTGAGACAATTCTGAGTACTCTTCATCATCTGCAACATCTGGATCATATCTATCTAATGCTGGCATAGGACGATAATCACTAAAATATTAAAATGAGATTATTATTAAATATATTTAACTTCTTTATAATCATAATTAAATACACAAGAGATTTTACTCTTCCATGTTATCTCCAAATAGCTCTTCTCCTTCCTCCTCTTCTTGAGGAACATCATTATCAGCATCAAGTAAACCAGCTTCATCTTCAAATGGTTCATCTATTTCTGGTGCAGGAGATGTCATTGCTTCTGCATGTCTTTCAGAACGTACCGGAGAACTAGAATCCTATATTATTTAAAAAACAGAATATAAAATTTAATAATACATTTATGTAACATATTATAGACTTTACAAAACATTGAACTAAAAGAACTTTTATTACAAAGCACATGTATAACACTTTAAAGCATAATTTTAGACCCTTAAATATCTAATATCTTACCATTTTGTTAAGGAATAGTGAAAATTAAGGTAGTAAGAGAAAAATGTAAATTATAAAGTGTTACGAATGAAAAATAACTCTTGTTGCTGTTATTTTACTGTGCCACAAAAAAGAACTGGCGGGAATTTCTCTTACACAGCCGTCTTTTAAATTATATAGAGCTATTTTCAGGCAGGCCAACAATCATTTTGCTTCTTACTAAATAACTATAACTGACCAATGTCAGGAAATCTATACAGGAATAAAAGGGAAACTAAATTTGTATTGGTTATTCAGTAAGATTTTTTTTTAATAAATATAATATACAATTTATTCAGAATTTTATAACAGGAAATATACACTGTACACTAAGGTTAAACAGGTTAAATAAGTAAAACATACTAATTTTTAACTTTTATTCACAGATTTTGGACAATAAGCATGTTTTAAAAAGTACAAGGATTGTAATTTATCTAATACAGAAGTAATTTCAGCTTGTAAATTTGCTGCTCTTACAGCAAGATACAGGGATTCTTGAAAACGTTTTTGAGCAATTCGTAAGCTTTGAGGGACCAGCACACCAAACCACTTTATGGGATCTTGAATGTCATCTCCTTCTTTGTCTGTTTTTTTCAAGCTTATGTCAAAATTTGGAATTATCTTGCCAGTTTCTTCAGTTAATTTTGTTTCTAATTCAAATAATGTGGCTACCTTTTCATCATCAGCAGGAACTTGTAATATACTTATACTTTCTTTGCCACGTATATACTTTGCTTTAGCTAATTCAATGTAACCATCACGTAATATATTTTCCATTTGAACATTAGTCTTAACTTTTTCTTCCATTAGCTCTAGATTACGCAATAAGTTTTCATCAATTGCTTTACATATATCATCTATGCTTTCATGCATTTTGTATCAATATAATAACGACTATTACCCTAAAATTTATATACATATAAAATTTAAGTTTATTATATATTTTTCGTTGTCACTTTATAAATTAATTCAAATATTTAATTTAACTTTTATCTAAAAAAAAAATAGGCAGATGCATCTTTATATACATACCAGGTGTTATAAATTATTTCAATTTTCTTTGCCAATAATATTTTTTATTTCAGTAAATGATAATTTCTATAATTTTAAAACTAATATATTTTTAAATACGATTACAATTACATTTGACTTCTCTCTTATTTTACAGATAAGCAAGCAGTCACATACAGAATTCATCAAAGCCGTCTGAACATTGTTACATTTGACAATACTGCGTATACTTAATGTCACGAGAGTCCATAACTGCGAAAAAACCAGTTTTCGTTCTTTTCTGCGCATTGTCGCTCTGATTGGCGATACTTCCAGCGGAAGTGGAAAGCCATTGGCGGATCGCTTTCCCCCACCATCGCTGCGTTCCCCCACCATCTTCCAACCTGCGCGCTTAGTTATGGACTCTCGTGACCTCAAGTATAGATTAGAATGACGTTAACCGTTCTAAGGATGTGAGCGCGAGAAAGTTAATTTCAGATATTATATGAAAGGATTTTATAAATAATATTAATAATGGCAGTTAAAGAAAAACAAACAGAAACTTCTGCCGATGAAATTGAATGGAATGTCGAAAATGAAATTCAATTGTTCTTTGCTATGAATGGACATAAACCTGTTGGTAAGATTTAACATGAAACGCACAGGTTATGTTTACATCGATCAAACATTAAAATAATAGTTATAACTTTATATAATATAAGTAACACTAGCAACATTTTAATAAATGTTTATTTTTCAAGGAATAAATAAATATTTCCACATGATCTGTATATGGGAAAAATTTCGTGCTGCTATTCATAAGGATGTATCACTAAAATCTATTTGGGAACATTTAGAATCAATGTATGATTTGATGGCTCTGGTACTTATTACTATTTTGAAAAACATACTATAATTATTTAACATAAACTTGAAAATGCTTTTAAATCATTTTAGGATGATATGGAAGATTTACCATTTCCTAGTCAAGAAACAGACTTTTCTTTACCAGAACAAGACTTTTTGGGACCACTTAAATCCAGAAAGAGAGAGGAACCAGAAGTAAAATTAAAGGAGCAAAGAGACAAATATAAAGAGATTAAAAAAGAGAAAGATGTTAAAGATCTTATGAAAAAGGATATTGTTCTTCGTGATCTTAAAGGAAGCAAAGATATTGATAAAAAAAAAGAAGAATTTAAAAAGTATGTGAAGGATATGGAAATGAAAAAAGATAAACTTAGAGACATTAAAGATGTTAGGAAAGATTATAAATCTTCTAAAGGAAGATCAAAAGGAAAAGATGATCTTGACGAAGCAGGTACATATATTAATATTTATAGAAGTCTTAAATATTTGTAACGTTTAATAACTTCCTTTCTTAGCATCAAATGGAAAAAAGGAACGTAAGGATTCTGATTCGGGTCGAGAAAGCTTAAAGAGGGGTCCGAAACGACCAACCAGGCAGAGTATGGATAACTCGTCCAAAGCATCTTCAAGTCCACGCGATACACCTCCACCAAAACGTAGAAGGATATAACAATTTCTTTAAAGTTCAAGTTGTTTGTATTTTATACTATGAACAAACATAATTCACATTTTAAAGTATAAACAAAGTGCAGACTGTGTACTTCTTTCACACAAAGGTATATGAAAGATTATACTCATTTTATAAAAAACTTAGCATTAAATCATTGTAAATATCACGCTATGTAATGAAGTTAAGAAGTTAAACATATTATGAAACAACATGTTATTAAACACCCTAGTTATTGTAAATTACAGTATTTAATGGACAAAAAATGACGAAAATAGGATAAAATAAAAAATAAATATTTTGTTAGGTATTAGTCGGTATTTATTACACAAGTCGCAGACATCGTCATTTACATGGATGTTTTGAACGTGCTCGTGTTATCGGAACAGTTGTACGGTTCTCCAGTTTAGTTAATGGAATGAATTGCATTGCCAGAATCCAGACAGTTTTGATGATTTCAATGCGTTGAGGATAAAATCCTTCTATCGAAGCCTTCTTGCTTCACGCTCCGACTCCAGCAAGGTTAGGAGATCACCTTCTCGTACCGGTCCTTTTACATTTCGGATGATTTGTCGGTTTTGTTCACCCAGAAATTCAACCTTTACTTGCGTACATTGTCCTTGTGAACCTGTTCGGCCTAGGACCTTAATTACACGAGCCAAAACCACTGGTTTATCCATGTTTGCCTCACGTGGCTTTGATGCGACAGCAAAGAGACGTTTTAAGGAAGTGAAAGAGTTCTCTGTACATACTTCAAGATTTAATAGTAAAAATGGCGACTTCCGGTAGGTTCCTTATCGCTTCATTTGTTTAATATTTTAAGATAAAAGCAACAAATTTAAATGGACCACTTCGTCCCATATATAAAATATATATTTTTTAAGGTGAGAGGTATTTAATCATCTTAAATAGAAATAATTTTTATTATATTTTATGATTCTAGTAACATAGAGTAGATGGCATTTATTATTTCACAATTTGAACGAAGGTAATATGAACGCTTTACGAATCAATAAACATATAATTATCAGATATTAATTGATTAATGTTTGATTATTTTTAGAATATCGATATTTTTAATATTTTAAGCATATAATAAACAACTGCTATTTATTTACAGTCATTTAAGGGGGTAGACACGGGTAATGCAGTGAGGTGATATTACCGGCAAAAATGGACCTAAAAAGGGGTTTGGAAAATTACGTTTTTCGTCCTTATATGAGAACATTTAGGGCTGAATAAGGGCTCATTCGAAAGAGGAAGGTTCAATGCAGCGCGCTCTGGTCATGATTTAACGAGATTATGTTGATACCTAATAATATGAGTATCCAAAGTAAAGCAAAAATACGATAAAATACATTCGTAGAATCCAAGTGTTTTTAGGTCACAAAGAGTTTTGTGACTCAAACGATGACCAGAGCACGCTGCACTGAACCTTCCTCTTTCAAATGAACCCTTATTTAGCTCCAAATCTTCTCATATAAGGACGAAAAACGTAATTTCGTGACTGCATTTCCACAGACGAGTTCCGCTATTTTGTGTATTAGATTTTATTATTGTAACGTTATGAATCTTTCAGTCGATAATTTTATAAACTATTTTACATTTTGACAACATGTATTTGTACTTAACATCAGTTTTACAATATGTTAAACTCCTTTACTGCAGCAGTAAGTTACAAGGCCTAATTGTTCACATTTACTATCATGTAGATTGTATGACCATTAGTAATTATTTATAAAAATAAATGAAAACATGTCTTAATACGTTTGCACAGTGCATTTTATATTCAATGGCATAAGAATTTAATACTATTTCATAAGAGGAAAATTCAATATAATAAAGCATAAATATGACATTTGTATGTCCAAAACTCATTGTCAAGTTTCAATACTCATTGTGTTACATGGCAATAAATTATAAATTTAAAATAGGGAAATATATGTCCCTGTCTTACACAAGATACTAACTGATCATTGCTAATCAATAATAACTAAAATATATATTTTTTCCAATGCAAACAATTTGCAAATATGTTTTTATATTTCGTACATGTAATAAGAATTAAAGTGTAGATAATATGTTTGGTTCATTAAGTCTCTGCCATTAGATATTAATAAAAAAACATCAAATGCATTTTAATTTCATAAGAAATAATAATAATACTTGTAATCAACATCGCATTGTTAGCATTTTTAAGCAACACGCTATTCAAGTACAAAAAATAATATCATTTATGTTTTAAACACCAAGCTCTTTTCGTCATTTTTACATAAATCAATATAAAATTAAAAACCAACTGTTTAAAACTTCCAATACATTCTGATTGCATACAATTATTACAACACTACGCTAGAAAACGAGATTGTTTTTAAAATTATTGAAGTCACTTTTTAAGTAAAGTGGCCTTTAATGTACAATTCTTCTGAGAACTTTAATAGTTCGTAAACTATTATGTATTCTGTTTACAATTTGTTATTTTAGGGGAAAAATGAATCGTGTCGCAAAATATGCTTATTGCAATAATCATATTTATACCATTTGAGGTATAATAAAATTTTTCATTATAATGAAAGTGGACCCTGACATATATTCATTGTGATTACAAAAGCACCCATTTTAGCAAATAATATGGTTACGTTGTTGAATACATGTGTAGTGTACGTCACGAATAACTCTTTACAATCAGTCAAAAATTCGTTTTTATTCGTAGTTTTAACTTTTCCAACAATAATGTTGAAAACTAGCAAAGCCATAGAAAAAAAATATTTTCTGACTCGATATACCGTATACACTCAGGAATTGTTTTTCCGAAAATGGCAGTATTCGAGTACTTTTATTCTTCTTAATTGCGTTGTGTCCCAGAGCAGTTTCCAAATTAATATGGAAATGTAATCATGGTGGGTAACGAACGTTTGACACTAGTGTATAACACTGAACGGAGTAATCAATCAACTAACAATATCCATAAAACTTTTACTGCCACAAATTGGTGGAAAGCGTTTGTCCAGGGAGTGCAGTGGTAGTAGATTTTCCTGGTGTATTTGAGAAACTTGTACCAGCTAAAGATAGTTGTGACATTTGCTGTGGTAACTGGAATATAAAAGTAATTACAGTCATTACATACTGAAATAAAGGATATAGCAGGATAAGATGGTCAAAACTGCTTTTGAGTCGATTTTATTAAGTTATATACACCATTTTATAGTTAATCAAAAAGAAACTATTGTACACCAAGTTTCAACCCTGTATCTTAATCGGGAAGGTAGTTGCAGGGTAATTTTTGCCATATTTTTCCTATTTAATGGTATTCAAAACATCTGAAAAAGTTCTAAAATATTCTAGACATGTTTCTTTATGATTGTGAATTTTTTCAGATTCGGCTCAAGGGCACTGTTGACCATCTTATCCAGCTTTTCTCGATTATGAAGCATGTAATTTCCATACCTGAGCACCAAAGGCAACAGGTTGCTGCTGTTGCTGGGTTGTTAAATTGAAAAAAGGATTGCTACCAGGAGCTGGTTGAAGATTTTGTGTTAATACACTCCATCCATTATTGCTACTAATATTAGTCTGTCCTATTTGCATCATCTAATAATATATAAAACAATGAGTTTATGAATGAATAGATCTGACATCATTCATATCATATAGTATATAAAATTATATACCATTTGGGATTGCATTGTGATGGCAGCATTAGGTACACCATTCATCTGATTTATTTGTCCTACGTGTAAGCAGTTTCCTAAAGAATTTGGTGCCACTGAACCTAATGAAGTGGAATTTACTGGAATTTGATTTTGATTCACGGGTAATTGATTAGACGTGACAGGCATCTGAGTGGAAACAAGTTGAGTGAAGGAACTTTGTTGATTTGGAAAACTACTTTGTTGGCCATATGCTACCATATTTGGTACTTGTTTGTACTGAACAGTAGACTGCTGAGGATATCCTCCACCTAACACATAACATTGCAATAAGTCCATCAATATTTATAAAATTATATTTAAAGTAAGAAACGTACTAGGAACTCCAAACATGGTTGATTGTTGATGACTTGGTGTCCCATATAATGCCAAGATACTGTCTTTGGACATTTTACTTTTTTCTTGAAGCGAGGATGCCGATTGCTCAAAGAAACTTTCTTCTTCACTTTTACTCACTACCGACGATGTGTCTATAGTTACATTAGAAGAACTACTACTAGTTGAAGCTGCTGAAGCTGGAGGTGCAGATAAAAAGGAAGAAAATATATCATCCCCACTACCATTTACATTTGATTGACTTGTTGCTGGAGCATCTGTTAAAAAACTGTGTAACTTAACAAATTTCATTTTTATTTCATGTTGTAATAAATAATAGAGATATACCTAATCCCAACAAGTCTAAAGTTGCAGAATTGTTTGCTCTATTGGGTTTAGGACTGACAGAGCTTTTAGGTTTTGGCAACTGAGGCACAACTTCTGGTTTTTTAACAGGTGGAAGTATAGTTTGATTATTTGAGCTTTTAGAATTCTCCTTTTTTCGCCTACGTTGCCTTTCAGCTTCTTCATCAAGTTCTTTATCCCAGTTTACCTGCATAGTTTATTTGACAAGTCTTAAGTTTCAAGTTTTTAGTTTCCTATACAAATGCATTATAAATTCTGAATGTTTTACCTTTGGCAAGGAAGGTGGCACCCATTCTCTAGCTATATATTTTTTATGTTCATATTTTGCACGAATAAAACTTTCAAGACTACAATCAGTTTGAGGTCTTCGAAAACTATCTGGTAGGTTTGCCTCATACACTGCCCTAGCTCTTGAATTACCCATTTGCTGTAAACTCTATAAATAATAAAAGCACACTGTAATCATACTATCAATATTTACAATAATGAAGAACAATTGTAAACATACCACTACTTGTTCAGGTGTCCAAGTATCTAAATTAACAGATTTAACTTTACTTATATGAACTCCAAGATTCCTATGTATTCCAGCGCAACGAATACATAAAAATATACCCAAATTCCAACTAGCCCACCTTGGTCCTATGAAAAAGATGAAACAAAAATAAGATTATTAATGAATGACTACTTTTTAAAACTCAATTATGCACCTGAAGGGATACAGTTGAATGAAAGGTGAGATAGTAAAAAGTTCAGGTTATACATAAATCTGATGATGCACAAAATCTTTTTTCTGTGAAAATCAATAAAGAAAAGAAAACGTGTATATGAATAAGAAATGGATGACTATGAAACCTTGGTGACGTTCACCCGTAATCGCTGTCATCTACGGTTTGTCACGAAGGAATTAAAAATCTATAATGTTTCACTGGGCGAAACTAGGTCGTTTTGAAATCGATATCGACGGCTTACAGGCATTGTTTCATTTATAACTGCAATTTTGAAATGTTTGCAGAGAGTGAAGAGAGTAATGAGGCTTCATCTGTCGAGCAGAGACAAGACATCCCTAAAAAATTCACAATTGTCGCACGAACCTTTTGCATCGCAGTCGACACAATACTTGTTGTCCTCATCGCGTAGCATCTGTGTCAAAAGATTCTGACACTTCTCTTGTATTTGCTTGGAACGTTCTTTTTCCAGGCGGGACGTCATTTTTTGCACAGTGATGGGATCTTACCACACACAAGTCCAAAACAATGTTTTTTTCTCGCAATGCTGGACACGACCGTCAAGTATGTAGCATACAGCAATGTTAAGGCTAAGCGAACGCCCCCAATAGTTCAACTCGTTACTTACTGAAACGTCATGCAGTTGGAAGAATTCTATTGGATCGTATACTTCGATATCAAATAATAAGATAGATTGTCCAACAATTCTATTTTAATCTTTTTCGTGTTGTTAATCGTCGAACTGATAGTTAAATGTGTATTTGCTATGATTCAAGCATAGATGAGGCAAAGACCACTCACGCTATGTACTTTTGCATTACGATTTTCTAGAAGCTGTTTATTTTTATCTTATCTATAATTTATTGAACGAGCTAATATAATTTTTAATTATTAAATATTATAAAATATAACATATAGCTAAAAAGTACAAATAACAAAGTAGTATTAATTCAAATTTTCACGCGTAAACATTTATACCCAGGTAGTGGGGAGCCACAGATCTATACATATAGGGGTCTCCACCCACACATATCATCATTTTCCCACAATGTATGTACATACATACATAAGTACTTCCACACATACAAACTTACATTTAAATACATATTTATACATCCATGCATTGCGTATCGCTATGTATACCGCGGTTCACCAGAGTCCATAACTGCGAAAAGACCAGTTTTCGTTCTTCGCGCTTCTCCAGTACGCATCTTCGCCCTGATTGGCGATACTCCCAAACGAAGTGGAAAGCGATTAGCAGAGAGCTCGCTGCGTCCCCCCACCATCTTCCAACCTGCGCCGCGCAGTTATGGACTCTGGTGAACTGCGGTATAAATATAAGAATTCAAATTCGTTGATTTTATGCAATGTATGTATGGGATAAAACTCATGTATTAAATTTTTATTATTTTTGAAGTTTTAAAGTTCACACTTAGTTTGCATTTGTACATACAAATAAATATAAGAAATGTTTCGTTCAAAGGTACGTTAAGTAATTTGATCTATATGAAATAGGTTAGAATTAATCTAAAACAATATTTTTTATATAGATGCTTTTAATTGTACAAAATACTATAAATAACAATGTATATAACAGTGGACGTGCCAGTATATATGCATTGTTTTCATCAAACACTTCAAATGTAAATTTATCTGAAACTGCAACAGAGAATTTAAACAAAAATGTAAGTGAAGCTTCAACAGAAATTTTAAAAGAAGCTTTAACAAAGACTTCAAATAAGGAATCAACTAATACCCCAACAGAAGCTTCATCAACCAGTACATCATCTTTTGAAGAGGTAAGGAATAATATTTCTCATGTTGCTTTAATACTACTTTTGTTGAAATATGATTTTAAGAAACAATTCTTAAAACTTACTCTTAAACACAACACATTATTTTAGTCAAGTGTTGATAAACTGTATAAGACAATAACAGTTGAAGTAAGAGGAAATGATCCTGCTGTATTAAACAGTTATACAACGTTTTCTCATATGGCAGCAACACATTTAGATATTCCAATTATCAAACTGTAAGTTATACTTTAAAATAGTTTTATTCAAAAGTAGTATATATCATAGAATAACAGGGCATAATATTACAAATTAGGCAGTCACCACGCAAACCTATACATCAAAGATTAACATTGCTTAAGTCTGTCCACGTTCACAAGAAACATCGTGTGCAATATGAAACAAGAACATATTATAGATATTTTGAGCTTTCTAACTTAACTGGTTCCACAGCAGATACATATCTAGAATATATACAGAGAAATCTTCCAGAAGGAGTTGCAATGAAAGTTACAAAGGTATCATTCAAATTCTTTATTTTTCAATGTTGAGAGACATAATTAATTGACATTTACTTATTATAGGCAGAATTACATACTTTACCAGAATCAGTTCAACAAGCATCATTTCAATAATAAATAAACATGGCAGTTTATTATACCATCTTAAATTTTGTGAATAGTAAAATAATTTATGCAGAATTGGTGTGAATTTAATGTTTCCTTTATCTGTGCTATACTTTCCTTTTTTGAATGGTATACTTTTTGTATGTTCGTGTATTTTTATTATGCTCATTTTGTTACTAGTATATGAATAATTATTACACAATTCTAGAAATTAGAATTTCTTTCTTGCATTTTAAACGTAGTATATGCCCTTTGAAACAAATTTTCATTATGTTTATTTGAACTTATGTTTGGTGCTTCTTCATTTTGATGTTTTCTATTTAATTGAACAGTAGCTATACACTTGTATAGTATAAATTCATGTCCTATAAATCCACAAAAAATAAACAAGTTTTTTGAGAAACCAATAACATGTAACTATCTTTATTTTCATATATGAACATTATACATAATTACAAAAGTTAATATGTTCATTTGTTATACTATTTACTTACTAGGATATTTTGACTGATGATGTATATCAGTACTTAATCCACAGGTTAAACAAATCAAGGTTATAATGAAAAGAATTATTAGTTCTTTTGTCATTTGAAATAGTATACTTTACATATATCTATTTCACAAAGTTTCACAATTTCTTTTATAAAGTATTTTTAAAATTCTGAAATTTTAAAAAGCAAAATGAATTTTAACAAATTATATAAAGGATACATAAAACTGAATATTTAAAATAACATTGAAGATATTATCACCTCTGTTAAAATTGTTTTTTACATTGATTTGAAGTATATAATAACAATTGACTGGTGTAAATTAATTTTTAAAATTTCACGTGTGATACTGTGAAGCGAATGCTACTGTTCTTTTCTTTCCTTCTTTTTAACGCTATTCAAGATAAACCGGTTTGACGGAAGAGTGAAGTTGAATGCTAAACGAATATTTAGAATATTTTTGATATTATTTGTTCGTATATTATTTATTCGTAATCATTGGAATACGTCTGTTTCTCATTTAGAGAACTATAAATTAAAAATTTCATAATATTTTAAATATACAATTTATTTTATGCCTCTAAAACAAAAAACTAAAACGCGTGGTCGGCGCTTTGGGACATAAAATTTATATTGATTTTTATACAAATTTAATCATAACGACCATACACGAATGTAGTCAATCTCGAAAGCAGTTAATCTACCATTTTGCTTCAAACTTGGCATCCACTGACTTTTTTTGCGCCAAAATTGCAGCATTGCCTAAAACATATATAACAAAATATGAACAATTAATTCTTTTGAAATGATGAACATTCTGTTTTAAATTACATAGGATAAAAAATATTTATACCTTTGCTTCGACATTTCTCCATGGTTTTACATATCCTGAGCTAGTTGTTCCATCAGGAAACATTCGAATACCACCGACACCAACACCAAGGGTAATGTAAAACTATGTATAAAAATTCATTAAATCATCATGAATTATTCACTTAATATTCGTAAAATTCGATCGCGTAAAACTGAAACTGTGTATTAAAAGTATCGCACGAATAAAGACATATTTTATCAGGTAAAAGGAAACCCGCGTACTATAGAAATTAAAACTCCATTACTTTTGTAGAGAAATTATATATGTACCTCTTTATCGAAAGGAGCGATTTTGTTGACATTTTCCCCTTGCATCCATTCATTTGGTCCAGGATTTAGTTTACCGACCTGTTCTCCGTCTACCATAAATTCAAATCCATCACTGTTCCAAATGGTTGTAAAAATATGAAAGTCTTTCGTCCATCTTGGTCCATTCTCGCGTATTTTAGAAACGATGTGGCTATCAACGTGGTTTACAGCTGTGCCTACCATGCATCCAAATTCTAATCTTCTTGAATCGTAAATGGCATTAGCAGTAACGTTAACTAAATTATGATTTCCACGAGCTAAGCCGAGAATAACGCGTCCACTAGAATATCCAACGCCATAGTTGTTATACTTTGGCTCAAGCCACATTTCTGTTTCATGTAAAAATACGTTAAAATTAAACCAACACAATACATTATTATATCTAGAAAAAATATACCTGGATATAACCAATCTCCTTCCGGAAATTTTGCTCTTATTTCAATTTTACCATATTGAAAATAGAAACTATTCGTTGTTGTTATTCTGGCAGATATAATAGGCGGTAAAATATTAAAAGCTGCGGCTTTTCGCGAGCATTCCATTTCAATATTGCTTGTACAGCTATATGAAATGAATACGTTTTAAATGATAAAAATAAGTAAATAACATGTATAAAATGTAAAACAGTTTGAAAATTTATATTACACTTACCCGCTAAGTACTAACGTTCCATATGCCGTTACATTTTCGCCATAGATATCTTCTAAAATCAACGGTGTGAAACGAAGTACCCCATTTTCAACTTTGACTGAAGAGTCGTGATGTTCATTGTGGTACACACAAAATTCATAATCCTGTTGTATAATAAAAATGACATGACATGAAATGATTGCAAATGTTTGCAATCGGTGTAGGGCACACGAAATCGCCCGTAGGGGCAGGTGAACACGTTGAGCTTATCGCGGACCACCTCTACTCTCCTGCGAATTTTTGCTACGCGGCGGGAAAGTATTACTTTATTTTTCTCTTAAGTAAGACTTACGGGACTTAACGGTATTTTGACATCGCGTTTCCAAATCGAAGTATTCAGAGAATCGAAATTTTCATTAAACACCAATTTGTCTACAGAATTACTGGGCGTTTCTGAATTGTCACTTCCTTGTATCTGTGCTGTAATTATATGATACATACTTTCATAGAGAAAGAAAGGTGCAAGAGAAAAAACACTGATGCACATAAAACTACATACATGTAACTGTCCATTGTTTATTTTTTATTTGATAAGTAGATCCATTAACTAGCGCGTAAGTCCAATAATGTATGACATCTCCGTTTTTTAAATTTACATCTTCATTTGTAACCGTCCATTTGTCATCTTTCTTTTTATATACTTCACCCAATATTTCTCCTAACTTATTAATTTCAATCTTTTTATTTATATTCCCATGAAATGCAAAGAATTGTAATCCCTCTGTATCTATTATTAAAAAGAGAAACAAAATTTGAAACAAAAATAAAAATTCATACACTGCTTTACTCAAAATGGTAAATTCTGTACAGATACTGTACTTTTCTTAAGTGAATCACGTTTTAAGTCGAGCATAAGGAAAATTTGATGAGTAATATCCAATAACTTAGGTGAATCACGAAATTTAAACAGAAATACATTTTTGTTAAAATTAACAACCTTAATTCATATGTTTTTTAACTTATATAGGTATATACTTCGTTTCAAATGTTAATTTTTTCTATTTTGTAATATGATCTATCATTTATTAATTAACTGGTGTTAACCGTAATAAAACATACGAATGTATGTAAACTAATATTTTCATATAATTTACAGAATAATATATTAAAGAATTAATAAATAGATCCTATAGGTGGTTATTGTTTGCTCACCTGGTATTGATATTTGAATTCCTCGTGGTTTTAAAATCTTAAAAGTTGGTTCAGGTAAAACATAAGAATTAACAGAGATAATAAAGCTTTCCAAACTTAAAACAAATGCCACGAAAATTGAAACAGACATAACACTGTAGTTAAACATGTTTTTTAAGTTTGACTGATGATGAGACTTTCTCTGATAGATCAGAAATTATTTGCTACGACACTTAAGGTCATTGATGAAAAATAAAAAAATAATTGATTGCGTGCAGAACTGTCGATATTATACTCATTTAACTATCTCAGTATGTATAGTTCACGTAATTTATGAACTATCTATTTGTAGAAATGAATCAGAATTTTGTCGGTAAGGAAGAAAAAAATGTACTTTTTTATCTTATTGTTAGACGCTTCGCAAATTAGTAAGTATCTTTTAAACTTTTATTTTACTAAAATTGATGGTAAAAGTAAAATTGACCGCTTGGAATTTAAACTTGATCTTCTGTTGGTACTCAGGTCAAAATTATTAATATAATTGTTTGACAAACTTGTATTTTAAAAAGACAGCCATAAATTAAACGTTTTTGAAATTCGACCCCAGTGCTATTTCTTTAAAAACGGCTCAAACTACTCGAAAAGTTACCGATTGATTTTCCGAAACAGGGTACCGACACGAGTCTCTCGTTGCTACTAGAGATTCGGATTCGACATATAAAAATCTATAAGAATCATTTATTAAAAGTTACAAAATCAAATAACTATTGCAATTTATCAAACGTTGTAGGTAGATATTTTCACTGTGAGGTTCATTTCGGATATGATTCTATTTGCAATGCTATATTTCGATTTTTATCCAATAGAATCTTTTACTTTTAGATTATGTTATGTAGTTATTTATGTAGAATAATTTAATATGTGCGATCATTGTATTTTATTTGTACTTATTGTTTTATTTAGACCAATATACGCCCCGTTGCGGGTGGACGATTTTCGCTGTGAATGAGTGGATTCACGTCTCACAGAGAGATTTAGCACAAGGGATACGACTCAAAAGCTCGCGGCTTCTTTTTCAAACGACGCATTTAAAAAATTAGAAAATAAATGAATACAAAATATAATAACAATTCTAAAATTGGCCGTAGAATGTGGGAGCGCTCAACGACGCCACATTGTTCATTCAGGATAATCGATCGGTAAGTTGTTGAGTAGTTTGAGCCGTTTTTAAAGAGATGACGCTGGGAGCGAATTTTAAAAGTACTTCGTTTATGGCGGTGTTTTTAAAATACAAGTTTGTTAAACAATTATTTTAATAATTTTTTAGTCTTATGCTGATTTTGACTGATTTCTGAAAAACAGAATTAAAGGTAGTAGTCTTTTCAGTTGTGAGTGCGAGGTGCAGTAGAAAAGGCACTGGTAAAACAGAAATGATGGTGGGAGTACATACAAGCTTATCTCACAATCTCACCTTGTATTGCAATTGATTGCAATGTTGTTTTGGCCTTTTGTTTGATCAATATATGATATATAAAAAGTTTGTATCATGTTACTAACTAGAAATGTAACAAGAAATGGTCTTTTTAAAGCCTTGTTGTATATGTCAAGACCAAATACTATTAGTAAATATTTAACACAGCAGATTAGTATTCAGTGTAAAAGACGTATAGGTTATCTTGTAACATCCCCCAATGTTTATTCAAAGTCATACAATGATTCGACAGCGATAAATTGTAAATTAATATCAAATTTTAGTTCAGGTAATTGCACGTGTCCTCAAAGTGAGCTGTGAGTAAATATTATGAAATATATGTTTACTTTATTTTTAAGTTTCATGTTGATAAAACTAGTGTAAAACCTGAGAAATATAAATAAAAAATTTTGATCACAATTGTGTATAATCATTTATTCTATATTCTCTAATTTATGTGACCAGCTATAAGTTATACAAGCATATAAGTTGTTTATTTATTTGTATGATCTTTAATGTTTGAAAAGTTGTTTTAACATTGTTATAGGGAACTTACACCGGTAAGATTTGAGAAAGTTTCAGATGAAACTCTTGAATCTTTGACTGAATATTTTGATGAATTAATAGAAAAAGCATCACATTTAACAGAGGCAGATGTATCATATGGAGTATGTTTTCTTATAATGATTTATGTTAATTCCTTATGATTAATAAATATAATTATGAATTAGTAATTATAACTTCTAAACATAAAATGTATTAATGTTGCAGGATGGTGTATTGACTGTTAAATTTGGTAATCTGTATGGTACTTATGTTATAAATCGCCAAACTCCAAATAAACAGATTTGGTTATCTTCTCCAAAATCTGGCCCAAAAAGATATGATTTTGTGAATGGTAAATGGATCTATAAACACGATGGAAAAACATTACACGAGTTACTTAACAATGAAATACCAGCAATTATAAGGGATCAAGCAGATTTTAACAAGTGTTCCTTTAGTGGCAAAGAGAAAGAAGCTGTAATGAAGACTATTTAATCATATCATTTGGTGCTTAAAATTGTAATTATAATTAGGATCATCAGATGTACTTTGTTGAAAATACAAAATTTCACGTTTCATGTATATATTATAACAGATTTTAACTTGAAGTAGATAATACATTGTAATACATTTATGTGAGTATTTATATTTTTATAAAATATTCACACAAACATTTGCATGGTAGAGTGGCACCTTTTATAGAATTTTTCTTTCTCTGAATATAACATAATGCTTAATGTATATAAAAAAACATGTGTACAGTTCAGGTATAAAAATAGTATACTTAAATATTTAATAATATAATGAAAACCGTTAAAGTATATAAATTATACATGTATAGTCACTTTTGATGTATGTTTGTTATATATTATTTATTAAATATTTTACAGTGTAAATAAATAACATACAAAAGGTTTAAGCACTATTACATATTATTTCATTAACTTTAATATTTCTGCGTGCATTAACATATAATAATTTGAATATACTTCTAAATTGTATGTTACTCTATATTGAACAGAGAGCGGAAATGGAGATTATAGAAGATGGAAATTTGGTAGATCGTGTTAGAATTTTATTACAACGAGATATGCAATATTATCAGGTATCATTACTTTTGTCATAGTATCTAAGTAAGGTAGAAAATACTGCTCTTGTTTGAGAAACCTAAATCTTAAACATCCATTACATAAAATAATAAAATGATACAGGAAATGCAAACCGTATTGAAAGAGCCACTTTGTGTACGTATTAGTGGTGGAAAACTCGATTTTCCAAGACATGCTTCATTCGCGGCTACTAAAATTGTGACGTGGTGGGAAGCAGACTTCGAAGCTGCCTTTAAATGTTACTCTGGATTAACGGGTTCAACCGAACACGAAAGTACCACAAAGATAGAAGCTGAGGATAGAGTCATAAAAAAGATTCAACCATCGGAATTTATACTTCTTGTAGTTGATACTGCTGATAAATTATTAGGTACTTTGTTCCAACAAACTTAAGCTAAAATAAAAAATAAACTATTGCTATTGTATTATATTATTCCTTAAATAATTTCAGAGCATTTGCATATGCTTATTCAGGAATCGTTAGACCACGCGGATTTGACGGTATTAACAGCTACTTTGGGAGCAGCTGCACTTATACGAAATTGCTTATGGTGTTATAATCAACAAGCTAAAAATTTAATTAACTCGCAATCAAGGTATTCATGCGTCGCAGCCGAATAAAATATTAGTGGAAACGCTTCAAAATCGAACTTCTCATCAATTAATTTACGAAATAAAAACGTTGCAATAATTTTTTACTAAAGTTTTTTACTATTTCCAAAATTTCTAATAATTTTCTAATGCGTAAAACAAGTAAAATTTTATTAAACAGTATGTTTGTTCTTGATAGTGAAAAAATAAATAAATCATATAAATCTTATCATGAAATGGCTGAAGCAGTAGCGGAAAGATTATTGGACCTACACTGCCGTTTAATTTCGTTGTACATATTGAATGAAGCTGATTCTCTTAGTTGGCATGATACCAAATCATTTTTTGAACGAGAGCGCTGTTCTTTTGTAATACAAATGTGGTGGCTATATATGCAAGGTAATGTAACTGAAGCTACAAGCTAAAAAAAAAGGCGATTTAACCAGAAGCCTCCTCCACAAGCCAGTGCATTATGTTTTATATTTTCAGGGACAAAGGCTGATCTTTGGAATACTGTTTCCCCAAAAATGGCTCAACGTGTATTTTCTGGAATGTTAAACGAATCTTTGTCCATTCTTGTAACAAGATTTATCTATGTAAGAAACGCGTTAAAATGAGCAAAATATCGTAGTATAATATAATAAAAGATATAATTTTGTTCTAGGGTCGACCAAGTTTAGCACGATCTGAACAATTTTGGTCAGATGCTTTCAATGTTCTGTGTTGTACGGGATATCTTGCATTAGGCGCTTGTGTCAGTGCTGCTGAAATGATTGGAATGAAGTTAAACAAATTACCAATTGCTGTTAGAGATATACACACGAAATGCAATGAATTATTCATTTGCTTACTACTAAGGGGCACACCTCTTCAAGAACTATATCAAGTATAAAAATAATAATTATGTCAGGACATATTCCACGTTTTAATGTCAAGGTTTTTTGTGTTTTTTTACATTTTTTTGTTTGTTTATTACAGGTTTTTAGAGCTGGATTCGATGATTTGAGTATTTTGCAACCACGTCTTGGACCTGCACCTTGGGTGTTAATATGCGCACCAAATTTATTGGGTTCAATCGACTCCGAGATTTACATTTCAAGTTTGCCAGAAGATCGATCTGTAATTTTAGAGCTAAACGTTCTTAGACATCAACCGCAATCAGATTGGACCCAATTAATAAAGGTAGTACTAATCATGTTATGTTTAAACAACGATGGATGTAAGAAATGGTATCCGAAACGTATCAATTTTTCAGATATTTTTCAATGTATTATTTTCATTCAAAATTTGTGCAGGTAATTTCTATGAATGATTATGCAGTGGCTAAAATATTGTTAAATACATTAATTCACGAATGCGGTGATTTTACGTCCGAAGATGATTTCGATAATTTAGAGAAATTAAAACTTGATGGACAAGGTTGTGGTGGTTTTTTATGTAGTAGCGGAGCTTGTATTCCAAGACAGAAAGTAACACCAGCAATAAGTCTTTACAGTTTAATGTACATTCTAACGTGTATCGCACAGGATTCTGGTCATGTTATCGTACCAGCTTTGAAACAAAATCATAAATGGGCCAGCCATCTCGATCGACAGCAGGTATTTCTTAAAGTTTAACAAAAAAAAAAAAAAGAAAAGAAAAAGGCAAAATATTTCAAAGTGCAATTCGGGAGTGATACATATGTGTGTACATCATATACTCCCATATTTGCATAGGTTTGGAATCAGTCGAGGCCACCCTGGTTAAATGCAATTTTAAATCCGTTAAATAAAATAATGGAACCAATTATTGAATTACTTTTGGACGCTGTAAAAGTAAGTTGTCAAACAACCATGTGTGACTGATTAATGTCAGCCTTTAATTTTCAGACAGGAGCAAGTATGTATCAAGCAATGTCATTGGTAATTGGCTGCTTCGCTGAATTGTACGTGACTTTGCCGCCTGCCATTTTAAATATCGCATTGGCGTTAAACGAGAATATTCCTGCCCACTGTCATCCTATCGGTGGAAATCTTCTTCTTCATATTTTATGTACATCGCTTTATACTGCCCTTCTTGAATATTCAAGAATTAGCAAAGCGAAAGTAGAAGACAGTCCAAGAGTTCAAGAAGTAAATTACGAATTGAATTTTTTCGATCCTAATGATTCTTCAGAAACATTACTCGCTTTAGCCGAAGGTATCTGCAGCATCGACGAGGACAATAAACACACCTCTCAAATTGAGGATTTCTTTCAACTTGTAAAAGACAAGTAAGACGGTCCCAGTCCCAATTGATCACTCCTGTTGATGTATAATTAAAAATTTTTATTATTCTTTCAGCATCCAAGTAACGAACGAAGATCCACACGTTAACAAAGCAAAAAGTATATCTTCCATTATTGAAACGCACACTGATGAACTATTGTTTACTAATTCTGGACGCCGGGCTTTAAAGGTATTTTTATTTTCCATTCAAGATTTCGTTAATAAAGTCCATATTATTAGAAACTTGATTTCTAAAAATTTTATTATAATGCATTGTTTTATGTCGTAGGTAATGCACGAGTATTTAATACGTGCATCCGATTTGGTATTAAATAATTTACGTCAAAATAATGTTAAAAGGTTGATACCCAATGTGCCTGAGGTGTCTCCTCTTATTAAACCACTGGTTCATATAATGTTTCATATCGAAGATACTATGTTTGATCAGGTTAGTGGTAAACTAAAATAACTGTTAAATAAAGAAAAGAAAAGAATTTAATTAAATCAAAATATACTTTACTTCTTTTTATGCTCGTCGTTGATTCTGTTATATTATATATTTTTTTTTATTTTTAATAGTTTCTTATACAATACGAAAAAACAAATTGGAGAAAAGCTTTAAGAGTACCACTATCTGTTACGGTGGATCATGCACGAAGCCAACTTTTATTACGTCCGGAATTTAAAAATGTCGGCGAGTTAGCACACGAAGACAAAGAAGCTGTGTATTCGCTTAGAAGACTTTGTTCTTCCATAAAAACAGCACATTTTAAATAATAATTTTGTATCGCAACAAAATGTAACTTGAATAAAATTTTTATCTTCAATAATAATCTCCACAGTCTCCAATTCCATAAAATACATGCAGCCATAAACTCAATGAATTCATCGACGAATTCATATTAACTTAGGAATCACATTGGGGCTAAAGGATTCATGGATGCTTTAATAAGATTTTATTTATATAAATAGCATTAATACAAATTATGATATCTTATATATATATATATTCATGAATTGTGTCAACATCATTAAATAATAATACAGATATATGTAAGAAAAGAAATGCAGAATTGAAGTTTGTTTTCGAAATTTTTAAAAATTCGGTACATAAACATTTAGGTTTACCCAGGATCTCATCATTTCTTTTTATTATTTTTGATATTTTCATGCATCATCCATTTCCAGATACTGTTACAGCAATTAACTATTACTTTTCCCAACTAAGAAAAAACGATTCATGAAATGACGGAACTTCGGTTTGATTTAGTTATCTTCAAATCTCGGTGGTACGATGGCGTTTAAACGTCTCGATAATAATGCCATCTGAAAAATAAAAGCAATTAAAATTCTTTTAATTTTGGCAACTCTATTAGCTTGTATCAAAGTATACGACTTTTATATTTCTAAAGTGACGAAAAAGAGACGAAAGATTTTAGTCTGTCCGAGTAGATGAATTACACTTACAGTTAGGTGAGGATCCGAACGTCCAAAACGTAAGCGCAATGACGGTGATCGTTGAGACTTACGAATCATCAAATGTTCCAATGGAACCTCACCAAATCCGGCGTTTTCTAAAGTAGCGCGCTGCATCAGAAGTTTATAAAGTTCACGAATATTTTCCGCTGGTGTCTTATCCGCTATTTCATCTACAAACATTAAGTCCCAGTGGAAAAAAAAATAATTTTTAAGCATTGGTAATTTTCAGTTATATCAAATATATTTAAAATTCAATGTTTAATCAATGCACCTCCATAGTCTATATAATTTTCGGCACCAAGAACCAAACCGATCACAGTGAAGAGCAAAGTTGCCTTTACGTAGACTTTAGTTACCATCTTATTAAAGTTACCTGCAAACAAGATATCGTCGTTAATTACTTTAGCAAAACTTTTAGCATTTTAACATCACTCACAGGGATGTAAATAAATTTGAGCATATTAGAATGTTATACTTAACATGATTTTAATTAAGGCTGAATATTAATCAAAATATTGAGATATAAAAGTTTCAACCCTGTGAAAGTGTATTTTCCAAATTTATCCGTTATAGTGTTCGACAATAGGTGGCAGATTTTTTAAGGGGTGATTCTAGGGATCAAAATAAGACGAAAATCAAGAATGACGAAATAGCGTTTGCGGCTTTGTTTTCCAGTAATTAACGTTTAAAAATTCGAGTAAAAAGCGCCTAAAACCTGCAATCTGCCCAACACCGACGACTGAACGTCAGGTCAGCAGGGGTCGGTACAATCATAATCACGAATCATTGAATAGTAGAAACTTACCTCGTGCTATTTGGAGGGTACGGTCATAACCAAGAAGAGAAAGCCGAATGTTACAGTACCAAGAAAGAGAATAGCACGAGGTAAGTTTCTACTATTTAATGATTCTTGGTTATGATTATACCGACCCCTACTGACCTGACATTCAGTCGTCGGTGTTGGGCGGATTGCAGATTATAGGTGCTTTTTACTCGAATTTTTAAACGTTAATTACTGGAAAACAAAGCCGCAAACACTATTTCGTCATTCTTGATTTTCGTCTTATTTTGATCCCTAGAATCACCCCTTAAAAAATCTCCCACCTGTTGTCGAACCTTATACCCCGAACAGCTAACCCTGTTAGCTGTACCCTGTACAGCGTAACGTTGTTCTTGGAACTACGATTAATGACTTTATGATATGTATTATCATATGACATATGTTCATCATCTTTTTTGTACAATCCGTTACGTAGAATCAATATGAGTAATTTAAATCTGAGATTAAAATGATTTCAGAAATAACTGTTAAAAACTGTTTTATAAAGATTCTGCTTATTTTAATGGGGTTGAAGTATTATTCAATCTCAAGTGAATATTATTTTTCCAGGAACTCCGTTACCTTTTAATCGAATAAAATTTCTTTGTAGCTACATTGGGTCACTTATCTAAAAATATTGTGAAATCGATAGTCTAGGTTCTTCCTCAACCTCTTGGGAAGGTATCAAATTTTAGGTAATTTATCTTCACTGTATTGTAATTATTTAGACACATTGAAACTTTGCGTACCGGAATGCATGTAAGAATTTCTTCCTTTCAATTTTGACCCCTGAACTCCGATCTTATTATAAAGCCAATCCAAGGAAAAAACTCTGGAAGGACATGGATTGTAACTGACACACTAGAAAAGGATAAGGTAATAAGACTGAAACAAAACGATAGATCTCCGTCTACTTCGTTAAAGTAAAAAGAAAATGAAGTGAGGAAAAGAACTTCCTTCAAACAAGAGAGCTCGTCGCCTGCAATGAAGGAGTCTTAGCACATAATGAAAAAGAATGCTTGTTTAGCAGAAATACTGTGGTCACGGATAAAAGTGGAGAAAAATAAAGTCGTTGCATAATTTGTGTGCCGGAATTGATGAAAATGAATATCCATTTTCTAAATGTGATGTTAATTGCAAAAAATATAAATAAAACTACAAACAGCCATTAATATTTTGTTTAGAAAAGATCACTTTTAGTTCGTATTTTATTTAATTTTAATTTAAAGTCATTGTTCTATTATAATACTAAGATTTATTTGAAAGATCTAATTAGAAAAATTAGAAATTAGAAATTTCTAACGTAGACGTTTGTGCGTTTTTCCATTCAAAAATTAAAGTTCTAAGGAGTTTATTGAAAAAAGTTCTCAATTTTTATGAATGGAAGAAAGAATTAAGAGAACTTAAAATAAAAAGCAACATTATTATAAGATATAATAGAGTGTATAAACTTACCGTTCAAAGCAAGTAGAAACCAAGAAGTTTTCACTGAATCGTCGAGTTAGCTTATTGGAGATTGAGATCTTTGAAATCTGCGAATTGCACGATAGGACAGTGACGATCAGAAGTGAGACAGTATCGAGGGTGACTTCATATATATAGGGGATGCGGAGGATTTCACGGGGTAGGAGTGTGGGTGTAGGCACAGGTGGCCAGTGGAAAGGAACTACATCCCCTTCGAGCGCAAGCGTTCTCTCATCTCTCCCTCTGACTTTCTAACACTTCTTTCCCTTGGACCTCGAATTTGTTACGATTCTGTGACTACATCTTCTAACATGACTTTTCACTAATTTTCCACGAGTGGTACGCGATCACTATTTCATTGCTTTCCATCAAAGTGCGAATAAAAACAAGTAAAATTTAGAATTCCAATATATTTCATATCAAATTCATATTAATCTATCAATATTTTTATCTTTTTTTCATTGATAGAGTTCAAATGTACCTAGTTTCGATGAATAAGAGATAAATCTTAGACTTCGTCTTAGAGAAGATACACAGCAGGTGTTCAATTATATTTCAATCGCAGGCAATGAATGACCTTAGGGAGGAACATTTGATTAGGCGTAATTAAGGTACGAATCATACCGCTCTGTATGTGGTAGATAGTTGAATAATATTCCTCGTATTCTTACTTGTTTAACTATTGTGTTAACAATTCACATTTCTATTTGCAAGACAAAAATTAATTCAAAACGTAAGCTTTTGTAAAATATAGAGAACGTACGTTTACAGGTATGTACAGCGTGTCCCACCTAACTTGTCTAACCCCATTTTCTATAAAAACAAATATTTTTTATATTAGTCCAAAAAGCACTTATGATGGGTTAACCTTCCCTTGCCAGAAAAAAAATCGATGGTTGAACATGGTACGTAAGAAGTACAAGAGCGTATAAAATTACATCACGTCATTAACGTTAATGTCCACTTGAGAATCTTTCCTGTTAATGTCTCAATAAACATATTAGCTCTCAGTAATAGTCAAGTTAATTGACTACATACAATGGGACAATATATCCTCCCCTTGAAAAGCTAAATATATTTTTTAACGCATCCACCCCTTACGTATCTGCCATTTCGGTATCCGCGGTTCGAAATTCCAGGAGTTTCAAAAATTTAATTAACACTCGTAGTTTTGTAAAAAGAAAGATCGTAAAAAGTCAGAATATAAAATGTCAATTCTTTCTCAAACCAGATTGCTTAGAACTGTTTATTTATTTTTATTTCTTATAATAGCTGATTTTTATAAAAATATGTATTTATAAATTTTTTTAACAATTCAATTTGTGGTTAAATATTTGAATTATAATATAATATAATACCAATTTTCATTACTTTGATATGCATATCAGTCGTCTCCTGTGTGATACGATTTCTATTAGTTTACGGCAATGTTTACATTGGATATTTCACATCTGTTTCAAGGATTTATAAATTGTTATATCCTATCAAATATATTTCTGTAACGATTAGTATTTATTAGAATTTAATATTACTTAGCATATTATACTCAACTCTTTTAAATTTTACCTATCTATAATCCGTAGTAGTTATTTAAAAATTGGAAGTATTAATTACTTTAGAGGAGTGTTTCAGGTGCAAAGTTCACAGTTTAATATTTCACTTTCTGTATATCCGGGTGATACATAAATGATACGTATACAATTCGCAAAACCCGCTCCTTCACGCCATCCGGTGACAATTATAATCACATCGCCCACTTTAATATATTTTTTTCTCCGAAGAAAATCGACACCGCTTTGTATTCGCGTTTCCATATCGTTAGCCCAACCAGATAATGGCTGATCTAGATTAGATATATTTTGCATTCATTATTAGAATGATTTATATAACACGTTTGTGAATATCCACTTCGTAAAATGAAAAAAAAGATATACAATTTACTTTTATAATGATACGAGTGGAGACCATAATAAAGTTGTAACCATCTTGCAACTGCTCCATAACGAGTAACAGCAACAATAGGGCACTTAGGACGATATGTTGATAACAAAACGGCACTGCGACCTGTCATTGTTGTAACAATAATTGCAGCTGCATTAGACTTTAAGGACGTTTCAATTGCTCCTACGATAATTGCGTGTGAAGGATCTAAAGGTTTTGGTACCTATTTCGATGTAAAAAAATATTTTTAATTACTTAAAATATTAAAAATTATAGGTTTTAAAAAGTTAAAATTTGTCGAATAGTGATAATTAATAAACACCTTATAACTAAATTCATTAGAAACTTCCCTTTGCCACCGAGCGCTTTCAGCTTCTCTGCATACTATATCGACATTTCTTAATAATTCAATAGTTTCTTTGGAATTCAAGGCACCCGTTTTAAGAAAAACACCGTCGGATCCGGTTAACACAGCATTTGCTATCAAATTCATGTCAATTTTTGGACATTCGTCGTTTTTTACACGGAAACCTAACGTAACTGGTTTTCCCACCTATAATAAAATAAATGAACTCTACTGAAAATATAATAATTAAAAACATTTTTAAACACTTGCATTCATGCACTTTGCGATGACAATTTTTTCAACGAGAAACAATTTTTCAGGACCGACGGCCACCTCGACGCTGTCTCTATCGAGAAGGATACCATCCGCGGCGTTTAAAATTTCATCAAAATTTTCTAAACCCTGTTGTGTGGAAATCTTCGCTATAACCCGAATATCACTAGCACCTTTCCATAAAATTAACATTTACTATACATGCTATATTATGCGTTTAAATAGTATAAATGTGTTATTAATATGTACCTATATGTTTCAAACGACTTTTAATACCATGAACCATTTTTTCATTTCGTGCATGATTTACTATAACGATATCACATTCTAACATGGATGCCAGACTAACGTGTTCATTATCCATTTCAGAAATTTGAGGCAATGAAACTGCACTGTCCAGTAATTGTACAAGCTTTTCGTCTCCCACAACACCTTCTTTAATAATTTCACAAACTATGGATGTTTCACCTACGTTGAAAAGTATTAAGGTTTGCAAATTTTCGTACTTGTGTAACATTATATTTTGTACGTTATTTTTTATTTATAACAAGTAATTTATTGAGCGTTCATTACTGATGATAGAATATACTAACGGACACATTTGACTTGTAATAAAGCAGCACCACGATCAATTAGTATTTTGTCTCCAGGACGACATACTCGAGGTAAGTTAGGATACGAAGTCCAGAAGCATTTAGCACATCCTCCACGTTTTGCTATATCATTCGTCACCAATTTCACTGTATTACCCTTTATTAATTTAGCATACCCCTATCGATAAAAAGATATATTTCTCATATTCAAAATTAAATTAAATTTACGATATGCTAAAAGAAATGCTCGCACTCTATTCGTTTCATCCCCGTTGAATATGCCTGTTCGTATTTCAGGACCTTGAAGGTTCATCGCGACTCCTATAGGATAAATGTCGCTGGTGTATTCGTACATTCTATTTCCAGCTTCTCTAATAGACTGCACCGTGATTGCATGCCATTTTTCTTGTTGATGGGACATGTTTAAGCGAACTATGTTTGCTCCAGCCATCATCATATCAACGATGGCGTCAGGATAGGAATTTCTACCACCTATATCAAACATGCTATGTTTTTGACAACAAAATCTTAATTGTATTCTTTATTCTTACGCAACAACGATGTACAACAATTTCCTTACCTAGTGTAATCATTATTTTAGTAAGTCTTGCTGTTTTAGGACTGCAATTTATATCAAGTTGTACATCTTGCTCAAGAGGGGTATTCTGACAAGTTGTACGTAATTGATTATCGATTAAATATTGATCTTCTAGTTGTGGCATCTGTGTTGATACATGGATAAATAAATAAATCATTTTTTACTTTATTCTATTTTATTCTTGATACAATAGTTAATATCTAATAATAAACTATAAAAGAATACCCATGGGGGTTGACGACATGATTTCGTCCATTTGGCTGTTGATAAACTTGCGTTGGAACATATCATTATGTATAATGAGAAATACTTTATAATTTTTTGAGGCGAAATACTATATGTAAATTTTAAGAATTGCAGCCAAAAGTTAAGTAATCCATTTTACTATTGATTTTATGTAGGTTAATTAGTAAACACTAGTGTTACATTTTGCGGTTATAAAAAACAAAATTTGAATATTGATACATTTTGCATAGATGTGGTTTTAGGAGGTAAAGGGGGTAGTAGTAAGAACCCGTGGAGAAAATAAAATTCTTTAATCACCTTCTCTACAGAAAGTAGGACCAAATGTATCATCTTTTTTTGTAGTAAATAATACATTTGATTTCAATAATTTATTGGTTCAAATAAAATTACTTTATCATTTAATAGTGGTATGTATATGCGTGTGTGTTAGACGTGTGTAAATATATGTACATTTGTATATATACTTCAAAATACATATGTACATATGTTTCTTTGTGTACTCTATTTATGTAGGTACTTCATTACGGTAGTAATACTGCAACTACTGGCATTTTCAGGTTGTTATCCGTTTAAGAACTTTACTAAATTTACCATACATACGATATAAGTTATATACACACTGAATTTTCAAAAGCTAAAATTACTGAACCGTTTTGCTCTTTATAGTCCAGTCAGTGAGTGTTTAATCAACGTTCCTAAAAATTAAAAATATAAAAATATATATATATATATAATGATAATTTATATTATACTTAATATTACATGACAACACATAAAAGCTGTATTTAAATATATTTGCGTGCATACTATGATAAACATGCAGACTTTCAACATTAAAGCATAAAAATACATTAAGAACAGTTAGTTTCTTGATGTTATAACTTAGTAATAATGGCTGAATACAGAATACAATGCACATGCAAAAGAAATACATAAATGTTGATGTATTATGTGTTAGTTGTACAAGGTTACATAATATATTCATAAGAATCTGTTTCACTACGAATAGTACATGCATCATCGTCTGAAGGAACTTCTATGCCTACGTACACAATGCGAAGTGTATTTGTAAATCCTGAGCCTTGTCGCCATCCAGTGACAACTATGACTGAATCTCCACCCTTAATGAAACCACGACTTTTGCCGAAGTTCAATCCAGACTGGACTCGAACATCAACATCCTTTAACCAGTCAGCCAATTGCGCCTCTGTACATAATAAACGAAAAAGAAAAGAAAAATAGTTTCTCTTTCTATATAATATAATATAATATTGTATCGCAGTAAATCTAAATAATAAAATATAAATCACCTTCGTGAACGAGTGGCAGAATACCACGGTAAAGATGTGCTTGTCGTGCAACCTGTTGGAATCTAGTTACTGCAATAATTGGGCAACGGGGCCGGTACTTTGCGATCAGATGTGCCGAACGACCAGTGGTTGTAATTACAATAATAGCACTAGCTAAACACTTTACCGATGCTTCTACGGCAGCAATTGCGACAGCATGTGTAGCATCGATTGGTGGTATCGCTTTATTTGAGAGATCATGGAAGATTTGCGTTTGCCATATGGCAGCTTCTGCTTCTTTGCAGATGTTAGCCATTGTGCGCACACATTCCAATGGATAATCTCCTTTGGCAGTTTCACCTTAACAAATATCGAATGAGATAATGAGAACAACCAAATTAGTTTGCCTTTTTTTGTCATAAAGAATCAACATATTCGGACTTAAGATATTATTTTGAATAATATGGTACCTGATAACATGACACAATCTGCACCGTCGAGAATTGCGTTCGCCACGTCTGACGTCTCGGCTCTAGTCGCGCGTGGTTTCTTCACCATAGATTCAAGCATTTGTGTAGCACAAATGACTGGTTTTCCAACTTTGTTGCATCTACTGATCATGCATTTTTGCGCCAAGAATACTTTCTCCGGTGGTATTTCAATACCAAGATCACCACGTGCTACCATAATACCATCAGACGCTTCGATAATTTCGTCGAGGTTCGTCATACCTTGTTGATTTTCAATTTTAGATATGATTTTAATATTTTTTCCCTTCTCGCCAAGGATGGCACGAATTTCTGTTAAAGCTGCAGCGTTTCTTATGAACGAAGCAAAGATCATATCAACTCCTTGTTCGACACCAAACTTCAAGTCAGATTTGTCTTTCTCAGAGACAGCTGGAAGATCGACTGGTACACCAGGCAAATTAACACCTTTACGAGAACCTAACATTCCACCGTTTTCAACAGTAGTCGTAACTCCATCAGCATCTAGAGTGTATAAAACATTATTATACATACGAAACAACGCACATCCCAAAATTCTACCATATATATTTCATCATTTCTGTACAAAAGAAAATCCAGGAATGATACGTACTGATTGCAGTAACGATGAGGGAAATCAAACCATCGTCAACGTAGACACGATTTCCAACCTTTAGTACCTTAGAAATATTATCATAATCCACATAAACTACATTGGAATTTCCTTTCTCCATCTGCGTCTTATCGGTAGTGAGTTTGAAGGTCTGCCCTTTAGTTAATTCAATTTCAGCAGACCCGCCCTAAAAGGAAAAAGATAAATAAACATTATATCTTAGCCAAGTATCAAGTTATACGAATTAAAGAATAAATTACATACACCTTCCAAAAGTCCAGTACGAATTTCAGGACCTTTAGTGTCGAGGGCAATTGCTACAGGAACATTGATACCAGAGCGACTGGAAAGATTCTTTTGTGCTTGTCGCACGTTGCTTATGGTCTCTGCGTGGTATTCGTGAGATCCATGCGAAAAATTCATTCGAGCGATGTTCATTCCCGTCTCGATCATTTTCTCAAGAATTTCAACGGGTCTTGAAGCCGGCCCGATCGTACAAATGACTCCCGAAAGACGAACGAAGGATGCACGACTTTCGATATCCAGGGCGCACATGTGATCCAATTGGCTTTGAGCGTACAAAGCATGGGTATTCGGGTTTCCGGCCATCTATAAAAATATAAAGATTAAACTGAATTCTTATTCGATGGAAAACTACTCAAGTGCTACCACTGCAAACAATTCATATACTCAATAGCTGAATTTCGAAGCGTCTCAAGGCTTCTTTGATGAGATATTGAAATAAAAAACTTGCTACTACACAGGAATAATTAAAAAGCATCACATCGTGTTTTGACTGAATTTTTGTAAATGTGTTTAACAACAAAAAAAATATGAAAATGCATAAGAACTAAAGTAAAGAAATGTCCACAGTGTAATTATAAATTAACTTAGTTTGAAATATCCTAATGATATAATAGCGTTTATACGTTATGGTTAATCCATTTTTACTCAGCATCTACTTCTGAGTCAGCTGAAATGAAAACTGAAATCAAGGACAGGTGCAAAATCAAACTACAAACATTGTTTGCTGTACATTCGTTTGTAACTTTTTACAATTGTTATCCACAAATGTTTTGTATGGTTTGTCAGAAGAACTAAACGCTCGCTAATACATGCAATAAATAGCTTAAATGAAAAAGATATTAGCAATGGAGAAAAATAAAAATGACACTGCAAAACAATTTCTCCATTGGCTACTAAGATGATGAAATACCTTATTTTCGTCGGTAACCCAAACCATTTTGGCAGGCTGCGTAAATAAATTACAGACAGGAATTAGTGACAATACAGTTTCGATGAAACCACGGCTATGTCCGGTTGCATTTTTCGGTGCACAAGATGTAAATTGCTTATCAGGTAAGCGATGGAAGTTTCGCGATAAACGAAAGTAGGGAGGGGAATTGAAGACACCCACCGGACGTGTTAGATGATGGCGGTGCCAATGCACACGGCGTATGTACCAAAATTCAAATCGAGCCATTCTACTTCGGAAACAACTTATCTTCTCTTGTAAATAACATTACAACAATTTGTATTAATTTAACAAATTAGCAGTCATGGAAATGAATGCGAATAAATGGCAAATATTGTCATTTTTAATAAACGCCGCAGCAAATTTAAATATCATAAATATACCCCTCTTAAGGATATAATCTAACGTTAATAATTTCTTTGTGGATCAAGGCGCAAAGGAGACAGGAAGATCAATTTTATTTTTTTAAAGAAAATAAAATATCTTTTTTTACATAGACTTATTTTTTTTATAAATTGACCTTTACATTTCTTTTGCGCCCTCATCTAGATACGTAAACGCAGACTTGATAATTAATTATTCAATTCAGACGTTATGTAAAAATCATTAACCTAGAAAGTGTCATGAAATGTGAAGAAAAAAAAATACAAATTTGTTACATGCCTTACCTAAATGTTTTCACTGTATATTCTTTATCATTTTTAACAGCTACTAATATTAAGAAGTAATAAATTTGAACTATACAAATTTGTGGCACGTGTTCGTAAATGATAAGTAAAAAGAATATAATGAACATATCAGCTTGTTTTCAGAATAAAAAAAAAGTATCAGCCATCTGCATTGGTCGCCGCCATCGTCTGGAGATATACGAACTTTGATTAAATCAATTACGTAATTTCTAAGTACATGAACGCTTAGAACATTAAAATAATAGTATAATATATATACATAGTAATAAATTGTGTGTATTTTTTTGTTTTATTTCTATGTTTCATTCTAGGAAACATCATGTGTTCATTAAGCTTTGGTGCTGAATTATGATTATGATTCGACAAATATTATTTAAACAATATTGAACTATATTGTTAGTGAAATAATCTATGTATGTGTTGCAAGATAATAAACAATTCAGTCTCAATTATTTCAAAACATGATAACTACTTGTTAACAAATTCTGATAACATGTGCTATACATATCAATATGCATATAACAAAAAGTTACTCTTGTCATATTATTACAGTGAATTATTATAATTTTATGACTTTGCATTTTGAAACTAAATAAATTGATACAATAAAATCCTTATTTTCTGCATTATATACTAATATATTTACTATATTAGCCTCTTTTGTATCTTTGAATGAACTTATATCGTTAAAATCGCTTGTACCATCGCCATTACACTAATCGTAAGAATAAAAAAATATGGCGTGCAGTTAAAATAAAAATACAAACGACTATGAAATTATTAAATGTGCTTCCAGCAATAAATAAAGTATAATGTATGTACGTACTTGTAAAAACACTATTTTTGATGCATCATATTGCTACTAAGTAATTAGTAAATTTATTCAAACAAGTAATTATTCTATCTAATAAATATATATTTAATGTAATTATTTACTAATCGTGATTAAAATAATAATCAGCAACAACATATTAGTACAGGTGATTAAATGTTATCAATGAAGCACGTAAAATTAGATTTGGATTGAAATAACGTGATCGTGTATGAAAAGTGATAAAATTATCACACTATACTCACGTGTTATGAACTGTACCCTATTACACTTAAGATATCGTAACATAAATTAATCATTCCCACGACATACGAATGAAATTATCGACAGTATAAACTATTAAGTATACTATCATAATTATGTCTAGTTCAAAGTCGTGTGTATTTCATTCTTTTTCTTTGAGGCGGAAGAAGTTCCAAAACACATTCTATGATAATCTTTAACAGAAGGTTATAGGACATGATCAAGGTTAACGAATCTTAGATAAAAGAACGGTTAAATATAATAATATACATTTTTTATTTTGTGTTTAATTAATTTTATACAATCCGAAAATTTCATAAAAAATTATATTATTCAACCGTTTCTGATACGATCTGAACTTCCTACTCAGGACACACCATATTTTTGCTAAGAGCTGACAATCGAACACGCGGTATCGCGTGATCTGACCGTTAGCCACTAACACTATATAAAGTTTTTAACAGTTATTTTAAAAGAGATACATATGTTATTTCAAAATCGGAAGTATGTGTGTTCGTTAGGCATTAGACCTTGTATTTTATGTAAGTACGTATATTCGGAAAGATGTTAATAATTCATTAATTAATACTTTGCATATATAATAGAGACGGAATAAAATAGACAAGAATTTAAAAGAATGTATGAAAAATGAGACCTTGAAATACATTGTGTATAACAATGATTAAAAGTTTCCTTAAATCACATAACCTTCTAAGACCATAATCGATAAAACAGTATCTAAAATACAACTTCATGATTCAAATATGTAATTTGTTTTTGTCATTACCTTTTTTAAATTATTAAAACTGAAGTGAAATTCAATAAAACAGAAATCAATGAATAGCGTAGAAGTCCAACAAGATCAACGTTCTCCCACTACAGTCTCTGAGAAACTGTTTTAAGGACACGAAAGGTCATTATTTTCTAGCACACATTATCTTTTAGCTTAGGGCTGATTTTCAATACAGAACTATGATTCGTTCAACGAGATACCATGCTTGTTACACGACGAGTTTTCATTCGTTCTGCGCATATTACTCTGATGCGCATAAACGGATAACTCTGATTGGCTCAAGCATGCTTTGTCTGCGCAAGCGCATGGTGGTACTGCGCAGCATACTCAGTGGTCTCATATTCAGTAACTCGTCGACCTCCGTCGTTATTACTTGTATCTCCTAATATATATATTTGTGCCCACCGTGTATATAACCACGCAGTGCCATGAAGTTAGGAGTACGTGTAGAGGGTCTCCCTGAGCTGCGTGAAACAGGTATGTTTTCTCGTTGAACGAATAATACGAAAGTTATCAGTTTTTACAATAGCGAAAATTTGGCCATATTTTCTAGCGAATCTGGAGGAAAATCACTGAAGAACCAGCCTAGTGCAAGTGAAATTCGTACGAGAGACTATCGAGAATATTTCTGAATAAATAGCCGCGAGTTTCCTACGCCAATCTTACGGAAATAGCCGACTTCTGACGGACGGAATCGAAGTAGTAGCTGAGCGGGTGAGTAAGGTTATTTCAAAATTTTTCAGAATTCTCTACGATACAGATTCGCTTACTTCTCAAGAAGTAATAATGACATAAAAAAAATTATTACAAAATTTGTATTAATATTTAAGAAAAAACAGCTTTCAACGGGCAACATAATTATTTAGTATAAATACAATGATTATCACAGTATTTATTTTACAATAAAAATGTTGTATAAAAAATAAAAGTTGGAAAAGCTATCAAAAATAAAAATGTTTATTTTTTATAAATTTTTACTTACATATTAACAATTTATGAGATGGCAATGTTAACATTTTTTTTAAGTAATGAAATGATTACATTGCTGTACCTGTTATTATTTAAACTTCTATAATTGTCTTTGTACTTCAAAAATTTAACCAGTTTTGAATTAATTAAACCTATTACTATATTTTTAACAATAACTATACTTAATTGGACTATAGAAGATCACTTATTGAAATAATATCTTCCGGTAAGCGTATATGACGTGAATTTTAAATTAAAGTATTCTTAATTTGATTTATCTGACTTGTAACGCCATACTTATACCTTGAAATGATCGAGAATAGTAATCCTTTCATTTTTGTTTCTTCTCAAATCAAATACACGTTTTGCCGTTTACTTTAGCAATCTTCAAACTGACCTTCTTCATACCTTGATGACCAAACTAAAGTCCCTTCTTGTAACATTCGCGTAACGCGGGTGATTATTCGTGGTTGGTGGGATTCCGCGGGACAATATACTTGTTGCAATGGTTTATAAAACGTGAACGGCGAATACACTCGCTTTCTTGGCTCTTTACATTCTGAAAACAAAACATATCACACAGTGAAAAAAAATCGTATGTCAATGTTTTTTGCTAAATAAAATATCCTCCTTATTTAAGTTATATGTTTTTACCATGAGGATCAAATTCATCAGCTGAATCCTCTGAAGTATCCCAGCATTCGTTTTCCAATTGATTAAATGTGCCTTCAGGTCTAAGAAAAATAATTAGAAAATTAATCAACAAAAACTGAACGGTTATAATTTTTCCACTTACAATGCGTAAACAGCAAAATTTGGGCTATCCTCCCTTGAGTTCGATGAAAGCGATAATTTCCTTTCGTCGTCCGACGATGACTCCGATGAGTCGGATAGTTTCAACTTAAATCCATTAATTGTTTTGGTCTCTTCTCGCCAATGTTCTCTCAAATCATCTCTCATACTTTCATAAGGAGTATCCCTATTGAGCTATTGATTTGATCCATTAATACAGAAATCCGTTGTAACCTTTCGAGAATAAAAAAAGTCAACCGTCTAATTGTACGGAAGACTGAATAAAATTAAGCCTTCGTCGAAGGTTGATTCGTTGTCAGCCATAAGGCTGTGGTTGTTTTACATCCTTACCGATAAGCAGTCAGTCGAAAAGTAGTTTTGCTCAAGATCCACTCCTAATAAACTTGGTAGGTTCTTTATCGTTTCTGGTAACATTTCAAATTCGTTATCGTATAAATCTAAGTACTGCAAATTGCTTAAACCACCTATACTCTCAGGCAATTCAGACAATTGATTACAACACATTCTCAATTCTTTCAATGATATCAACTCTCCGATGCTTTTAGGAAGAGCTGTTAGTTTGTTTTTTTGTATGTTTAAACTGCTTAACTTCTTTAAAGAACAAATTTCTTCTGGCAACCAAAATATATTGTTAGAGCTGATATCTATTACAGATAAATTAACAAACTTTCTAATAATATTAGACACCATTGGAATTCCTGTGTTGTGGACATCAAGTTTTTTCAGACTAGATGGTTCCTTCACCTTCTCAATTGGTATATCCCAAAAATAGTTGTTTGAACAAAACTTGATATTTCCAATTATCAATTCCTCTAGATTTGTCATATCTTTGATTATTTTGTCTACTGTTGGATCATCTAGCTTGCATTGTACCATCGATAGCTTTTTAATATATGATCTTGTTGGGTTTTTTGGTAAACAGAATTCTTTAAATCTTGTTTTATTGAATGATATTGTTTCAAGATTATTGTATTTAGAACTCAGTATCCAGTTTGGAAATAAAGGACAAGTATAGTTGTTTTCTGCATAAAATGCATTCAAATTGGTGCTCTTAGGAGATACATTTAATTTGGAGTTAAAATTATATGAAAAATCAAATATTTGTAAATTTTCCATTCCCTTAGCAACACATTCTGGAATTACTTTGAAGCTATTACCAGCAAGAGATAAATTTTTTAGTTGATGTAAGTTTGTACAGGAATCTGGCAAATACTGTAACTCATTGTAACTCAGGTCCAAATCCTGTAGATTTGATAAGTTTTCTAAATTATTTGGAACATATCTTATATGATTCTTACATGCTTTCAATGTTTTTAAGCTACTTAATTCGCATACAACATTTGGAAGGCAGAAAAATTGATTATTATCTAGATTTAAATATGTCAGCATTTTTAACATATTTACAGAGTCTGGTAAATTACTTAACCGATTATCAGACAAATCAAGATAAACTAGATTTGCTATAGATTCAGTGAAGTTGCTGGGCAATTGAGGTAGTTGATTTCCCAATAGAGACAAATTTTCTATAATTTGTAGTTGTGTTATATCTGAAATTTTTTTGACAATACTTTGTGCTAGCATTGTAATGGAATTTTCATTGGACACATCATTGCACCAAGGATCTTGTATCTTCAACCATAATGTGTTATTATTGAGTGATTTTACCAAATTGTATTCTTGAGTCATATCTGGTATAAAATTTGAAACACAATGATTTGTAACATAATAAAATTTTACTAAACAATATAAATATACAAATATTACACGCAGTAATACAATTTCTTTAGTATTTTATTAAAACAGTATCAGTTACTTGTTATCAAAATTCGTCTAAATTTAATTAGTACCTGTTTATAAGTGCATTAGTATTTATTATAATTTTTATGAAGTTAACATTGGTAGGTAAATAATTTTATAACAATTTAAATAAGATACAAAAGTAGAGTTCAATTTAATTGATTGCAAATATCAAATAAAGAGTAATATTTTCTGTATCGTGGGTAAATACGAACCTTTATATTGTAGACGATTCTGTCACTTTTATCTATATACCTATTTCATCAATTATTTATTCAGTTCTTTTAAACATATAAAATATAGAATGAAAATGGAATATTAAATAATGAAATATGGAATGAAAAGAACTATTAGGTTAGAAACTTCATCAAATTCATAATGCATAAGTTGTGTGTACTGCTGGCCTCAATTAAACGACATATAGTAATTATTTGGAAAGATTTTTAAAAAGAATGGAAATTTATATAGCATTATTTTTATTCATTTTAAATATAAATTTTGAGCGGGATGTAAGGTTTTCTAACAAGGGATTTAATTGATCAATTTTATAAATCAACGTATATACAGAATCGAGCAAAGTAGTCTTCCCAAAGGAAAATGGCGATATGAGGGAAGCAGGAATTCTCAAAATTCTAATTTTGGCGATTTTAATATTAAAAGCAATTTAAAAACAAGATTATATCATTTTTAATTCTTAAACATCATAAAATTTAGTGTAGAAGTAAGAAATATGAATAACATAAATATCAATTCAATCAAAAGCATCGCCATTTTCATTGGGGGAAACCACCCTGTTCGATACTATACAAATGAAAAGAAAAAGCATAATATAAATTTAAATTTAATTTGAAAGCGATTAATCGAATCGAAGATAGTTTATTTGATATTCTAGGAAAAGGTTTAAAAATGAGGACACGTGCGTTTACGTAAAACAGGGCTTGCAGAGGCCAGCTCATTTTATTTAGGAGACTTATATTTTCGTTTTGTACACAAATGTATACGTACACATGTATACTGATAGTGCTCTATACAATCTTTAAAACATCGTTAAAGTTATCCATGTTTTCTCTGTCATTAATGAGGTTTATATTCGTATAATCGTCTAGGTTTTAGACTTTAGAATAAAATTAACATTAACAAGATTCTGTTTCCTTTCTTATCTCTTTTTGTAACTGTTTGCAAATTTCGTTTAAAAATCGCTCTAATTTTTTTAACACAATATTTTAAAACAAAAGGTAAATATTAGGATCGATACATACGATAATAACAATGCACCCTGTTACTTTCAGAAATTAAGTACCTTAGTAACATTAGCGAACAAATCTGTTTAAAATTTCGCTTCCATACCATTTAAGTATATTGGAAGAGGTATGCGCGTGTATTTTATATGTATATTTCTTGTAATGTTAGATGAGTGGTGGCCGTTCGATCGAGGGACAGTTTTTCCGATAAAGCTTTTCTGCAAAGTTCTTTCAATACATAATTATACGTGTAAAGTATAAATTTAGATCAACATGCATTTCGCTTACTGTTGTATTCGCAACATTTTTCCCCCCATTGATGAACGTATATGTACGCTAGTAAAATTCTGTAACTCGTTATCAGATCTGAACAAAATAGCATTTGGAATAGAAGTAACTTACATCGATCGATAAACATTCGTTGCGATCAATTTAGACAAAATGCATTGTCCCATCCGTATTTGATAAACATTTCAACTGTTATAAATAAAAAAAGAAAAGTACGAGGTAATGTTGTATACTGTACGTATTATTTGTTCTATTTTGCAAATACTATTTTTGTCCAGTTTCTTTACATTATTTGCGATAAATAATATCATGAATCTGTACTCTTCGTGAAACCGAGTTTACACGGTACATCGATCGACTCGAAATGACAAGAATTGTACTAACGTGAAATTAAACAATAGCAATAAAAATATTAATAATATTAATTAATAATATTAATAATAATATTAATAATAATAATAATACAAATCGTAAAATAATCATAGCAATAACAATAATATAGTGTGCAGTACAAACTAATATGTGGCATAGGAATATGTTTCTCTTGAAATATGCAATTCTGAGCATGAAATGTAATGGATGGTAAATGTGAATCACCGTCAGCTTCGCTCGTTATTCCCCTATAAGAGTATAACAAAATTTAAAAACCATGAAAAATATGGCGTAGAACTCGCATTCTCTCTATTAAGAACAGTAAGTTCAATTTAATGATTGCACAAACGTTTTTCTCATTTTTCAAAGCCATAGAAAAATAGTGCTGAGAGAGAAAAACAAAATCAATAACGATATTTACCCTAAATGAAAAACCCTAACGTTTTTAATGTCGCAATAACTTAATTTTATTTCTTGCACACAAAAGGAAGTTTCCGTATTTGAGACTCATTATTATAAGACAGTATGTTTCCGTTTCTCGCATGGTTCGCGTTTATTACTTAATCATATGCCTGATCGTATTTATCTACGTATTCTGTTCGTATATCTGCGTTTACATCTATTGTCTTCTATATTCTCTTTTTTTAACGGTACATATAATAGGAGGTGTACCTAATCACCCGTCTATCCTTCATTATTTTATTATTTGCAAAGATATACAAAAAGAAGGCTACAGGAGAAAGTTATTGTATTTTAGAAGGGAAAGTAAGCCATAGAGGGTGAAGGTAATCTAAATATACGTAGAATATAAAATTTAATCCTCTCTTCCAAAATATAGGTAATATTTTTCTTGAAACGTTTCCTTTTTTTCGTCTGTATAAATAATAAAATAGCTAAGGATAAATGAGTGGTAGGAGACACTATAGTATATGTACATGTATATATACATATAAGCACAACCAGTCTGTGTGTACAACACACACAACTACATACAAACTCGTATGCAGAATATGGTCACTTATGAAACTCTTTTATTTCAAAAATATATATACGTATATGCGCGCATGTGTGATATAGATAACTCTGCGTTTGTGTGTACACATGCGTAATATATAGTACATAAAAACATAACTCAAGGGTACATACACACCTCCTTTTATACTTATTCGTATCTAGTGGTACTTGGCGGCGTATATGTTTAAAAATCCTTAGTAATTCGATATGATTTATGATAATTACGCGGGATATCATTCTCATTGCGATATTTAAATATGATAAAAACATGCTTGTGGAAAATGATCATTTACACGAGGTGCACATGAAAATAATGAGTTTCTCTTTTCGAACTGATTCTGAACGTCGAATTTGACGATCGTGTATTAATCGGAAATTGAAATAATCGGTATTCATTACCAAGGATTCGATACACATATAATTTTTTCACGTAAACAACGTTATCGTAGCTTATGTTAGATAAATGCAAGATTCGTTTCTTATTTCAATTTCGATCAAGTGACATCAACTCTCTATAGATTTCTTTTGTATACGTATTTTAAATACTGTTGTGCGGTTAAAAGATGTTGCAACGGTTGAAATAGTTTATATCTGTTCCTTATGTTACCACAACCAGGCTCATAGAGAGTTAACGAACAAGTATTTATGAACACCAATAGAAGGAAGACGATTTGATAGTTCTGACGATAAGACGATGCAATTAAATTGATTTAAATCATTGTTCAAGGTATGAAAGTGACCAATTCAGGCCACTCAAAACTGAATTCATTTATACAGGGTGTTATTTATACAAAACTAGGGTAGGACCCGTGGAGGGACGATTGCTGAGGTCATTCTAAACAATTTTTTCCTTTGCCAAAATGTTGGTTAAGGCTTAGTTTTCGAGTTATTAACGAAAAACACTGGTCAATCAGAGCGCGCCTTTAGCGCGGACCGAACCACGAGAGTGTTGGGTATGCTCTGCGTTCAAGCTGTAATCAAGTGCATTAGCACCACGTCGGTATAATAGGATTCGTTGGGCAAAAGTTTCGTTGTACATGATCAACCAATAATTCGATACTATTATTCTTTTCTTTTTTTTATTCATTATTCGATACAACTTTTGTCCTATTACACCGACGTGGTGCCGATGCACTTGATCACGACCACGGTTTAAAAGCAGAGCATACCCAACACTTTCGCGGTTCGGCCCGCGGTAATGGCGCGCTCTGATTAGCCAGTGTTTTTCGTTAATAACTCGAAAACTAAGCCTTAATCAACATTTTGGCAAAGGAAAATGTTGTTTAGAATGACCTCAGCAATCATCCCTCCACGGGTCCTACCCCAGTTTTGGGGCACCCTGTATAGTTAAGGCTGATAGAGACTCCCATATGTAAGTCGCGAAACCAAAAGGAGTGAAAATTATATTAATAATAATCGAGAGATTATTTCTAACGAATAATTTCTTGGACCCTTGATGAAAGCAACTGTACAAAGAGTTCGTTCGAACAAAGGAAGAAACGGTACGAGAAACGTAAATTAAACTGATGGTAGATACAAGACGAAAAAAGAAAAAAGAAAATGAAAAAGTTTAAGTATTCGGAAGAAAACGATGGAAAGTTCGTACACAAGTATCCATGAGTTCAGAAGGAAGAAATGAAAGTCGTACGAGTCTAGCTTCGTGAATCGGCCTTTAGCACAGCTAATTAAATACATCATCCACTCTTTTACCGAAGAAGGGAAGGCAAACTTGCTAATTGATTACACGAAACTAGTTTCAAGTACTTATGTATCCCGCGTACCAGCGAGATTTGGTAACTTAAATCGATGTCTCTGGTCCCCGTTCTCGAGATGATAATACAGTAAGTTATTATATCGTCACATCCATGATTAATATCTACCGTATTAATCATTAATGTGCTAATATAACACACACACGTATATATTAATATATATAGATACATATATGTATACATCTAAGGTACACGTTATCCATCGAAGTTAATGTCTTCGGATATACATATGTACATACAGTGGGCCGTAAAAGTATTCGCACACCGTTTAAAACAGGATACCTCGCTTAAAATTGGACCAAATGACTTGAGGTTTCTTCAGAAGCTATACGAATTAATTTACTAACAATAAGATATATGCCTTTGTCGTTTTAAAAAATTACAATTTGTTGAAATCGTGTTAAAAAGTAGCGAAGGGTAATTTTTCAATTTTTTTGTGTGTGTCTATAATGAAAATTTAAAATATGTCATTCGTAGATTCAAATAAATTATGTGTGTGCTGAAAATTCCATCGAGATTGGTCAATGTACTTAAAAGTTACAAGTAATCAAAATTTTTGAAAATCACGACTTTTTGTGAAAACACACTTAAATTTACAAATATTTTAAATTTTCGTTCCAGGCTCAGATAAAAAAGTTAAAAAATCGCCTTTTACTATTTCTTTCCCGATTTCACCAAATTTTAATTTCTTAAAACGACAAAAATACATATCTTAGTAAATTAATTTATTATAGCTTCTCGAAAAACCTCAAGTCATTTGGTCCAATTTTAAACGAGGTATTCTGTTGTAAACGGTGTACGAATACTTTTGCGACCCACTGTACACACACCCACACACGCACGTACACACACACATACACATACATACATACATACTTACTTATATACTTACGTCCGTTTCGTTCTATCCGAAAGAAAAATTAAACGGAGCTTCTTTTCTCATAGCAATGTATAGTACACTTTTTCATTCATTTTTGTGCTTTTTCTTCAATATGTAATGTAACAAATTATTTATTTTACTGCCTATTGATTACGGATATTTGAATGATACGGTGAAACAGCAAATTATAGTAGCCGATGAACTTTTAACCTTCTGCTTTGTAATATTCTCAGTAGTTGCGTCAAAGCTAACTACTATTCACTAATTCATCGAGGCAAATATGCTTTGTATTTAGCATCCTCGATCGTTGATCGTATAAATTAAGATTAGAAATATGTTTCAGATACAACTGTGTAGGATGTTTGACACGTAAATTGCGTGGGGTTAAAATAGCGAGGGTTTCAATTTATTCTCTACTCTCCGTTTGATACTTGAATCGCATAGAACGAACCGAATATTCATTTTCGCGATCACTTCCACATTTCCTTTTACAGTTTCTTTTCTTTATTGTTGGCCAAGGGTCTCGTTCGACGGTCACTTTCGTCGGTGAACGTGTTCGACGATTTTTTTCGGCTATCCAACTCGCAGACCGTGGACAATAACCAGAAAGAAAACAAATCAAAAGTATTTATGTAGTAGGGTGTCGCGCGCAGGACGATGTGGAACGAGGTTCTAATACGAAATTCTATCACAGTTTCTCACACTTTCGCGTCGCACTGATCATTACCGTCGTCGATGCGATCCGATCTTTCGGCGTCGACCTCGAGATCCTTCAGATCGAAAGCAATCAAAGCGTGAACGTTTCGTGAAAGTGTCTCGTGAAATTTCTAAACTTCCTTTCGAATCAATTGCACGAATACAATTACGCTTCTACATTCGTTGCGGTTACCTACGAATAACCGGGGACGGAACGATAAGCTCCGGCCATCTTGTTTTAAATAAGTTTCAATTCGATGTCTACTGTAACATGTATTTCGGCTGTTCGAATATATTTGGCACGTGATTAATAGATCGGTAATTAATCAGACATCTCAGGAGCTGTAAATTCACGGCGATTAACGATCGATACGAATACGGTATCGATTATTTAGTATTGGTATTGTTTCGAACCGAAAGATCGAGGTGTTTCAAGGTAACGTACCGATGTCACCAGAAAAGATAAAAAAAGAAAAAAAAAAGGAAAAAAAAAAGAATACACGAGAGAAAAAGAAGAGAAGAGAATCTTCCAGCCTGACTAGCCGTGAAGTCAGTCTTTTTTTCTTTCTCTGTCAACCTCACGCCTCGTTGGCCTTCGAAAGATCTCCAGAGGTCGACCTTGGACGGATCATTTCGTAAAAGCCGAATTGCATCTTCTTCGATAAATCTCGAACCGCTGTTTAACGACTACTTTTGCGATCACGGTTTTAACGATTCTCTATTAGTTTTCTCTCTCTCCCTCTCCCTCCTTCGCTCTCTTTTTCTCCCCCTTCGCGCGCGTTCTCTCTCTCTCCCCCTCCCTCTCTCCCTCTCATTCTTTCAACCGATTCGATAAAATTTTAATATCTTCTCTTATTTTCTTCTTTTCTTCTCTTTCTCAGTTTTTTCTTTTCCCCACGAGGTTCATTCGTGTTTGTTTCTCTACTTCGCGATTAGTTCAGAGAAGACGATTTTCACGAATACACTTTATCGAACGATTTCATTGAATCCGCCAACGAGGATCGATTAATTTAACACGTAACCGAGCGAGCTACGGTATCCTGCGCTCTAGATCTTCGTGGAGCAGGCTATTGTTGTTGGTTTCGTGCATCGATGCAGGGGATGCTTCTTCCGGTTGCTCACCACCGCTTAATTCTAATTGGCCTGTGCTATCGCCGCTGCTAGAACCGCATTCGCCATCGACGAATCTGAAAAACAATTTTTTTTCCTTTTATTTTTATGAATAAAAATAATGATGGTTCTTACATCAGATCAGATATCAGATAACCTTTTTGCTTTTAATACATCGTCGAAAGTTATTGAGTTTTCTTATTAACGCGTAAATTAAGTTTTATATTAACGTAATTCAATGATACTTTGTGACTGAATCTACAGAAAACAAAGTTGTCGTTGATTCGACCTCTTGTTCGTGGTACGTAATCGTACTATTATTTGACATCCATTAAATGCAGAAACTGCATGCATGTCGTCTTCCGCAAACTGAAAATTCTACTGCAATATTGGATCTACGCGTTAATGAGGAATGCTGTTGCATTCAGCATGATCCGAAATTGAATACTAAATTATTTTATGTACCGATTAGAGATACGAAAATATGAAAAACAAATTCGAATGATTTCATAGGGTCAATGAGGTGCGAAGATAAATTTGCAAAGTCAAACTTCTTCGGGATAATTAAAATCATCGGTATCTTTACAATGTTGCACAAAGTTCTTATTTACTGAAGCGAGCAAATTCGAAACGAATTTATATTTCTACGTTTTAATAAACGAAGGGATAGTGAAGTTTTTATATTTCATTATTATTCCCAACAAATTATGTGCATGTCTCGGATTAAAGTTCACAAAATTACATTCCAAGGAATCTTATCATTTCCACGTTATTTAATCTATCTAACCGTTTAATTTCGGCCTTGAAAACTTTTTTATGTCTCGAACATAAAATTAATAACAGATAAGTGGATACGTGATTTGTTTTCTTACTCGTTACATCAGATTCTGTTGTATCTAAAAATGTTTACATATTTTTGGTAGAATTAGTAAATATAGACATTTTTTTCTATAAATTACGTCAGTTTACATGTAGATGATATAGTGCAGTCCGTGTTGGAATTAATTGTCGTAACATTTACAAAGAAAAAAAGGCAAACACACAAGAAAAAAGAAAAAAAAAAAATGAAGTCAACCTATCTCTTGTTTCCTTACTCAGTGTACTCCGCTAATGAGACTTGTTTTCGCGGGCGAAACAACTCCCGACCTGATAAGTCGTGCTATCGCCACTTATCGCGGTTAACAAAAAAAAATATAAAATAAAAAAAACTCAGAAGTTGTACTTATTCGTTAATTATTTTGGATTTCGGAATAGATTTCGCGGTGCACACGAGATATGCCCGTTCTTTTTATCAGACGCAACGAAGCGCGATATAACCACCGACATCGCAAAAATTCAATCGTTCTCAATTCCGTCGTTTATCGTTTAATTTCTTTCAATCGATTAAATCACAAAACAAAATGTACACGTGTCAAGCAACCGACTTTCGATATCGTTCAATATTTACCGACACTGCATTTCAGCCTCGATAACTATGATGCAATTAACTCGGACACGATATTAATATCTCGCATGTTATCTTACAGTGTTATCTTTCGATCTTCACGTCAACGCGATTTTTTTACTTTTTCTTTTTCCTTTTTTCTTATTATAACAACTGCATCGATCCACGATTGACTAATCTTTCGGGTAACAACACGCTAATGAAATATATAGATTGAAGTTATATCTAACTCCTTTAATGTTAGATCAGACCTATTCACGAGGTGTTCCGATGGTTTGGGGCGCCCACAGAAATGGTAACACATGCGTGCAGTCGGGTAGCCTGACTATTTCGGGTTCGGTCGGGTACAGTCGGACAGATTCGAACGAGCTCTCGCGGGTTGCGGTCCGCGACCCAATGTACTTGTTAATACTTGCAATTCGTTACAAGTATTATTTTTCTACATAATAAAAATTATCTTATTCCAAAATTCCATATAAAACCGATTTTGCACATGCTTATTGCAAATATTAACAAGTACTTACATGAGAGTTGGGTCGCGGGTCGCGGGCTGCGGGAGCTCGTCCGAATCTACCCGACTGTACCCGACCGAACCTGAAATAGTCGGGCTACCCGACTGCACGCGTGTATCGAATGCCCGCCCGAGCCCGCCCGAGCCCGCCCGATGTTTTTCGAACCGACCCGACTAATCGGGGCGCACATCACTACTATCTACTCCTTATTTTCTTATATGGCATTTCCATTAGCAATAAAACCACTGTCAGGGGGGTTACTTTTGGATTGCATTAGGGGGACAAACAAATGGCTACGGATGGGATAATTTTCTCTCCACGGTCTATAATATTAGGAGTATTCGCGAATATAGATAAACATTGTCAGGGAGAAATTTACCGAAGTGAAATGTAAAGCGAAGTGTTCATAAGAGTTAGTTTACTTCAGCAGAAGTAAAGATAATTCTAGTCACGAAGTATTCCGACGGTGGATAAAGCAAAGGTCGCCGATAAAATACTGCCTTTACTTTCGAATGTCGATTCGATATCGGCGAATGTTAACGTTAGTAAATAATAATGTTCCCTGGCGTTCGATACATCATTCCTAACGCGGATGAAACTCGAAATCGATTTTAATGAAGACGTTCGAATTGCACCGGTCGTGGTGAACACGCAATCGCGTAGCGGCTGTTGAAACTTCAGATTTGTGGCAACGATTCGTTACGCGATCGGGATCTAAACACGTTCGCGTAATTTACTTGGTATGCATACCTTCCTCTGGCATTACCAACCACTATTCGCCGTTAGTTTTGCAATTAGAAAAAAAAAAACGTTACGTACGCGGATATTTACGATCTGTGAAAGAAAGTCGACGATTCGTTCAGAAGTTTCGAATCACTTACTCGTACAAGAAATTAAGCAATTAAACTTTTGCTTGATTACAAGAATGTGTATTACACACAAATCTTCATCGCCTTTTAATATGATGTATTTATTATAATTATCAGGGAGCTACCTCCAATTTTAATGACCTTGAAATATATTGTCAAGGTCATCACATATAATAGGTGGTTTGGTCTAATTTCCAAATTATTCGCGAAAAATTGTCGGTATTGTTACATTAGATTGGTATAATTTCGTAATCAGCACATGAAATCCTACAGGAAGTACATAATGGATATGTATATTTCAGATTGCTACTGGTTTTAGTAAACATTATAGGAGCTAAACGGTTTTGGAGATTCGTAATCAGCCTATAAAACACTATAAGAATTACCTAATCCTTAATCCATCGGAACGTCAAAAAAATGTTAAAATTTGCTGGACAGTGTTATTTTAGTATCTACTTATCATTTTTATTTTAGTAGATAATCATGATAATCATGAAATGAATCTAACGACAATGTATGAAATTGGAATCGAATAATAATTTTGTCCTTGTATCATACGTTCTTGTCGCTTTCGATAAGGATCGTACAGATTGATTTAATGGAATATCGATACTATCAAATTCGAGCAATTATGCCATATTTGAGACATTACTTGTCTATAATAGATGATACGATCTGTTATTTATTTTTACATAGGTACTAAGCGAATGAGATCAAACATTTCAAATAAGTTTGAAATATTAAACTAGCTCTTGAGTATGTAAATATTTATTTCTTATTTGATTTTAAAAACTTTGAACACCACGTAGGCAAAAAGCATAATCGTGATCTGAAAATAAGGATTTCTTTATATGTTACTGTGCTGAATTCGATCGAATTAAATGAAATGAAAACGGTACATAAACAGAAACATGTTTCGAAATACATATGGTAGAAGGGGAATGTAACGGACGAGAAAGCATCGAGGCGTTGAAGGAATGGTGAAAATGTGGAAAAGAGGCGCATCTTTGACCGTTTAATGGCAATCGGACATTGTACTCTAACTTGGTTACATCCTTGTGTGAACATTTATTCTTGCGTAACGTTTGTTATTTAAACGAGGTTGAATCGATGTACGAAAATTTCCTCTCTTACCACATAGAGTCATTCAGGTATACGTTAAAATAATTTTCGTACAAAATTAATCATTAAAACTTACATTTAATATTTTTAGAGGAACTTGCATTCTTTTTATACCATATTTGAATAATCGCATTCATATTATCTTCGTTCAAAGATTTGTTTATGATCGATTACCAAGCGCATCGGAGTTAAAAAATTGCGTAGCAGTTTGAATGCCAACCGTGTAACATATTAATTTAGCTGAGAGAACGTTGTTCGTATTTGCTATTAATCATCGGAATTTCTTATCAAACATTCAAACGAATTCATGCACACGTAACGTCAATGAAATTTATAGGTACGGATTTTCGAATTACTTACGTGTATGGCTGCTCTTCACCGCGCATTTCGCATATCACGTTCGTTAGGGCCATTATATAATTTTTGGCCAACGTTAGCGTCTCTATTTTGCTGAGCTTCCTTTCCATTTTTACGTGTGGTATCACCTCGCGCAGTTGCTGAAAACGATAACATTGTTAACGATAAGATTGAAATTTCAATTACTTCGTCTATCGATCGTGCTTGAAAAATGTACGTAAGTACTTGGACAACTTCAGAGTAAATACGTGTATAATATTAAACAATGTTCCATATATAAGTTTATCTTCCTTTTTTATTTTTTCAAATACACTCCGATTTTATCTTATGAAAAAACGGCGATCGTTCTTTTGTAACTTTCATAAATAAATAAATATAAATATTATTACTCTGAATTTCTCTATTTTATGTACTCCGCTTTCTTTCTATCTGTAAATAAGATCTCGAAAGTCGCCTACGTCCGCTTTAGATCCGGTACAGGTAATATGATAGATTAGATGTTACTTTAACACTAGAATTACCGAGGTTTGATGGACACTTATTTTTCAGTTGAAAATAATGTAGAAAATAAAATACCTAAAACATCGAACATAATTTAATATATTCATTCTTTATTTCAACAATAGTCAACATACATTTCAACAAAAATATCTCGATAAAATTTATAATTTCAAATAAGATAACTAGAAACCAGTCATTTTGACTGGTTTGGTAGTTCTAGCGTTAAAGAGCACAAAAAAATACTTAAGAACAATATCTCTGAACCAATAAAATCGTAGGTACTGTGGATTGAGTGATTGGTGTTGTAACTATATCGAGCATACGAATAGATAGCGTTTTGGATAATCGGAGAAATGTAATTTTAGTATAAAGACACTAAATTGAAATAGCGTGTATCTTTAAGATTATTTACAAGATAAATGCTTCGAGGAAACGTTGCTTTTTATGAGATTGGAAAATTACCTCGAAAGCGTCATTTAGGGAATGCATCCTCATTCTTTCCCTCTCGTTGCTCTCAAGCCTCCTTAGGTTCCTTTCTCGCGCGGAAATTCCACTTTTTCGTCTCCTGGTGGTCGGTGGTCCACCACGATTTCTTCTCTTTGCTTGTTTCGGACTCCTCTCGCTACCGCTACTATCGCTCTCCTCACCCACCTTTTCAATCATTTCAACAAGTATTCAGTTCTGTTTCGACTTCTCTTTTAAACAATAATTTTGCTAGCTGCCGTTTGATATTCGTAAACGGTTCGGAAAATATTTACATACTCGTCCGATATAATCATTTCTACGAACTGTAAATTTTTATCTAAAATATTCCATGACTTCTGTTGATGAGTGTATCGAGTTCGGTTGCAAGTTTTCGTCTAAAATTGAGATCACTTTGTTAACTTTTCTTTATGTTTCAAATACAACTACGAATACGATGATTGGCGTAAATGATTTCCATAACAGATGCATAGTCATCTAACGGTAAATGCTGTTCCCATCTTATTATTAACTATATACAGGTAGGTCTCGATTAGTGCGAGTAATAAATCCCAGAAATTGTTCGTATTATTTAGGTGTATTCCTATATTTCCTATATTTCAAATATTCGAATAGTACGAATTCAAATAATGCGAACAATTTCTTGGATTTATTACTCGCACTAATCGAGACTTACCTGTATTCGAATCTTTAATTAGATTCTCAAATTTAATCAAATTGAAGCTCTTCTTTCATTGTTTTAATTCTTATTTATTTCATCTTCCTGTTAACCAATCATCTACTTTCATGTGTTGATTACGTTCCTCGAAAGGATGTTTCTATGGGCCCTTTCCCTTTAATTAATTTTATGCGAATAATTGAAATTTTTTCGAATTGCTCCATTTCCGGAGTCAATATATGCATCATGTAATTCAAATGAAATGGTGGAATACTCTGTATACTGTTTATTCCACTTACCTCCGCACTAACGACATGGTGCCGACTGCGTTTTCCGGTAAGCGAGTCGACGGAAGCGTCGTCCAGGTCGATGTACATCTCCTGATCGCAGTCTTGATCGCTACCTGATAACCTCTCCAGACTTCGCATTATCCTGAGGAAAGTTACGCTGTGGACCCCCTGTAATCAAACGTCGCTACATTAATTTTCTTTGAATAATCGATAACGTTAGAACAACCAGACCCGTAAAATCATTAAGCGTTACTTAAAATTATTTATATAACACTTAAGACACCAGAGACTTTTGTGACGGCTGGGAGGAAAGAGAAAATTAATTACGTTATTGCAAGTGTTTGAGACTTACAGAGGTGAACGCACGAGAAAAGAATTTTGATAATTTGTTGTTGCTACAATCGTTAATACTTGCTGTCAACAGAAATCAAGTTCAGAAAATGCTGAGGTATTCTGGTGTTTATACGCGCGTTAGCGTTTCTCCTTTACAGATTATATTGTGCGATGTAATGCGTACTATGTGAACTCATAGATTTCATTCATTATCTTGTAAACTGAAATTATTGGAAATAGGTTTCCAAAATAGGTTTCAAGACAATATCTTGAATTAGTGCAATTCATGGAAACCAAACAAGCTAATAGAGCAACATTATGTAGTTACTTATAGATGTATGTATGGATACATACTTATCGTTAGTAAGTACTTACGTACCTCGTTAAGCTTCCTTTACGTTAAATCTGTAATTGGTTGTGCAATTTTATTTTCAACTATGAATTCCCTTAGTAACCAAATCATTATCAGTCGCATGTAGATAAGTACATATTATTATTAATTTTTATGTTTCCTCTCGAATTTTGTGGCATTTTAATCTTTCACGTTATCGTCATTGTTGCAACATCGTTTAACATAGCATATTCATAAAACTTCTTTGGAATAAATAAAAAATGAAGAACAAATTTTCTTTGATTCGTGTAATAAATATAGAAGAATATGGAAAATTTAATTTTAAAGAATGAAAATAAACATGTGGTCATAATCGTAATACACAACACACCTTTTATATAAGATGATCCAGATGAAGCATTTAATCTGCCTTGCTTCAGGCGATTCGTTTCGTTTCGTTGGTTCATTCATTTTTTATTATTACGCTAATATTACAGGCTCGTAAAACATCTTTTAATTTCGATACTAATGAATTTCTTTGTATCCACGTTTATTCAGATATCTTTTATTCGTTTGATTTCACACGTTACATACTCGTATCCCTGCTCGATTACTTATGTATAATATGACGATAGCCGAGGGAATATATTTAATGGGGAAATGCCGAAGCAGCAAGCGAACGATTAAACAAAGATAAGGAAAGAAAATGATTTGTAAGTAATTGGTATGGATGAATGATAATAGGGAACATTTCGAAGGAAAGAGACATTTAGAGGAAGTAACTAACGAGATTAGCTAATTGTAAGACGATCAAAGTGGGATATCTCGGTTTCCCTGACTTCGGTTGATCCAATGCCAAGAATTCTTCGCACGCAATTAAGTCGTTCTGCATTTTACGATCTACGATTAGGTAATTGCTTTTATCAACGCGACGGTCTAAGGGCAGCTATAGGTCGAGCATTATCGACAACCGAGGCGCAACATAACTTATTCTGCACTTTTCAATATCCATCTTTTATTTTTCTATTTTGCTTCTCTTTTATCATACCCTTGATTACAAATTTATTTTTTCTTTAATAAAGAGAATACAATATTTTATAAACCAAATTTTCAAGGCAGAGCAAATAGTTTTTTTTTCTTTTTCTTTATCTTTTTTTTTAATTAAATTTACTTACATTGTATCAGTACAATGTTTTCAATTGTATGGAAAAAGAAAGAAAGGATAACGCTTGATTAACCATATCGCAACGGTGATACTTGTGATTTATATGAAGAAAGAATAAACGTAATTGTGAATGTAGAGGTCGACGTTCACGGTTAAGGCGTGAGGCTTAAGATAATTTATTGCTCAGATTAGTCGGTGTTCACCGAACGCACTATACGAGTGTGTATAGGTAACAGCCAAGTGAAATTTTTAGCAGCAATGTTATTCGTTTATTTTTATTAAAAACTAGCATCCCCGTCGTGACATCGCCCGCTCTCATAAATAAAAACTTGGAGAATTTGAAGTAATAATTGATGTATTATTTTTTGGTGATCAATCTCTAGTATTTCAGAAAAGTATTGCTGCCTGCAGAAACAGTAGAAAAGCGGCGATCCCATACTAACGCGTACGTTGTCACGATCGCACACGGATAGGCAGAATTCAGTGTGATAGTTTCGACAGTTTTTGGAAAATATCTCAAAAAAACCAAGGCCGAGCGGCGGTTATATGAATAGGAAAAAGTTGTTCAAAATGTTGATTTCTACAACATATTTAATAAAAAATCATGGAAATCGGAGGTGCCGTCCGTAATCTAAATAATTACCTTCACCCTTGAATCTAGATTTGTGCCTTTAGAGGTTGATTAGAACAAAATCCTGAATTATGTTTTTAATCATTTGTATGGGTGATTTTCGTAAGCAAAAACCAAGTCGATATTTCATCGGACCTAAGAGATATTGACGAATCCGTGTAAATAGATTTTAACCCTTTTTACACTCTTAGGGGTCGAATTTCTAAAAATCCCTTCTTACAATTAGTGGATGCTTAAGTCATGAGAGGAATACCCTATCCGAATTTCATGTTTCTAGGTTCAGGGGTTTGGGCTGGGCGTTGATGAGTCAATCAGGACATTTGTCTTTATATTTATTGAAATTCTACGCGTCGTTGTGATTTAACGAGGAAACTACAGAAACAAGTATTACCACTATTTAAATTAGTGAAACGTTAAATGGATACTACTGGATAGAAAAGATGGACATGCTTTCCTCAAGTTCCGATATCGCTTGCTTCTTTAAAAGAAAAAGCAACGAAGACAATATGGAGAGAAAGCCTGTTCACGACTAATGCTTTCTTCTGGATTGTCCAGTTGGATTTTCTTGCCGCCTCGGGGAAACTGACTCGTAATAATTTTATGTTTTTATCATCTTTACCGAACTTTACACGCAGGAGAAACTTACAAATTTCAACTAGTTCCTCGTATACGTCGAATTAGATCAGCATTTATGTAACCAATTGTAACGTGATATAATTTCACAACGTTCAATGCCTCGTGTACCGAATTATTTGTAACCATGTAAAGATAATTATCTAATACGCAATTGTGTATTTTGTAACATTATCTGTTACGATAATGGTTTGTAAGGTAGCGAAGTGTTCTCCAGTTGCAATGAAAATTAACAAAAGGTACTTATTATTTCCATACAATCTAGTATAGAGCATAATTGTACAGAAGCGTACGCACACACACATTAACCCGAGTCCACGGATTGAATATGAATCCGTAAGCAGGAAACGGAATATTATGAATCCATTTTTCTTACTGAAGTGTTCTTGCTTGGAAACAGGAAGTTGTCTGTTTCAGAGAATAAGAAAAACGTTCGGAAGAGAAATTCTTATCTGACGTCAGAATTCTTGTTTGGCGTCGCAATGAAATCCCGTAAATCGAGTTAAACGGTTGTCCGTTTCATCCTTATCGAATCGAATTTATCAATAGGTATCGAGCTAAAGGATTTGTCGGAAATTTAGCTGCAAAGTGGCGGCGACTACGGGCGTACAGAGGAATGGATAAGATCCTTCGGCGATTAAGTACACTTTTGCGCCGTCATCGTCCTCGAAGCAGCGATTCTGTTAACGACATTCGTACAAGTATTCTTACTCATGGCCGAATGCATGCCCGCGTATAATGCCGTCTAATGCAAACGACGAATACCTATATGTATTCCGCGACTTTATTAACGACCAACCGAGACGTATGTGCATATACACGGTGTCACATGGGGCCATTACACCGTCCACAAACTTGCGTCTATATATGTCTGTATGCGTTACGTTACCGTGTTATTTAGATAACTTCGACTCAGGTCGCACAGCGTGTCAAGTATGTACTTCGAGTCAGACGTGTGTCATTAACAATATAATGCGATAGATTATGTTGTTATCCATTCACGTAGAGCTGTTCATGTATGTACACGTGATCATTGAAAACACGCGGATAGAAAAGAATCGAGACTTAGAAAAATTTGACAAGGTGGTATCCAGTCGATTCCTCTGAGTGTACATAATTTCGTCGCGACAATGTTTAGAAAGTTGTACAAATTTTCTTTACATTTAGTTAGTGACATTTTGATAGAACATTAAAAGTGTTCGTGTCAGTTATCGTACAGTAGGCGCATCAACGATTCAAATATTCCACAATTAGATAATTAAAAGGAACACCTGTTTTTTTTTTTTTTTGTTATTCGAACGTACATGTCGGCTTCTATAATTTACAAATGTCGCAATAATTATCTTTGCGTCAAAACGTGAACTTTTCATGCGGGATTAACAATGGTTCTGTGCACATTGTTTCTTCTTCGCTTTCTAGCAATGGAATATTTTCTTTATTGCTCGCATCACCTTTATTTTTTCCCTCAATTATGAATTTTAATCCGACTCTTTATCTTCTTGCGCGACGAAATATTAAATATTTGTAAATGATTCGGAACAGCAGTTTCGGGAACGTACATAACAAATCAAGGAAAAAAGTATTTTCGAATGATATATTAATTTTGCAGATATTATTACTGATATTAAAAGTGATTTGGAAATAAAGCAATACAGCTTTTAATTATTAAACATTATACAAGTTTAGTATAGAAGTAAGGAGTAAGAATGATATATAAATATCAATTCAAATTTTCCTGCGTAAACGTCTATGCGAGTGGTGGGGAGCTATGTATACATGTATAGGACCCTCTTCCCTACTTCATCATTCTCCCTGGGACCACTTACGGGGAAGGTTGAGAGCCGGGAATCCGGGACAACGCTGTTTTCTCTGGAGAAGTCTACCATGCTCGGTACTGTATAATATTTCATGCAATACCCAACGTTCTATTTCTATTTTTTTTTATTAATTAAAATTTAAAAACAAATGAATTTTCTTATAACGTTTGAATGTATATGTACATAACAAAATAGGTAATGTCTAAACTGGAGTATCTTTTAAATACCTATACAATTTCTGCCTATTTCTCATTATACTTTCGGCTACTTTCGTCAATATATATCTATGCGTGCTTTTTTAAATTTTATTTTTCTCAGATAGAGAAAAGATCAGGCATCACAAAATTTAGTATTACATTATTGATCGTTGTACAAGAGACGGTGCTCGAGGGAGGTATTCCCATTTGTCCAATGAAAGATTCGTGTTTACAACGCGAAACAGCTGATAGATGCAAATGTTCCGACGGGACAAGCATTTCCCATCGAAATTCCAATATAAAGTCAAATTACAAGAGCGGAAAGAAAAGTGATGAAAAATTCTATGAAACATTCTCTTTGTCGATAAACGATAGTGTTTCTTTATTTCATTGTATATGTTCCATTAACAGAGGTAAAAATATTTTTATGCTAACAGGAAATAATAGTGGTTTTCCTCACCTCAGACATCCGGTTTGTGAGTTCATTCACGTGGAATGTTCTCGATGTCCTTACTTCAAATATTGAATATTTTTCTCAACAGTTGCATTGATGGCAAAAGGCATCGTGTTATTTAAAGATGATCTTCGATCGGTTGATCAAAGAAACATGTTTCGTAATAAACCATTTTTGTTTCAAAAACTTCTCGTGGAAATCACGTTATCCTAAAGAGAGCGTTATTCAGAATAATTAAATGGGAAACATTCAATAGAACAGTATTTTTCGATAAACATTGTTGGAGCAAAATAATTTACACGTGTCTTTCGTTTAACAGACTTTTAACGTTTCAGAAGTATCATTTCATTTCTTAAATATTGATTGTTTAGTTGCAGTAACGCGTGTTTATAGTGGAATTGAATTAACAAGTGTTTGAACAAAAAATTCACTTGAATAATTAACCTTGTTATTTTGGGATAATTCAGCTGCACTTCGTTAAGGATTCTTTTGATAAACGAATTATTTTCGACCCTGATTAGTAGCTATTGTCAAAGATAACGCTGATAAAAACACGACGCGACATATTCAGTGACAAAAAATCAGCTCCGCTGTTTAAAGTTATCTTATGAGTTCATCGAGTTTCGTAGGAACCAATAAATTCCGCGAACTTCCAGCAATATTTTATTCATAGCCAGAAATGTTACGTGAAAGCAAAGTGGCATGGCGGGAATGTAAACTTTTGGAAAAATTCACGTACGCCTTCTTGCTCGTTTCTGTTTCGACAAATGGTTTTAAAGAAGCAGAACGAAAACGATATTATCAGGCTGTGCGGTTTCCTGATTTCCAGACAGATTTTATGATACGAGGTTTGAAAGCAATCTATGGCCGATTCTTAGCATGATCTCTACATCGTCGCGCTCGTAAAGCACGCTACTTTAATATTAATTATTGTAATTATCAATATGCGTATACGAGTGCGCAAGATAATGATTATTATTTTTAATTTGAAGTTCATAAATCAATTTGATCACATGGCTGGTCACCGAAAGTAGGAAATAATGAAAAAACTGTTGAAGAAAATAATTTTATATATTTTAAACAAACAAACGTCCACTGCATTTTTACAGAGTTTTCCTGGTCGTTAGTAAAATTGATAAAGAAAAATTATTTTTACATTTATGTGTAACGTTAGTATTATATAGGTATTTATTCACAATCAGGGTATTTACTTTCTCTTTCTTTGAAAAATAGATGCGTCGAAGGTAAATATTGTAATTTCGTATCCTTGATTACGAAGGATGATCATAATTTATGTAGACAATTACACCTTCTTCCGCATTTTCCTACTGTTCCAATGGTGGTATTTAATAGTTCATTTGTTTCTTATTTTCAATCAGTAAGAAAAATAATTAATACAGGCCAGTGTTTCTTATAAAAAGATCGGGGAAATGAATAAATATTCAGATAAAGTATAAATACACCGATGGATTAAATTCCTTGGTAGATTAAAATATTACCATTTTATTTGGTTCGGTATAGGTGGAAGAACGGGTCGTTGGAACGGCTTCTATATGCAAATCTCCGGCTACTAATCTGGGCCAAAAGTCGTTTCCTGTGTTCTTTTTAATGGGTTACTCGTGTTATCGGATCGATGGTACACGTAAACCGTACTATATCGCCGTTTCAAAACCTATACCACCTACTACACTTACGCGCCGCGCTACCTAGTTGCTCTCGGTTGTACAAACAGCTGGGTTTTCGCGATAACGATAACAATTCCACATAAAAACGATAACGCACTGTACGAAACAAGAAATTTTCCTTTTACCTCCCGTTTGTATCTGCGATAATGTCAACGGTACGAGAAAAACAATTTTCATCGTTTCTTGAAAATTAATTAATTTGTTACAAGTATCAGCAGATTAAAAAAAGCGTATCGGTTGCATTTCGAAGATACATAAATCCGTATTTCAATCTTGAAATCGCTATTCTCCTTATAAATTCTCGTGCACATTTCAATCGAGAGTCGGAGAAAGTCGAGCGACCGGATTGCAGCTACATGTAACGCTGCGCGTACGCTTTTTCGACGCATCCTATACACTGTACATTATAAAACACCACTCTGCTACACTAATCTAACAATAATCTTTTGAGAAAGGAAAGCATGCGGAACGAAATTGAACCCTTTCACTGCTATTGGCGTCGAGAAGCGGTCGAAAAGGTCTCTTGCCCGCTATACGAAGTGATTTCACTAATCATAAAGTATATCCGTGGCTCTCTATTTCTCGACAGAGATCGTTTAACCCCTGCGTAAATAACCGGATATCTGGATACTCATTTCCACTCTGAATATTTCAAGATCGCTCTGGATTCCTATTCGTATTAAGCAAAAGCTTTGAGCTTGAAACTTTTTAAACTTTTGTATTATTTTCAAAAGAAAACGTTTGATTGCTACAAATATATTTACAAGAATTTTGGAATTTTCGGAATTGGAATGTTTCGTAGCGAAAGTGTTCATTCTCGAAGAAACTGACGGGAAGAGATGGTTGGTAAAGTTGTTGGCAAGGATTACAAGATGGTTAATGAATGATCGAACGGGTGTCGATAGTGAACGATAACCTTCGGCTGAATACTTATCGTGGACACCTAATCTACAGTACAGATAGTGTAATATCGCGTTTGTGTTTCATTGTAACGCCGAGGCAAGGGGAAACTCCATATAAAATATTGGACGAAAGTGAAACTGATTGAAACAAACTGTGTTATACGTTTCGTATCGCAATTTCATTCTTCTTTTACGTTCCGTTGTACTCGAAACGTAATCGAAGGAAAATCTGACGCGTGCTTCTGCCTCGTGCCTCTTCTTTCTTTTTTCCTCTACGTTTTTCTGTTCACCGAGACACGGGAATGCGCGGTTGTATTGCAAAAATGTGCATTGCTATGCAAACGTAGATGAATGCACGCGTGCACGGTATTTCTGCTCGATCAGAAACGCGTGGGCATTAAAGGTGAAACGGAACGAAGGCAAAACAGGTGGTATATTTACCTTGGAAGTCGGCGGTCCTGGGTGAGGTACGTGCGATTATCTCCGGTCTGTGTTCATGGAAGAAGCGGATTCGTTGCTAGGACACTGAAAATTCCTTAAGAAAGTCGACGGGGTTCTAGAAAAATATTCCCTTTCTTTCTTCTAATTAAGCGCGAACAATTCACACTTTTTTCCAACAGGCACTGTTTATTATTCCTCCTTTCGTTTCTTCTATTTTACGTTTATTTCTTTTTCTTCTTCTTCTTCTTAATACACGACACTTTTCTTCTCGGTTCAATTTACACAAGCTTCATCTGGTTCACTTAAATTCTGCCTCGCCGTTACTTTCAACTATAAACTCGATTGATCCATAGCGGTGATCGCGTTCCATTCGGGAATTCCCTCGGGCATCCGATGAAATTGCCTTCGATCGCCAACAGGAAGGCGCTATCTGCGCAACACGTGGAAATTATTCGTTGATGGGGAGAAAGTTGTAGGCTATCGTTGCGGATAGTGCGAGGAAAACAACTTTTACGGTTTATCTCGCGCGAGACGAAACGACAGAAAATTGAACTGTCTCCGGTTGATCGAGAGGACCTGTTGCGCTTTTCCACGCTGCGTTTTCCATCTACTCTAACTCGATTTCAACCGAAACGAATCTATTTCGCGTACGTCTGCAAGTTATCAACGTTAACGAGCGTGGAAGATATTTTTATGCAAACAGTCGATCGGAGGAGAAATTCACGCGCGTTCCTCTGCTTTCGAGTTTCTGCTCTAATCCGAATCCGAGCGAATATTTTTAACCATTTCGGATACGTTCCCTTCTTCTTTTCATCGATTATACATTTTCAACGGGATAAGATTTATGAATGAAAACAGAAGGTTCGTGTACGAACGAGAATGACAAGGTGCGTTCACGCGTTGTCATTGTTGATTCGTATTCATGAATGGAAGAGGAATCTCGTGGAAACGACAAACGAATCGTGCAAATAGCGGCATTTTTCCTCCTTCTTCTGCGCCGTTATTGCTTTCTTACGTTCTTAACCGTAGAATCCAAGGAATTATCGTCCAACTCGATACCGTTCCGGTATTTTTAGTTATGGTGTTGCGTAATCGTTTGAAACACACCGGCTCCGTAACGGTGAACGCGATTTAAAATGCTTCGAGCGATCGTTGGAAACTTCGAATTCGCTTGGCGATAGAGCGAGTGGTGTTCAGAGACCAAAAATCCGCTCACACGACCGCCATGTTATGCATATTCATATTTCTTTCTTCACCTATCGTTTATCTATATTTAGAAAATGGATTCACGGGAAACATTGCATCTAAATTTTGGATGGCAAGTGAGAGAATATCTGTAACGAAATGCGAGTTTCTGTCACATGGGGGAGGAGGATGAGGCGAAAAGAAGGTTCGCGGAAGCGGCAAAACAGAGCGTACGATGAGAGAGATTTTCTCTTCTCACCGCGTACCGTGTATACTTAACTTGCTCCGAAACTCGCGAGCCTCTTTCCCACCGTGACTGGGTACGAGAATTCGCGATCGCAAAAATTTCTTTATTCTTCTTTGAAAATCAAGAGAAACCGGAAGCGCGTCGGATTCTTCGAAGCGATCGATGCAAAACTCCGAAACTAGCGCGTTTCCAGTCACGTGCGAGGAATTCCCGGTATATGTACTGCCACGAGTTCTAAATGATATATCAAAGACGAGTCAACGCCACGATTGGTATTCGGGAATTCCTGTTTCTTGCGGCAAGCAACAAGTGAGTCAGCAAAGGTTGCGCGGTTCTGTGTACGTCGCGTACGTCGCGACGCGAGACCAAGGAAAAGTAAAAAAAAAAAAAAATAAAAAAAAAAATTCTAGCACACGACGGAAACGTACGCGGAGGAGGATCGTCTCTTCCTTTTCATTTACCATTTTCCATTTCCATCGAGATCCTCTCGAAGTCCTCGGCGAGCGTTACGAGGTCACATCCGCGTGCGAGTGACCGTACCTACTCGTCGGCGTGCATTCTTACGTGAATCGTAACGAAGCGTCGCGTCGCGTCGCTTTTCTTGCCCCGTTGTCGTTAGAGAAGCGAAAACAAAGAGAACGTACTTTCTTGGATGAACATAGATAAACATAAACGAAATAAGAACGTTACTCCATTTTCTTTTCTCTGAAGGAGAAGAAAGTTGCAGCCTGATTCGTTAGAAAGTATTAGGGTCGTTAGCGAGAAGGAAGCGGTGGAAACTGAACGAGGGGAAGCGGATAAAGGTGGAAATGAAAAGGGTAGAAAAGAGCAGGTCGACTCGATAACTCGCGCCCGTATCCAATTAATCGTCACAATGAACCCACGAATGCCGCCGATGACGTACACATTGCCGACGCTGTCGTTTCGTCCGCGCGATCGTTGCGTTTCCTATCCACCAATGTGTGCGTGTGTTTGTGTACCGTTAATTGTGCTCGATTCGATTTCGTCGAGATTCCACAGGTTTTGCGCAGGTGGTGAGGGCCAGCGTGATTCGGGAACACGAAAAACTCGGGGCCACAGGGTAGAACCGAGGCCGAAAGAGCAAACTTATCCTGGGGAAACGATGCCCTTAAGGGAGAATAAAAGCTCCAAGGGTGGACGGACACACTTCACTCTCGAATTCTCTTCTCGATACGGTCGCGTGTAAGTGGCGACGTCGCGTTTAATACCGGCTCGACAAATCGGGATCGGTTGTTGGAGCTACGCTTAGCACGGAATAAGTAGTCTCGGCTAACCGAGCGCCCGATCCGGACTGACTATAACTGTAAACGATCACTTGTCGCTGCCAAGCTTTCCCCCACGTCGCGACGCCGCCGCGCCGCACCACGCCACGAAACGGATCACCCCCCACCATTCCGTGCCACACCGTTCCGTTCCGTTCCGTTCCGTTCCGTTCCGTTCCGTGTCCGCGTCGTGTCCGCGCCGTGTCGCCAGCAAACCAGTTCTCCCAATACGCTCCGCCATTGCCACCTCCGTCGGCTTTGCTTTACAAGCGTTTCCACCTGCTGCCGCGCCGACACCGCCTCCGTCGCGACCAGCCGAATTCAAAAAGAAACAACCCGTTCTTTCTACCTTGAACCGGCTGGGCTGGCCGAAAATCGGCCGCGACTGCTCGACTTCGGTTCGAGCGCACCTATCTTTTCTACCTTCGCGATTCACCTATTCCCTTGATTAAGTTGCACATTTTCCCTAGAAACGGAGCAATATCGATAAGCTGTATTCGTGGCAACTTACGAGTTTTGGAGCATGAAATACAGTTACAGAGTTTGCTCCTGGAGTTCTCTTTATTACGAGTGGTTAGTAGACTAGTTTGATTGTTACCAGTCGGAAGTTTGGAAATTTTATGATATAAAATACAGAATTATTTTTGTTGTATTCGTGAAGAGAGAGGACACCGGCAGACCGCAGACATTCTTAACTACTTTCACGGTCCTATTTGTAGGCCATGGGAAATCCGATCCTATTCTATCAGCTAATGATATCAATTATTGAATATAATACGTTAACTATAATAATTACTAATTTAAGAAAGAAAACTTTCACTGCTTAATTCTAGCTTCGGTCGGTGTAGATTGTAAATCGTGTCACAATGTTACTGTTTTATCTATTTTTATTTTAATTACAATTAAGTTTAATCATTTCAAAAATTATCATTTTTTTACGATACGCTGATAAATATAATATGCTACGTTTATTTGTTCTCCAACTCAGCAGTTAAATTTAATTTCTAGAATGAAGCAAGGATGAATACTTTGGTTAATTTTAAAGATGTTTAATTTAGAAATTACTAATAGATGCGTGACGCACCTAAGTAGTAAAGTAATAATTAAAATTCGTGATATTAGAAATTTATATCACTACTACAATGTAATTGAAAATAAAAACAGTAGAAGATATATTCAGTGTTGAAACAGAAAATGGTTAATGGAAAACATAAATCGTACGAGTGGAGTAAGGTCAGAATTCGCTATCGTTCAAGTAATTACGTCTGATACTAAATGTGTTCTCTTTTTTTTTTTTTAAAGCTCTTATCTGTTATGATGTTATCACTTGCAAGTATTCTCAGCTTGATTACGAATAAACAAAGTTTTTGTCGATGTTTAGTTACCGTTGCTCACGAGATATTGCTGCATTGTTACGATATGTTCGGTTTTTTTTTCGTGCTCATGGTTCTCATGTTGATGAGATTCGGTTGAAAATCCGAACGAGATCGTGAGAAGCACTCTGAGAAAGTAGAATACCGGTGAGAGGGTTAAATAAAACCGTGTTAACGCGCATTCCTCGGTTATAATTAAGAAATGTAGCTACACAAATTAGAAACTCTTTGCTTTGAATTAAGAATTTGTCAAGATGCTCGTTAACAAAAGTGTAGCTGGATAATCTCAGGTTTGCTCCTTTATTAATCCCAGCGAATCATTTTTCTTTTCAAAATTGAATTCACGCTACTTTGAAATCCATGTTGCAAAAGTCGTCAAAATCAGACGGATTTTCTCCAAATCTCAAGTTCTTTAGATCTTGAGGTCTGGAATAAACTTTTCGATAAGGTTATCGCGTTGGAAACACGAATCGTATTGTCCGTTATAGCACTTCGTCATTCCAAAGTTTTAATCTAATTGCATCAATTAAGACAGTATACATTTATATAATTTGAAATACTATTTCTGTCTGCAGCGATAGCGTGACGCGACCTACAAGCCATTTTTTAATATTCCTTAAGATAATAATCATACGAACGGAATAATTCGTCGTAATAATTATTTTTTCTTAATTTTTAAATCGCGTATATTATTATTTTTCCTTCTCGCTTTCGACGATTTTTCTCAAATACCGTTTTGTTAAAATTCATCGTCGCTTTGATCCCAACGGGGCACATATTCCTCAAAACGATCATTTCTCTACAAAATTGTTAATTTCGTTTCATATTATGCAATTGATTGCTGAAAACGAATGCGTTTTACAATGCTCGAGTAGACGAGCAACTTGGATCATTGTAGATATTCTTGCCGAGCGACTAACTAAGTGATTCAGAATTTAATAATAGAGGTAACGGACAAAATTCAGAATATTTCGGAAGCCACGATATTCTATTCAATAAACACATAAAGTGTAGCTCTTTGCACGACTTCGAATGTTTAACGCAAAAAAAAGTAAATATTGCAAACATAAAAAGGCAATAATCATTCACATTGATAACAATATTATGTAATATTTAATCCACGTGTAGGCAAGGCTAAGTTTGTATAATGCTTATAATTAGTCGAAAGTTGAAAGCATTTTACTTGAATGTGAATTATTCAAGAGTTTGATAAGCCGAAGAAATGAGTTTCATGAATTCCATTAATGATTCGATTTAATCTAATGTTTTGCGTATCGAAAGATTTGATCAACTTTCACAATTTCACTGTACACTGCATACTACAATATATGCAATTAATGATTCTAGGCGAGATCCGAGAATAATGTTGCAACGAAGAAATGCACTTTTTCTAATTGACTAATAATTATTCGCCGGTAAATGGAATTTCTATGGGGTGTTACAATGTATTGCATAGCTACACTTGTAACTACTTAATTGTAAGTCCGATTCCGCATGCAATGTTAATTAGTATGCGGTAGCTGCGTGTCCACTCTGATTATTCAATTAAACTTGTTCGTTCATTAAGGTTATTAAACTTAAACTATGCAATGCCGTACGATGTTCCATTTAGTAACCAAATTCTCTGAATTTTCTAAAGCTTAAGGCAAAAGTCTTAATTTAACGAATTTTTATCAAACGCGAAAGTATTTAAGCGCGGAGCCCTGTGCAACTGAAAGTCCAGGTACAAGATTATTATTAGTCTCGCAACGAGAAAATTTTGTTATTATCAATCAAGAAGAATCGATAAGAAAACAAACGAATTGATTACGTTCATAGAGAGAAGGAGAATAATCGATCTATAAATATTGCGAAGTAATAATGGCGAACTGTAATGACAGGGTTTCAAATTATTCAAGTACCGAGAGAACGATTATCCAATCGTTCAACCGCAGTCCCATTCAAAATCAGCGAACCAGTACGACAAGCAATAACTTTTCACTTTGGATTCTGCGCCACGACGCCCCATATTTCACGATTACAATCCCGCGTAGGAGTGCGTGATTGTCCGATACGATGCTATTTTATAGACTGATACAATAATGAACGGAACGAAATTGCCTTGACCGGTCAATTTCACAATGATTTGCTTTCCGGAAAATTTCGAGCGATCAAGTATTAAATTTCAAATTTATACCCCTTATTTTCAATTGATTCTTCCTCAATCGAAATTATTCAAATTTTAACTGGTTCTTCAACCAAACGCCTAAGGAGTGGATGAATTTCAAAATATTGGATCAACTTTTATCGGAAACAATGTTGCTGACAGTTTGTTAGCCCAAGAACACGTTCATGGATTACGCCAAACGTTTGCAATTATTATTCTATAGCGGGAAGGATAACGTCGCGGCGCGGCGTTCGAATTCACCGAGACAGTGAGATAAGTAATAGGTTTTCGTTTGATTGCGGAGGAGAAAAAGCGACGGGCATGCGTTGTATGGGAACGATAACGTTCCGGAGAGTTTAGCTGGTCGATCGGTCCACTTGGAAGGAATAAGTCCGTCGAAGGACGCGTGAAAGTCCTGGCTGCGCTCTGGTCTCGGCTATGTCGTTGTTATCGACTTCGCTATGCCACATTTCACTCGGTCTACCTCGTGGCCGGTATTGGCATTCAATGCTTTTTACCGAACGACGTGAACCAGATCTTTTTGTATCGGCGCACCGTAAAGTTGCTTTTAAACGCCGGCCAACGCCTCGACTTTCTGCCGCCTGTCCATTTGCGGTGCTTTGCTATGTCAATGCAAATGTTCTTCCTGACAATGTACCGACGCCGCGCACCGCGTAACGAGGAAATATCTCTTTGGGAAAAGTTACCGTCGAGATTCGGCCTGGGAAAATCATTCTCTTCGCCTCTAAATAGTAATTCTTTAACGATACCCAATCGTTAAGATTAACCAAAAAATTGATAATCGGTGCCAAGGCTATGTCGCCTTATCAGATATTTTCCATTTATTAGTATTAGACGACAGGAAGTATTTACGTAACGAAATTGTGGACATGTATTTTGTAACTGAAAGTACACTTGTCGATATCAGCGTAGGAATCGTATTCTCGGTGTCCTTTTATAAGGTGTACCGCAGGTGACACTAAGACATAATTTACTCTGTGGAGCACGATTAGAAAGTATAGGATATAATAAAGTATTTTTGTCGACTTATGCACGGCGCGAAGAAAAATGAAGGAAAAGAAATAGAAAAATTGGCGTTTCGAGCGGCGGTGCCGCGGCGGCAGGCGAACGCTACTGGCGTTACTACTGGACTACTGGAGAGATATTCGCATAAAATTATCATATTCGATTGAAACAGAGCTAATGAAGTTAAGAAAGATGTAGTTTGTCGTGTTCGCTTGAATAAATTAAAGAGGCGTGGTTATCGAGAACCATTCGTCTCGAATCGGTGATTCACGATAACGTTGAAACATTTTTTCTTATTTTTCTAATATACCAGTCATTTATGGATAAGTGCTCAACTCTCTGTTACACTCGATAAACTTCATTTTCGGAATGTTCTGTACTGAAATAACCATTGATCATTCCAGCTAACTATCTAAATTGCTTCGTTTCCATGTTATTCGACTTTTGCAGTTTTTTAAAGATAGCCATATTTTATATTCAAAAATTCTTGATCATGAT